TGACGACCGTCTGTATAAAGGTGGGGCAAGGCCTTTGCAAAACCCGGTTGAGGGGAGCTGGATTTGAACCAACGACTCGACTAGAGGTAACCAGGTATAACATTAGCTAACTATACTATCCCCCCAATAGTAAAGAATTAGAATATCTTAGTATAGTAGTTAATAATAATTAGAATTATATCTTATTTAAGTTTACCTAGTTCTATTATAGTTGGAAAACTAACTATAAAATCTATTATAATTTTACTCTAAGAATATTAGAGAATTAGAAGTAATTTAAGATTACTATAAGTTAGATATCTTTAGAGTTTATGAGTTTAATATATATAATATATATAATAGTACTTCTTAATATCTTAAGTTATTCGAGGCTAGTAATACTTCCTTTAAAGGAGTTTGAATATCTTTATAGTTTTAAAGTAACCTATTAGTAGATTATTATAGTACTACTATAAAAGCTTTTACTTTACTACTAGTTCTTTAGAAATAAAAAGTTTATCCTAGTATAGGAGCTCTCTAGTAGAGGCTCTAGTCTAACCTATCTAGTTAGAAATCCCTTATTATTTATTTATAAGATAACTTTAGATTTTCTATATAACCAAATCTAAGTTTTAAAGACTTTTAATTACTTTCTTAAAGGGTTATAAAGGATTAGAGATATAGATTCCCTTATATTTTACCTTATCTTTAGCAGATATTTATAGTATTGTTAGAGATAGTAAACTATATTTAATAAGCTTTTAATTTTCTAGATCTTTTAAAACTATTAGAATTATTTCTACTATAGCTATCCTCTAAATAATATCTAGGCTAGTAATATCCTACTACTAAATCTACTTTACTACTTTAAACTTATTTTAAATAGTAGATAACTAAGCTATTTTTCTATTAGATATCTTATCTTTATAGCTAGATCTTTTTAATAGTCTATTAATAGAGTTTTACTTCCTAGCCTAATATTTAATAGTAAAGTTAAATTCTATTAAATATATATACTATTAGACTTATCTACTATTAAGGTAATATTATTTTATAAACCTCTAAAAGTTATTATAGTCTAAAAAGACTATATATAATCTTATAGTAACTCCCTTCTAAATAGTATTACTAATATTTAAAAGCTTTAATAATTACTATTATCTTATAGTTAGAGATACTATAGTTTTTAGTTAGCCTAGAAAACTTAATAAACTAGAATATAATAGAATGTTTTCGGTAGTTATCCCCTTCTTATAAAAGGATTACTCCTATTATAAAATCTAATATATCGGTCTCGATAATAATAGGTTTCTTAGGGTTGAAATGTTGTAAGAGGGGTATATACTAGAAGACACCTTTAAGTTAGTAGAAAGCTGTTCTTATTTCACTATTAAACTAAAGATCTCTAAATTTCTTCCTATTTTCCATTCCTTGTATTAAATTTATTAAAGGAAGTATAATCTCTAAATAATTATAAATAAACTTATAGTAAAAATTACAAAATCCTAAGAATATTTAAATATTTTAAAATATTTAAGATTTAAGCTACTCTTAAATAGTATAAATCTATTCTAGATCTATAGCAATTCTATAAATATTTATAATATATTTTAGAAATTCTATTTAGTCTTTATAGAAAGAATATTTACTAGGTTTATAGTAAAGTTATATGTATTTTAAATAGGTAAATATCTAGTAAATATATCCTATATACTTTTCTTATATTTTTAAAAAGGTTAGAATATTATTAAGATAAATAATATAAAACTTATTTAATAATCCTTCTAAATTTAGTAAATATAACTCTAAAAAGTAGCTAGAGTATTAGTTAATTTAAAAGCTATAAATAGATATTTAAACAATCTATAATAAGTATAGAAAGCTATCTTCTATTTATCTCCTTTTTAGATCTGAATCTAGTAATGAATATCCTTAATATCTAAGGTTATGAAAGACTTAGCTCCTAAAGCTCTATCTAGAATTTCTGAAATTAGAGGTAAAGGGTAATAGTTCTTTATTATAATCTTATTAAATCCTTAGTAATCTATATATAAGTATAGACTTCTATCCTTCTTAGGAATAAGGAGAATTAGACTAGCTATTTAGCTTTTAGAGGGTTTTATCCTCCCTTTTACTAGGTTTTCCTTTAATATTTATATAAAATTAATAACTAATAATAAGAAAAGGATAAATAGAACTAATAGAAGATATTATTTTTAATTATAAATTAATTTTATAATTAGTAGGTTTTAATAAAGGTAGAATATCTAAGTTAGAAATATCTATTATATCCCTAAACTCTAATAATTTACTAGGAATTTCTTCTACTTTTTACTATAGTTTCTCTTCTTCTTTATTAGAGAAAAGGGATATTAATATATCTAGGTAAACTAATACTATAAAAATATATACTTCTTTTTTATAATATTTTAAAGATTTCTTAAAGTTAGTTAATTTAACTATATTAATCTCCTAAATAAATTACTAACTTTATATCTAAAGTAATAAGAGAGTTAACTTTATATTTAAAGTAATAAGAGAGTTAACTTTATGTCTAAAGTAATAAGAGAGTCCCTAGCTAACTAAATATAGATATTTCTAGAATTACTAGTAAATCTTTTTATAATATTTCGTTAAACTATAATATAATCTATTAATGTTTTTTAAATTTAACTATAATAATTAATAAGAGATAATAATATTTAATAAATATTAAAGATCTTTATAAAATAAAAATCTATAAAATAAATTCAAGGTAACTCTCTCCTAATCTAATATAGTTTATATATGCTAATAAAGTAAATATCTATAATATTAAGTTTAGTATATATATCTAAATTAATAAGAAAAGAAGTATTAATATAGGTATATAAAACCCTAAAAGTATAAAGTTAGTATTAGGTTTAGTTCTTTAAAAGAGGAGTCTCTATAATATTAGGGTTTACTATAGATTTCTGCCGTTTCTCTAGCAACTAGTATAGGAGCTATAATATCCTTATTATTAGTATCTTTAAGTTTAATTTAGAAACTTCCTCTTTTATAGATAAATATTTACTAAATACTTATTACTATTATAAATATAATATCTTAGGATATTTCCTATCTTAAACTTAATAGAATCGGTAATACTTTAATATCGATTACTATCGAATTTAGATATAGTATTATAGTATAATATATTATTATATAAAGTAGAATATCCTTATTTTTAAAATAGAAAATAATATCTTTAAATATTATATTGAGATTAAGAAGATAATAAAGGGGTAGTATAAGAGGAGTAACTTACTAGTATTTAGATTAGGTAAAATATTTACTAGATTTAAATAGCTAACTAAACTATCTCTTTATAAGTTTCAGGTTAATAAAGAATATATCTATCGATAGGTATACCATATAATCGGAGTTAAAAGCTTTATATAAAATAATAGAATATAGCTCTTATTATCTTATAAAGGAAAATAGTCCTTTAAAAGCTCTAGATAGTAATAGAAGTTTATCAATAACTAATATTCTTATTATTATATATTATTAAGATATTTTATAATAGTAGAAGTCTAATTAGCCTAATTCTATATATAAATTTAGATTTAGATTTTAAAGAGATTCTATATTATTTTAATAGTATATTACTTCTTAGGTAAAAGGTTTCTATAATAGCTATACTAATAGTTCTAAAGTTATTTATCCATCTAGTTAAATATAAAAAGAATCTAATTAGATTTAATAGTAAATTATTAAAGATCTCTAATAAATATTTATTATAAATTTTAAAGGTATTCTTTTTATTAATAATATATTATAAATTTAATAAAATATATAAGATTCTTTATCTTAATAATATATTTATAACTATAAAAATTAAATAAATAATTAAAGTTTTATCTTTATTTTATTAATTATTTATCTAAAGATAATTTAAATTATCTTAAGAGTTTAAAAAGATATATTTAATAACTTCTTAACTATAATCAAAGTTTTAAAAGGTAATCTTCTTAATAACCCTTTATTATTACTTCAGCTAAAAATCAATAATATCTTATCTAGTAGGAATAGAAGGATTAGAACTTTTTAAAGGTTTCTAACTAAAGAACTAGAAACTAAACTCTTTAGAGAATTGCTAAAGAAGATGCTAATATAGATACGGGCTGCAGAACTAAGGCGATTTACAGGCGAATAAAGATTTAATTCCTAGCTAAATACTCTTGTTCAGACCTGAGGTTAGGTCTGGGGAGTAACTGGAACTGATCCTTGGGGAGCTTCCCTAGGATCGGGCCCGGCTATGCTTAAGAAGCTCCTTGCTGAGCCTCATAACATTACCATCCATTCTGGGGCTCTGAGGCCCTATTCTATAATATCTAACTAGGTAGTTAGAACTAGAAATAGTGGATGGAGAGGGTTGGAGAGCCTAGAGGCTGGTAAAGGGCTTTCTTTCTTTTATAGTATAGTAGATTTAGAAGTAGAAGGCTGTAAGTAGTAGGCAGAGGTTTTTATCTAGCCTTTATAGTATAGTTTCCTTTATATAATAGTAGTAGAGGGACTAGTATATCTAAGGGTATATCGGTATAGGAAATAATAATAATAATTACTATCTATTAAGCTACTAACAATCTATAATTATAGGCTACTCTAATTAGTAAAGGATATATTAATAGTAGAATTATATATAAGTATTTATAATAATATATTATAAATATATAATAACTCAAGTTTTCTCTCTATATATATATAATAAAACCAAGTAGCCTATACTTTAGTCTTAATACCTTATATTAAACTTATTTTCTTCTATACCCCCACTTTGTTCTATCTTGAAATGCACTCTTTCAGATGTTAACAATCACTGTGCCACTCATAGCCTCTAACTATTCAAGTATATTTCTGTAGAACAACCTATGAAGTGTCTCGCGAGGTCTTGAGCTCGTTGTTCAACTGCTAGCAATCATACTATTCTGGATAATAACTGTAAAACGACCCGCAAAGTCCCTAACATCCAGATTTCCCCGGCGAAACAAGTCAGGTTAGTTGTCATAAAAGACCAGAGTGCGCACTTCGATGCTCTCGCGTGGCTCCTTGTCCTCCTCGGCGGAGTCGACAAACGCAGAGTGCGGGACACGCCGCGCGACCCCTGGGGCGATGACAGAATCGTAGCATTTGATGAGAGTGACCTCATCGGGCCGTTGCGCGTACTTGAAGTACCACCTATGTGCCGGGTTTGGCTTGACCACGTACGTCTCACCCTTGCGCTGCGGGTAGATGAGCGCTGCACCGATGAGATCCGACTCCGCCACCGTGTGCGCATCAGCAACCCCGAGGGGGTCCTTCAGCACCGTCTTGATTGGGCGCCAGACCTGAAGTCCTCGTAAGCTAATGATGCCAGCATTGAAGCGCAGGGGTGGGGAGGCCACAAACGTTGATGATCTGGAACCGCTTCTGCAGCAGCTCGTCAGCTTCGTCGGGAAGATGATACCGCACTCTGTCCACCGACGCCGCGTACGACTGGTCGATGTGTACACTCCGGACCGGGCCGCGGATGGGAGCGTCCGGGATGCCAGGTTGCTCGCGACGGATCGTGTGGTCGAAGATTAGGACTCGGTTAGCCCCCGTCCTAGGTGGCGCGAACGGCCCGTGTCAGAAGAATGCGCAGTCGCCGAGAAAACCAAGGTAATCAGAGCTTTAATCCCGTATGGGAGACTTACGTGTCTTTCAGCAGTTGCTCAATTTCCGAATAGTAGTTGCTTTTGATCTGGTCCTCGTCGACAAAACCTTTCTCCTGGCTTTCATGGTGAACCAGTTGAAAACCGTGGCTGTCGAGTGTGTACTTGTTCTCGCTCCCACTGATGTCTGTGACCTCGACCGGGACTGAGATGACGGGCCGCGACTCGATTTGGGGGGCTGCGGGCCGGCTAGTATAAGTAAAATTGATAGTCAGCCCGGGCACGTATGTGTAAGGGAGCTGGACCCGTTACATATGAAAAGGTCATACTCCACATAGAAGGGGGTTGGAGCGGACCCGTCTTCGGGATCCTTGTAGTAGTTCATGACGGTGCGGACATTGTGCTGGCCCTGTTTGCGGTCTAGACCGGCGGGCGGAGCAACGGCGACATGCCGAGTGAAATCCACTGGGTTAACGACGTCCGGGGTAGCCATGACTGAGCTGGTTTCGATGCAAGCGGTAGCTATCAATGAACCCTAATAATGTAAGGCAGGATGGAATACCATTTGGAGCACTTGGAACAGGGCATGCCGTTGTTTTATACCCCGATCCCGAGCATCGGCTAGAGCGGGTTTACCGTGGGACACCCGCCACCGTCGTCGCGAGATAGTTGGACGGTTGTGGTAGCACGTATGCACCTGAGCTGTCACGTCATCGCATTCCGGTGCAACTGTCGACCGAATGCCCCGAAAGGTCTCCGTCTGCTTAGAAATCACTGCTTAGATCGGCGTTACACCCGCCCAAGGTAAACTGGATCTTATGATTGATTAGAAATGTGATGCTAGGTTGTGAACTGCTTAGAAGGACGCGAGGTAGGGTACGCTGCATGAGGGCGGGGAATCAAACGCAGCCTCGGCGACGACGGAGCGGCAAACCGACGCACGAACAATGCATACTAGTAGAAGCCCAGAGACAATCTTGACCACTTGTTTTGCTTCTCGTTGAACGTCTCATGCTCGTCAACCACAGGTGAAGGCGGAGATGCGGATGGGCGTGCGCAAGGTAGAATAAAACCGACGTTGGTATTCAAGTGTGTGATAAAGCCACAGACCCCGGCGTTCTGGCCGCGTTATAAACAATCCCTAGGGTTGTACGCCTATGAAAAAGTCCCATCTCTCACTATTCATCAGGGCTTCCGGTATATACCATGTATAAAAGGTATCGTAGCGAATCCTCCTGGGATGATATCTTGCCCCCGAGCCTGCGTGTCTGTCATTCCCAAGGCCGTGATAATTCGGTCAATCTACTGCGTGGACAGCTGACATTGACGGCATCCCGACCGGCCCTGTCATATCCAAGCCGTTGAGCGTCCTGTCACCACAGTCCTCTTCGTTGTCGCTTCCTGCCGCGTCATCCTCCGCGGCACTCTCTCCGTTGGTGCTGTATCCGTCACTTTCATCGTGGTCTCTCGTCATACGTCGAGAGTTGCAGGATTCAAGATCGGACTCCAGTTCGCTTGCGGAACTCGCTACTTCGGACGTCTCGTCTTGGTAACCGCTCTCGGAATCCTCATTCACCAAAGCCAACTCGTCTGCTAGTGACATTCGCCGTTTGAGAGCCGGCTTTGTCCTCGAGGTTCTGGCATCTGGGGTTCGCTTAGCATTTTGCAAGTCCTGGTCACCCTGCGGTCTCCTGGGAGCGTCCTCACCTTCTTGCTTGATACCCTGTATTGTGTTCCTGCGCTCCAACGATCGCCGCTGTGGGTAGGTGGGCTGGGGGGTTCCATTTGCCCGTGGGGTGGTCGCCGGCGATGGGACAGACAGGGTTGCTTGAAAAGAGACGGAGTGTTGGCGAGGGCTCGCCGGCACGGTTTTATTACTGGTTAACAACTGGTATGGCCTTCCCATAGGCGCAGCCGAGATCAGACTTCCTTGTCCCGAGAGCAAACCATGCTCTTGCCTCTGTAGCTCGACGGCCCGGAGTAGCAAGCGATTGTAGCCTTCATAAAAATGGCTTTGAAGCTGATCAATATCTACATTCGCGTCAGCAAAGGACTTCATGATCACACCGGCGGTTTAACTATATGATCTCCTCCCCGGCGGAATGCCGACTTACTGCCTCCGTGCAACTGATTGACTTGCTTGACCACCTTCAACTGGCCTTCGGCGAACTCGAGGGACTCAACGGCGACATGGATAGCAGACTGGACGCGCATCTCTGCCTGCAGGGCCCTTGCCAGATGTGTTGCTGGCCCGTGGTGAACAACAGGCTCAGGGTGTAGTTGTCGTGGTGGGGGGCTACCTTCTAGCGACGGAAAGCTTTCGGGTTTGATCCTAGCATTGTGTGGCCGTGCTGAACTCGTCGGGGGGCCGGCGGCGCGGCCAACCGGTGGCACCGCGGGCATAAGCTGCTCATATCTCGCCGCGGCTGGCTGGGTCAGCTGTGGTGATGCACGTTGGTTTCTGCGACTGAGAGGCCGGGGGCTGGCTGGTTTCGAGGGTTCGGGCGTGTGAGTTGCAACTCCTTCGGTTGCCTGCCGTGAGCTACTCCGCTCAAAAGAGCACACGGTACCCTGCAGCGAGGATAGAAGCTGACCAAGTGTTGGGCACAGCACTTCGCCAAGCCGTTCTTGTGACTTCTCCTGGGGCAAGATCTCTTGGAGGATACCAAGGGCGAGATGGAGGCTCGAGCTCATGGTGAGCACCGCACCGACCAGAACCTCCCTATCTGCATCTTGGAGTGGCCTAGGAGAGGAAAGGAGCCTCTCGACGGCCTGGATGGGGCTGTCGGTAAAGCTTTCGCGAGGTAATACCGAACGCAGGAACCAGCCCGAGAACAGAGCCATGGCTCGCGATCTTGTCTAATGTCCGGAGCGGCCAATCACCTGGCGCAATCTCGGCTTCCCTTGATCGCTGTGGGTGGGTTGATAGCACCGAAAGCCATGCTCGGGGGGGTTGTGTGACATAATTAGGGGCGCCTCTCTCTTGAGTGGCTGGTGAATGCCATTGGGCTCAAGTGTGCTGGCTGAACTGGCGGTGTGCGCCGATCCACACCGCCAAATTCAGCCTGCAGAATTGTTCATCGTAACCACGCTGTGTGGGTCAGCTGGCCACGCTAACCATAAACGTCCGAGTCCAGCGCTTCCTGTGAAAAGAAAGGTTAGGGGAGAGAGGGACGGAGTTAGAACGCCAATCGGGGCGGCCTCCTCGTTTCCCGTGTTGAAGAGAGATACCCAGGTATGGAACCACGATCACGAGAGGCGCCTGTTTGACGTGTGTGTGGAGGAGAAACACCCCGTTGTCATCAAGAAGACACTCTGAAATAACGATGAATCCAGGCTTACTTCTCGTTGAAATTTGATTGAACCAGCAAAGGACGGCCACATAGATTTGTATGTGAAGAGACGGAAGGGATATTGAGGCCTTTCTGCGACCGCTATAGTATTAGCACTTGAATCGAGCCGTTTCTCGGCCGTCCCGTGCCGCGCTGTGTGGCTTTCGTGTGCGTTAAAAATACCTACCTAGGCAACTACATACCTATCTTGGGAAATGCGGGCAAATCAAATTTTACTTAGAGATGATGTCCTACATAGCTATTGTTTCCTTACAACATCACGGCAATAAGTGTCTTGGTAGTATGTTTTGCTGGCGGTGGTAACCTGATGAACTCTTCGGTTCCGGTTTTTCCACGTTTCATTTAAGACTTAGGGCGGGAGAGCGTCGGCTGCATCGGAATGCCAAGCCTTGTCGCTGTAGCCTAGCTAAATCCAAACTCCAGTCAGACTTCCTAGCGGCGCGAGCTTATTTACGAGAACGAATTGTCTCGGAAGCTCAAACAGGCGGTGGCACAGCAGCACTGGTCTTAGGTTTGAGATGTTGAGTTTGTTCCAACGAGCACCTTGGCTTTTCTGTCTTTCATTCAAGTCATGATTGCTATGGTATCTCCGAACGCACATGTCACATATCCTTCACACCAACAACTCCGCGGTGTACACATTCGAAAATGGCCCTTCCTCCCGCTCGCCAACCCGGGCCGCCATGCACGACGTGGCCGAGTTTGGTGTGGATGAGTTTGACTCGCTTTCTGCTGGCAGGGGCGTTGATGTCCTCGATGGTTGTCGGGCAAAATGACGACCCGAACCATGGAGTGGTCTTCATCTATCCTATCAGCGGCCAGGTATACAACAAAATGGACACAGTCAACGTGACCTATACCTCACCATTTCCAACACCGAACCTCTATCTATGGTGTGACTCGGGCAGTCGTAATCGTACGAGACCTCCTTCACGTTGTGATAGTCCGGCTGTTAATAACTGACAGTGCTAGTCTTGACACAAGCCGCTCCCGGGTACAATGCCACAGTTCCCGTCACACTGAGCTTTACTTCCGCCACCCCTTGTTGGTTCAACCTGCGGCCAGGTACCGTGGCTGGCTTTGGAGCAAATAGCCGGCATTTCGATCTCATTGACGAGGAACGAGGATCCGGGAGTAGGGTATTTGGCCCGGCGACACCGACCACCCAGTTGTCCACAACATCGACCCCCGAAGGGAGCAGCTCGTCAACCAAAACACATGTGCCCGCAAACACAAGTGGCATGCCTCCAGCTGCAAGTTCAATGCCATCCGACTCCACCACCGGAAGAAGTGGATTAGGCATAGAAGCCGCGGCAGGCATAGGGGCTGGAGTTGGGGTCGGAATTCTGGCCGTGTGTGGAGTCCTCGTTTGGATTTGGAGACAGAGGAGACGGGGCGTGGCAGACGGCGATCAGGAGCACCAGCAAGCGAGGTCATGGCATGGCAGCGAGGAACGGCTAGAGAAGCAAGAACCGAGCGTTTTGACCCAGCCGGTTTATCCCCGTCGAGACGCGCACCGGTACAAACCCAACCCAAAATTCATAGCCGAGTTGAGCTCAGCTCACCACACCCCACCTGAGATCGGATCGTCTCAAATTTTAGACCCAAGGCACCCACTAGGGGCACCCGGCCGATGAAGAACCGGGTGAGCGCGGGACGCAAACATATGTATTACTGTGTAAACATAGGGAGGGAGAATGTAAATATATCAAATAACATTTTAATAATATCCGAACTAGGACAGCTGATTCTGAACTAGAGTATCTCCTGGCTCCCTGACACGTTGCGGGCGAAATTCGGCATTGGTATTTGCCGAATACTCCTTGGTTCCCCCGCGGCCTTTGGGAGAGAAGGAGGGATGTATGCGCCGAGGTAGACGGCCGTGGATGTGGGATCGGCAAGATGTTGTCAGCATCACATCTCTCTCCACCCCTACCTGTGCGCGGAGATGTCCTTGCAAGCCAACCGGGAATAGGGAGGAGGATACAAGCGCCGACGACGCAATCCCCGAGCTCCCAATCACGACGAGATTCTCGACTACCTACCTATCTCAGCATTCTCGGTGTGAACGGCGGCATCTAACCATGTAGACGTCGTACTCAATGGTACCCACCATACATACTGGATTGGCGGATGACTGCTCTCTCGCAGAAGGGGCATTCATCGATAGAGATACCACGGGTCTTGCGTCAGCATGATGCAGCCAGGCCCACCACCAGTGGCCCGCGTCAGACTGGGTCTTCAGTTACTTAGTAAGAGAAGCACGCCCCCTGGCGGCCCCCTGGCGGCCCCCTCTTCCGAGTCTTCCATCACCCGAAAAGGTAACGAAGTATGCCGGGGATGACCCCGTCCATGCAATGTCGTTTTCGTTCAACGCCCTCTCAGCAGCGGCAAGGACGCCTGTTGGATTATTCTTCATGCAGTGATAGTCGAGGTGGCGACGACGCGTGGGGGGGGCGGGATGCCCGGTCACAATCAGGATACGAGACAGACAACCGCCGATAAAGGACGCAATAGAAGGGGTCATCATTCAGGTATACAATGGGCGCATCCAGGTGATGGCGACCTTATATCCGTCCCCGTCCTAGCGCCGCCGCCACCACCACCTCTCGTCATTTTTCTCGACGTGCGTATCGTTAACATTTGCTATCAAGCGAGCGTCCCTCGCTCCAGTTGTTTTCCTGATAATGGAAACACTTGCCAAAGCCAAACATGCTCTTGCAACCGACTTCACATGGAGCCGAGGAAGACGGCTTGCTGTGACCGGATCCCGTGCCCTCCCAGCCGCTGCCGGTGAATACGTCGCCGGCAAATTCCCCATCATTGGCTGGCTGCCCCGATATCGACCGCGTTGGTTAATCAATGACGTTGTCGCGGGCCTGACCGTCGGGCTCATGCTCATTCCACAGGGTCTGTCGTACGCTCGAATTGCTACGGTCCCAGTTCAATACGGGCTTTTGTCAAGTTGGCTGCCATCTGCCATCTATGCCCTGATGGGGACGACCAAAGGTGGGTTTCAAGCCGGCATGGTCGCGCATGGTCGGGCACGGTTGTCCCAGGACCCAGTCTAACCATGCCACTCAACGACAGACCTATCCACCGGCCCGACGAGTCTGATCAGCCTGCTGACGGCCGAGATTATTGAATCTCTCCGCGAGGAAGGGGAGTGGACCGCGCCACAGATCGCCAGTGCAGTTGCGACTATGATGGGAATCTATGGCCTAGCGATAGGGCTCCTGAAGCTCGGGTTCCTGCTCGAGTTCATATCGCTCCCAGTCCTCAGCGGCTTCATATCGGCCGTGGCCGTCACCATCATTCTCAACCAGATGGATTCGCTCCTCGGAGAGACCAACGTGGGCGACGGCACGGCAACCCAGATCCACGACATCTTTCAGCAGCTGCCGCAAGCCAACGGATATGCATGCGCAGTCGGCTTCACGGGTATCTTCCTTCTGACGGCTCTTGACCAAGCCGGGAAGCGGTGGGGGAAGAGGAACAAACTCGTCTGGTTCCTCTCCATGACGCGGGCGTTCATTGCCCTCGTCATTTTCACGGGAGTCGGATACGCCGTCAACAAGCCGCGCGGTAGCCCAGACAACTTTCTATTTGATATTGCACAAGTCGAGTTCAACGACCAAGACATGAGATCCCCAGAGGTTCCGAGCGCTCGGCTACTCTCGCGCGTTGCCGGTCAAAGCGTGGCTGTCTTTATTGGCTCGGCGGTCGAGCACACGGCCATTGCTCGTAGTTTCGGGGTCCGAAACAACTATATGACGGACCAGAGCCAGGAGCTCACCTTCTACGGCATTACCAACATCGTGAATAGTTTCTTCCACGCCGTGGGGGTCGGGGGCGCAATGTCAAGAACGGCGGTCAACTCTGCTTGTAACGTCAAGTCACCTCTTTCTGGCATTGTCACGACCGCAGTGGTACTGGTCTGCATTTTCGAGCTCACAGGGGCACTCTACTGGGTCCCCAAAGCCACTCTCGCCGCAATCATCATCACGGCGTGTTGGCCGCTGATTTCCCCGCCGTCGGTGTTCTACCGTTACTGGAAGACCTCGCTCGCCGATTTCGTCTCCTCGATGATTGCCTTTTGGGTTTCCCTGTTTGTCTCGACAGAAATCGGTATCGCCAGTTCGGTTGGGTTCAATATCGTATACGTCTTGCTCCGCCAGGTCTTCGCGCGGGTGTCGACGAGCCCAGACCCCCGGTCGGAGCTCGCCATAGCCCTCGACGGCGCCAGCAATACCACACCGTTTCTCCCCGCAGACACGCGAGTATTCGAGTTCAACGACTCGGTGTTTTTCCCAAACGCATATCGGGCCAAGACCTCCATCATAGAGACGTTAAAAACACACCACGCGCCCGCCATACACAGCGCCGAGAGCCCAGAGGCGGAGAGGGGTTGGTCCGTCACCCGTGAGAGACGTCTCGCAAAGCTTCGTCGGCGTGAGGGCATCACTGAAACCTCCGCCCTACCGCCGATTCGCCTTGTCATCATCGACTTCCACAGGGTTAATCACCTTGACGCGACAGCTTGCACCCATCTAGAGGCGCTCATGGCGGAGATCAGGGCGTATGGAGGCTCGGGGGTTCTGGTCCGTTTCTCTGGCATGTCACAGTACGTCCAGCAACGTTTTGAGCGTGCGGGGTGGGATATTATCAGTGGTGACGAGGTAGGGGGTCGGCTGGAAGAAGATCAGGCGGTTAGATCGTACCGCAACGTCGTGTGCGCGGCGAGTGCTCCTAGGCAAAATGGGAGCACGATGCGAACCGAGAGCGAAGAGGAAGAAAAGGCGCGAGGCTTAGTGGTCGCGAGCCACGTTGAGTAAGTCGTAAGCGGACCGCTACATGGCTTTTTGTCAAGGGGCAGTAACACGGGCTATTATCCGTTTATTGGTCGATGAGGCGAGGGCATCCGTTTCGAGGGCAATGCAGTGCGGGGTGCAATGCGGGAGGATGGGATAACCGGAGGCTTCTCTTTATCCTTTTATCGTTTTGAGAGATGGTGGGGAGGGGGCCGGCGTAAGAGTCGGGAATATATTCCCCGTTACCCCCCTTGGTTGCATCTCTCCCCGCCAGTTGCGCGTGACGTAATCCACTCCCGTCTCCTCCCGAACCCCGCCCTGTGTTGTTCTTAGGCTCTCTCCCACCATCCATCTCCAACCATGGCATCTGAAATTCCGACGAAGCGGCAGAGGTCGGCCAAGGATGTGCCGTACAATCTCGTGTACTGGCCGGGCATTCCTGGCCGTGGTGAGCACATCCGGCTCGCCCTAGAGGAGGCTGGCGCCGAGTACACCGACACTGAAGGTGGCGTTGATGAGGTTCTCACCACCATCAAGGACCCGGGCGATGAAATTAACCCCCCCGTTTTCGCGCCGCCCATCCTGAAGCACGGCGAGCTCACAATCAGCCAAACATCCAACATCTTGCTGTACTTGGCTCCTCGCCTCGGTCTTGTGCAAGACGTCGACCAGAACCCCGATGCTCTTTATCGGGTTAACTCGCTGGCACTGACAGCGCTGGATGGTTTGAGCAATGAGCCTCACGACTGCCACCACCCCATCTCATCGGGTCTTTACTACGAGGACCAGAAAGAGGAGAGTAAGAGAAGGTCCGAAGATTATGTCAAGAATAGGCTGCCAAAGTTCCTGTCGTATTTCGAGCGGGTTCTCGCGTCCAAATCGAGCGGCGACGGGCCCTGGCTGCACGGCGGTAGCCTGACATATGCCGACTTGGTTCTTTTTCAAGTAAGTCCGAAACCTTCTCTCGTCATCTTGCTGAGTCCTGACATGGCCACAATAGTGTGTGGATGGTCTCAAGTTCATGTTTCCCAAGGCAACGGCCAAGTTGGAGAAGGAGGGAAAGCATGTCGGGGTATTTGCCCTTCACCGGGCTGTCGGAGAGCGGCCCAGAATTGCGGCATATCTGAAGAGTCCTCGGAGACAGAAATACTCTGATGGTATCTACAGATATTACGAAGAGCTCGATATTGATCCCTGACTACGAGACGAAGGATACTCTGGCTGCGTGGTTGGTCGAATGGGTGGAATGCGGAAGAAGTGTGTGGTGCAGGACAGCAGGAAAATGGGGCTGCAGAGAGATCCCGGGTCACTTGGTGCGTGTGCTTGCCCCATAATGAACCACACGGAGGGCATTTTTTCGAGAACACGGTTAGTGTATTAGCGGTGAAGTCTGCAGCATTCTGCTACCTATTCAAGAGCGCTTTTTGGTACGGAACACGATGACACACGACGTCGAGTTGATTGTCAAGGCCGGTAATCAATAACTGCAACTAAACGACAAAGTAAAATACCAAGAAGGATAAAGTTTATCCACCTCTCGGCACAAGACCTTGAGAGGATAGAATGTTGGTTGATAAGAACGAGAAACTAAGAATAAGTACAAAATGGCCCACCCACCACCCCCGCGAGCGCGCAACCCTCGGGCAACTAAAAGTACAGTACAGACAAACAAAGGAAAATAAGAATATAATAGAGACCAAGCCAATAAACCAACACATGGAAGCCCACGAGCAACCCCCTGACAACCCCCTTTCCAGCAGCAACCCCCTCCTTTGGAAACCGTCCAACCCCCCGAGTGCGGAACACGAGCCGCCCGCCACCCGTAGCCATCAAATCTCCACCTGGCCTAAGTCGATACCCTCCTTTGCCGCAAGTTCCTTCACATTCCTCAAGACAGCATTCTTGCCGTCCTTGCCGGGACCGTCCATCCTTCGGAGGAGATTGAACTGGAAGAAGCGCCTCACCAAGGACGTGGCACTGTCCTGATCGATCTCCGCCTCGTCGACGTCTGCCGGCAACTCCTGGCCGAGGCTGATTAGGGTGCTTTGCTTCCATGTACGAATCCACCGAGGCGAGAGATTCCCACACGAGGCAGAAGCTTCCATGAAAGACGCGCAGGCCACAATCCAATCCTCACAGAGACTGCGGACAATCTCGCCAGGCAGCATACCAGAGTCGAACTCGTGGGTAGGCTTGGCCTCGGCGGAGGTCGAGGAGGCGTTGCCCTTCCCCTTGTCACTCGCCGATGACGAGGATTGGGGAGCGATGATCGGAGCGGGAGCGACCGGGAGCTGTGCTACCTGGGGCGGATCAGGGGCCGGAGCATTGGCCGGAGCCGCAGCTGGTGCCTGAGCCTGGATCCGCCTGGGTCTGGGCCTGGGCTTTGCGGTTCGGCGAGTCTTGCAGGGTCCAGGAGCTTCGAAGGCGAAGCTGATGGTCTCCGGGGCTGGGAGGCTGACGGTGACTGGAGTCGAAACCGAGGCTTCAACTAGAGTGCAGACCGGAAAACCAACCTGCTGCTGCGGCGGCTGCGAAGGGGCGAGCGGGACTTCGGGTTTTGGTATGGACGCGAGCTGTTCTACCGTGGCGTCAAATAGACAGGGGTTGATATGTAGAAGAGACGGGTCGGACGGGCGCGAACTAGAGTCTGCGGGCTGGACTTGGGCGTTGACCTTCGCGGGTGCGGCAGCAGCAGCAGGTGGGATCGATGAAAATGGACTGGCGAGAGGGCTGGGCGACTGAGGCAGAAAAAGAACATTAGTATGTCACTTTGAATGCGAGACTGGCGGAAGCATCTACTCACTTGATGGACGATGACAGGCATCAACACCTCAATATCTCTGCTCCGCTCGACCTCCATGGCTGTGTCTTCGAAAGCGACCGACACAGGGGTGGATAAAAGAGGCGGGGCAGGCAGAGTGAGCGAGCCCTGGCAAGGGAGCGGCTCGTAGGGCTATTGTGTTAAATACCCGTCTTGTCAGCAATTGCGAATGAAAAGAGAAGGTCAATCAAGGGAGGAGAGAGCTTACCGCGTTAGCCATGTCAATATCCATCGCAACCTCCACCGTCTCATCAACGTCCATCATCGAGAAATCTTCCGGTTCCTCGATCAAGTCGGGCGCATCCGGCATAACAGTATCGACGCCAACCATATCCTACATGGCCGAGGGGGCAACTGCCTGCTGGAAAACGACTGTCTCAGGGGCCGGCGTGGAAACTGGGACCAGAGCCTCCTGAGGACACCCGAACAAGATCTCGAAACCGGTTCCTGGAGCGGGAACCGTGACCGCTACCGGGAGATAGACGGCCGGGGTGTTCTCGACTTCTAGAGCCTGGCGAGCGGCGGCCTGTGGTGGAAGTTCGAACACCGGTTGGTAGACGGTTTGACAGACGGTTTGGCGAGTAAAGTCCTCCGACACCGAAAGATTGTCGCGCCACCGGTTCATGATGCGTTCCTCGATCCAGGTGGGTCTCAAATTGGCGGCGTCTGGGGTGGGTAGATGTCAGTCGAGAGAGCACTGCAAACCAGAAGCGTGAGCCCACGGTGAACTGAACTTACCGAGACGGCGGGTCTCGTTCCTCTTCATATCCTTGAGCTGCCGAATTGCCTCCACATCCTCGAGGTGAAGTTTAACCCTGTGCTTGTTTATCCGCTTAACAATGTCGAGAGCCGCTTGCTGCACCTCCCCCAATGCCGCCGACTGCTGTCGAATGCGGTCATCGTTGATGAGGACAGCGGAGCGAAGCTCCTCGACCTTGCACGACAGAAAAACGGCTTTCAGATCCGTGGCGTGGTAGTCTACGGGCAAGCAACGAGTCAGCATCAGGTAAACAGGAATAGCGGGGAAGAGGGCAAGCCGGACAAGAAAGACAGAGGGTGAAATGAAATGTGACATCGGTGGATGAGTCTGTTATCGGCAAATGCGACACGCAAGCAGCAGGCAGTGGATGGATAATGCTAGGGCCAAGGACAGAGGGAAAAGCTAATACTTACACAACTTGATGACAAGGTATGGTTCAGCCCATTCCGCGTCCTGGAAAGATACCGCCGTCATGCCGGGTCGAAACACTCTTGAAAACACTGTCGGGAATTCGCGACAGTGGTTGTTGTGCTCCTTGCAGACCGCGGCGATGTCGTGGCTCAGAGAGGCGAGAACCAATTGCTGCTTCTTGAACTCGTTCCGTAGCTTGATAAACTCTGCTTCAAGTCTTGACCGAAGCCCCTCATTTCTGTGGAGGTCGACAAAACTGGCGAGATACCCTACGTTACGGAACCTGGAGTCAATGACAGCAAACAGGATACCCACCGTCCAAAACATGGAGGAGCTTGCAACCGTTAATAGCACTGGAGGGGGGCGGCTCCAGAGAGGTAGAGACATGAAGAAAATTAGCACGACAACGCAGAGGGAGAAGAGAACGTCACCGGCCGCCGCCATCAGCTCAACAAGGCGCGTGGGGAGCTGCATGGCGACGGCGAATAAAGCCACAAGGGCCAAGAGGTAGAGACACCTCGTCGACGACATCGTTGGGACTGGGCCGTGGCGGTGTCGCGTCGGAGTGATGTCGAAAATCGGGTCGAGATGGGCTGGTGCAGTCGAAGCAGAGAGGCGAATGCGAGCGAGGCCGAGACCAAGTCTTGTTGTCAATCTGAATGCGAATGAATAAGCTCGTGCGAGTGCAGTATTTAATCGAATTGCTGATGCAAAGTGTGATCAATGTAAACGCGAGATCGAGTCCGATGGAGAAGAAGAGAAGAGGAAGAGGAGATCGCGGGTGGGATGGGGGGGTATTTATAATCACGTCGACCTAGCAACGGCACCGTGTACCACACCTGCAATTGCAGGCGTGCATTGGCCAGCAAGATTCACGGCGATGACCTCAGTGTTCAATTTACACAGTAGGAATTCCGTCCCAGGTTCAATGTTTACTTCCCACCCCTCCTTCCCAGGGCGCCTCGCGTCTCGCTCAGCACGCAATGACACCGCTCAGCGGCCCGCCGGGAAATCCTATAGAAACAAGATAGTTCGGCATGGAGAAGTTATGTAGTGAAGGAGGTCCTTGGGGAGCGGGAATAGCCAGACCAAGGAGAGAAGTGTGCCGGGGAGTTGCTTCTCGTGTCCAAACCACTGCGCACCCCGGGCCGGTATTCACCATTACACTAGGTACTGGGCAGACCAAAGGATGCATCGGAGGTAATGGAAGTCCTTAAGGATCAGATATCACGGCCGAGCTAGTCCCGACCGAGTCCTTGACCGTTGGATCTGGTACGGTACGGGCCGCCCCGGTTCGCTTGACGCACCTTCCTTCTCCCATCAACGTGTATGGGATGGATTTCCCGCCCTCTTTCCTTGCAAAATAACAGTAACCATAACAACGCGTGACTGTTTACATCCCCGAACCCCCAAAAAGTGCAGTCCCCCAAGGGCGGTTGCAATTGGTGCTGGGGATTAGAACCACTGCAATCACAAGGTTGATATGCGTTGAGTGTGTATATATAAGTCGGTTAGAAAGACAGCTTGCTCTGGGCCGTTGACGGGCTCTATGGCCCTCCTGATCTCAGTAGTGTGCTTGATTTAGTGATCATTCGTTGAAGGGCATACGAGAGACGCTTATGCACAAGGAAGTTGGCCACATCGTCGACCAAACACAGTCTCATGCTACTCTGAGGATCCTCCACCCCCCCCTCTCCTCCCCTTTACATCCGTTTAGGAAATCCTTGGAAAATAACCCTAGGAGGTTAGAAGGACAAGAATCATAGCCGGGTAGTGTGCATATTATCGGTGGGTACTTCTGCTAACCACAGAACAACGTGGTTACTGCACAACTCCGCGGCCTCTCGGACGTCACCACAGTGTTGTGACACCCCAATTGATGTGATGACAGAGTTGGATTCGACGGAACAAGAAGGATCGAGGCCACGGGGAAACGGGGCGATAGGTCATTCAATGCGAGGCAAGACTGGCTCTGCCCTGGGCCGTTGGTCCTCTCTTCACGGCCGAGGCAATCTGATCAACTCGGACATGATAGTCATTGGAATTGTTCATCCTTTTCTACCCGTTTGACCGACATCTAGCTGAACTCGCCGTCCAACTCGGGTGGAATCTGCGCGGTGTTGTAATTGAAACCACCTCGCTCGGGTTGGTTCGGATTACACAAACGACGTTGGGATGGAGCGAGGATTACCACTTTCGGTCTTAGTCAACACGTGACTCGAGTCTGAGTGGCGTGTGAGCGATCCCCTGTCGTGCCTGTTCACCAGGTGGAGAGTTGCAGAGAAAATGCTGGAGAGTGGTGTCTAGAGTACAAATTACATTTCATGCATTGTCTACTTTTATTTTATTGTATTGAATCTACATGTAAACAAAACGGCTTTGGCCGCTACTGTCAACTGTGTACGTGGAATGCCCTCGCTCGCCTCATGCAGCATGGCGCTTGATGGATCACGACAATCCGGTCCCCCAAACTCCAGTTTCCTCGTAAACCATGTCATAATGCCTATTCCGGGAAAGATGGCCGCCAAAATCAACTTCATTTCGTCGTTCGTCCCCTTTCTCCCCTCGTCTTAGTCGATATCCATCCTGTTCGCCATCGGAACTGGTATTGCAACCGTGATGGATGGGTTGTCGTCCTCATCTGTTTTCCCTGCGCCATCCAAAGTCGTTTTGCCGTTATTGCTTGTGTGGTTCTCGCCCACGCCTAACCCGTTCCCACCACAGAGCCTGTACTCACCATCTCCATGGTCCTCAATGATGGATTCATCCAGCGCCCACTTCGCCAACAGCTGGTCAACCCCCATACGGTGGGCTTCCCCTTTTTCCATATGCCGTCCGACATGCTCCGTCCACTCATCCCAGGACCCGGGTCCCTCAAAGACGCTCTGGCAGTCCGGCTTAGGGCAGGCTGACCGTTGAGGTGGCTGTCTCCGAGTGACGAGGCATGTCGTCTGCATGTCCTTGACATGGGTATCCCATTCGACCTGTAGCTTGTTGTCCCCCTTGGATAAAGCCTTTTTAATCGCAAATGGCGCATGCATGCGGCGAAGATGCTGCGTGAACAGGTCCTTGCGATTGAATTCGTTGCCCTTGCCGTCGGCGCTGCTCTGTGGACATGACGAACATCGATAATACTGCAGACACAAGTGCTGCGAGGAAATGTGTCGCTTCCACTCGTTTTTAGACCCAAATGTGCTCGTGCAGCCCGCAAACGAAAATGCGCAAGGGAAGGGTCTCGTGTGGGCGGCAGCGACATGCTTACGGAGGGATGAGGAATCTTTGAAGGGCGCATGGCTGCAATGGTCGCACCGCACTTCTTGTTTCGGGGCCTGCTTCTGGAGCGGTTTCCTGACTTTCGGCTTGGCGGCTGGAGTGCTGTATTCGGCGTCGAACAGGGTCCTCTCGGCCCCTGGCACGGCGCCGTTGGTGGGAGAACCGGGGTCACCGGCGTGTCGGACGGCGATGCTGTCTCCTACCCGTGTAGCTTGTCGATCGAGCGTTGGCGCGGTGTCATCGCCAATGTGTCGGACGTGGCTCAGGGCCTTGAGTTGTTCCGCTGCCTCTTGCATTTCTGCCGAATCCTCCACTTCATCCTTGGGACCAACGGGAGGTGTCTGCCCGGGACTAGTCTGAGGAGGTATTGCAGGCATCGATGCCACCACCGCCTGAGCCAGATGGCTCCCCTGGCGTCGGGGTGTCTCCTTCTGAATAGGCGGATAGTGGCCGAGGACTTCGCTCCGATGTATAGACGGGCTGCGTTTCAGGGTACAGCCGTCTTCCCCGTCTCTGAGGCCCGGTAAGCCACGCGGATGCGAGTTGACAAGTCGCTGGTATAGGTGTATCATGTTGTGCGAGTTAATATAACCAAGAAAGCAGCAGACCTTGTCGTGCTGAACAATGTTCCAGACATTGAGCGGCATGGAGATCAGCAACATCGTGGGAGGGCCGAGGAACATGCCCTCTACCGTAATATTTGACGCGGTGCCCGGGATGTTGTGAAGCCATTGGTTGAAGAAGGCCATGTCAGGGCTGGCGTCACCCACAAACGTCGTGCATACCAACACCCTCCGTTCGTCTAACGTCAGGTCGAGGACCTCTTCTGGACTGAGAGGATGATCCTCGGGCTTCGATGTCCAGGTACTTTGAACGTCGGCATCCGCAGAGTGGGGCGGTGACTGGAGCTGGGCCGCCTTTGGGTCGAGGGGAACCAAGATTATCCCCTGGCCCTTTGCAGGGGTCAGAGTAAAGAAAGCTGGCGACCTCTCGGGCGTGGCGTTCGGCTTGGAAGGTCCATTGGGCTGCCTGGCGAGTGCGTGTGTGCTCTCCTGTTGCCCCTGTTGCCGTAAATCGTCGTAGAGTTTCTGTACGCTGAAGGGCCGACCTGAAGTGCTCAGTTTCTGAAGCGTCTCGGATAACGTGGCCGTGAAGGAGCTGGGTCCAGATCCTAGCGAGCTCTGGTCGGGGGTATAAGCAGCAATTGCTTGCTTCGCGCCGTGACTGCCGGCCACCGGCGTATCGCGGACAGCGCAGGAGTCGATCAGGAGCAATATCTCAGACTGGGCGTCCTCGAACAAGCAACGTACGCCATCCCACTTCAACTTGGCGGCGTCATCGCGCGAGTTGCTGAGTCGCAGGTTAACACGGGGAGCAGGGGGCGCGCGCGGTATCGTACCTACCAGGCCCAATACAGCTGGTTGTCGGGACCGACATACCCATGGCCGGCATAGTATATGATGAGGAGATGGTCCGGCCGGGCGTTGTCGAGGAAGGAAGCCATCCGGACGCCGAGCTTGACGCTTGGATTCGGAACAGTAGGGATGGCCCATTTGTCGGTGTGGTAGTGGTATCGCTCACGAAACACCTGCTCCAGGGCGAGCAAGTCCGGCTCGACTGATGTATCCTCCTCCCAGCGCAACATTAACACCGAGACACTGGTATGCTTGGGTCGAAGGGTCTGCTGTTGGATGTGTATGGCGGCATCTTGAAGATGGCGGGCGAATGCTTCGAACTCGTCGCATTCCGGCAGTCGTGAAACAGCTTCAGCGTGAGGGTAGTGCTGGGGTGGTACCTGCGGAAGTAAAGGTCAGTGTCATGAACAAAGTAGCCGGGCGAGAATTGCGGGACAAGCCACTCACCTGATCTTGGGGAAAAGCATGCGGAGGAGGTTGTGGCTGGGTCTGTGGTGTTGGAGGAAGCGCAGGCACGGCCGGAGGCTCGGGAACCTTAGGGGCTAGCCTGCGTCGCTTTGAAGAGGGCTCCATACTCCGAAGATACAGTTGGGAAAAGCGGCCTCAAATTGTCCGGCCGGGACACCAGCGGGGAAGGGAGAGATGTTGGCCGAGTCCCGGGAGGGGGGAGGGGGTTCGCTAGGCTGCAGATGCCGCAGATTTGCCGCTCACACCTACGGAAAAAATAACAGAAAAATCGTAACGAAACAAACAGTGGTCGAATTGGTGGAGGAAAGTGAGGAGAAACAGCAACAAGCGAGGCAAGACTGTGAGGCCGCACAGGGGGGCGGGATGGTGGGCAAGACACTTGCAGAGGGTAAGGCTGTTAAACCACTCGGCTCTGAATTAGCCTTGTGCAATGTCGGTAGCGCGGCCTGATTGGCTGGCACGCGCGACTCGGCTTTCCTTCGCCCTGCACGAGGGGACGGAGCCGGCAAGAGGTGAGGAGGGGGAGCGGGGCTGACACTTTGCCTTCAGGCCACTCAGAGGCTGCCAAATGACGCATGGCGCACGAGCCATGGCTGGTCGAACTGGCCCGGCCGGCCAGAATGAGCCTGGTCCCCACTGCCCACTTCCGTCGCCAAGGTGGGCTGCTTCCAAGTCTTCAACCCCCAAAGTCAATCCCGCTTCATGTTTCGATGCGTCGGGTCCATTGGAGGCCATTTCTGTATCTTCCGCATGCTTGCCCATGCTTCGATTACCATTTTTCTGCTTTCCTTTTCTCCATATTTGTTCCTCTTGATTCTTGTCTTTTTTAACGATGCCGCGTTTTCCCCGTCCGTGATCAACCCTGCGGCACCGTCACTCCCTCCCACCTCCCACCTCGTCCCCGCTTGTGTCTGCATTGCAGGACGTGTGTTCAACGGAGATGCGTCTTGCCATGCTCGATGGGATTTGGCCAACGCAGCCGACATAGAAGGGCCGGCGCGGATGCAGATTGCCTGGGCAACAACGCTGTTCACCTTGCTTGAACGGCAGCCCGATCGTTTCCTCGAGTCGCATCCATGCGTTTCTGCCCAACCTTAATTCTTGTCGTCTCCGTCCATTCATGTCTCTGTCTTGTCTCGGGCCTCTCCTCTTCGGGTCGTTGATGGGGGATGGAGGGACAAATCAGGTCAGCGATAGAACCATGCACGACGAGGCCCGAGTCGACCAGCGCTGCAAAAGTGCGGCCGCCGAACCATCTCATTGGAGAGTCTCAGCCTTCTGCAGCTGTCTGCGGCTACCATTGGTGCAACCCGGCCAGTTCATCGATTGATCGGGCAGCGCTCCACCTCGAAGAAGAGGAAGAGGATTTTGCTGACCGCTCTTGGACCGACCGCCGTGGCCGATTACACGAGACTGCCGCCGTCGCATTCCACCCCTCGAAGACTCAGTAGTTATGGCACTTTCGCTGAGGTTGACTAGATTCGCACGAACGCCCCGAGGTGTCGATGCCCGGGTCCCCAAACATATGGCCGCGTAGTAACGCTGGCGCCCGCTATCTACGCCGTCCTTGCTCGGTGGTTGTAGATGGCAAAATGAGACTTTCAGCCGATTCCGCAAGTTTGTTTTATTGAAAGGTCCTGCTTCCTAACGCTACCGGTTTCACCGACGGTCAGACCTTGTACCGCTGTAGCGTCCCCGGCTAGGACCCGCTGGGTAACCCCTCAAAAACACCGCATTACCGCTGTGGGCCACCAATGCCTCGATGGTCAATGGTATTTGGATTCCTAGCGCGGATTTAGGTTGCTAAGAATATGGCCGATCTAGTATATCGTGAAGATAACCAGGCTAGAAGTGTGTATAATTTGGCTTCTCGATTCCTTTCTGCCCCTTTTGTTTACTTTGGTCATGTGGCGATCTGGATTACCACAAGTGCCAAACGGGTATCAATTTGTCCAACGCGCACCAAGACACGACACAACAACCTGTATCTTCACATTTCCAACCGCAACCCGTCTTTTCCCATGGGGCAATCTATGCATCCTGCAGAGATGCCGGAGTCAAAAGGCTCGCCCCCGTGGACCCGTCCCCCCTTTCCGTCCCCTACCTCGACTTCTCTCTTCCAAACCTCATCCTACTCCCGCCTCCTTCGCCCTCGTTGGCGCCCATCCTCTCGGGAGAACTACCGTCCTCCTCCCGCCATTGGCCCCGCTTGGCCGCCTCCCCCCCATCCCCCCCTGTCTCCGACGAACCAACCGACTCCCCCCCTAACCACCGCTGCAAGCTCAACTCCGCCTCCATGACCGCGCTAGCAATCTCCCAGTTATCCACGCCCATCTGGAACAGGCTGATGTTCATCATGCCCTTGACGAACCGGTCGTGCGGCTGAGCGGCCTTGCCGCTCGGCACGATAGGCAAGAGCACCCAGTTGAACACGCCTAGCAGGGACCGCCAGGTCGACAGCGGAACGCGCCACGCCGTCGTCCATAGCCGGAGGAACTCGTCCGCGGTGACGACGAGGCTGAAGGGGCGGCGGTGCATGATGGCGCGGCTGTAGAGGAGGGCGGCGAGGCGGACGGCTTGGTAGACGTGGTCTGGTGCAGGGCCGTCCGAGTCCGTGGCTGGGGTGAGGGGTGGGGGTGGAGTTGGGGTCATTTCGATAGGGCGTTGTTGCGGCTGGCCCGTTGGTGCCTGTGCGAGTGTCCGGCGTGGCTTTTGGTGTTGCTGCCGACGCTCGGCCTGGGGCTGGACGCGGTGTGATGGAGGCAGCTGCGGGTCTTCGGATGTTTCTGGTATGGCCGAGGAGCCCCTGCTGGGCGTTGAGCTCGCTGCCGAGGGCCGTCGCCTAGCTGGTGAGTATTCGGGGAGACTTGATATGCGCTCGTGGATCCAAGCGGACGTAGTGTGTACTTTCTGGAGCTCCTTCGCGGACGGCTTTGCGGGAAGCGCGAGGACCGCCGCAAGAAGGAAGCGCATATCGTCAAGAATGGATGCAACGGCAGGATGAATGTGAAGCGCACTAGCACACGAGGAAAACCGCACGAGGGTGGGGATTAAGGGGGTGTTGAGGGCAAGCCGAAGTGGTATCTGTGAGCTATCGCGGAACTCGAATTCGGGCGTACCTCGCAGGAACGGCAAAACTTCAAATGAGAGGGCTATAGCAACATCGGCGCTATTTAGTTGGTCAGCGACTGTCACGGCTGGGTCAGGCGGGAAGGGACTCACGATACTGCAAGCTTGCTTATGAGACCATTCAAACCGAGTGTACGGAACCCTCCACGGGATCTGATTATGTCTCGGAGCCCGCGCAGGTGTGCTCGTAGGTCATTAGTATTTCCCCAGAGCCTGTTTTTCTGTCAGCACCGCCGGTTTCCTTCGTGCTGAACAGCAGTGGGTTTTGGCAGGGAGAAACAACATTCCGCTAGTACCAACGAAAGAGAAAAAGGTCATACCATTCATCTAGGGTGATCTGGAGCACGCCAGCTATCACCTCATCGCTTGGGGCCAGTTGTGATCGAATATGTTCGTTCAGCAGCTTGATCACACGACCCTTGTGGGCCATGGCAACTGTTCTCTCAACATGGCCAGTGTCGGTGAGGAAGCACGCCGCCGAGTAGATGGCTACATGTACCAACAGCTGCGAGTTGACGCAGTATGGAACGTAGTACTTGATGTATGGATTCGAGGTGTCAGGCTTTCCATCGAGTGATGCTGTGAACTGGGATACGAAGTTGACAACTGTACCGGAGCCACGAGTCAGCAAGTGGTTCACTGAGGGCACAGAAGTGGGTAGACCGCAGCGGTGTGGACTTACATATTGCCAGAAGCTCTTCGTCCCGCATCGTCTGCATTACTGGCATTCCGCCAAGCCCCTGAGCCGAAACGCCAACGGGCCAGGAGATGGTACCCGGTTCTGGAGACACGGCGGGTACCAATGTCCAGGCACTATGCTCCTGGGTCCAGTTGCTTCTGGCAGTCCAGTGGTGTTGGACAGGCCCATATGCTTGAAGGGTCCTGATGGCGTTGTGGACTTCATCCGAGTGCGATGTACAGCCCTCCACACAGGTAGTAATGACCATAGACAGGGTCTGCTGGTCGGTGCTCCAGGCATACTGCCCGGGTAAACTCGGCGTCGGAGGAAGCGTGAAGAGGTTGAACCCGGGCCAACTCGACATAACCCCGTCCACATTTTCTCGGTTCTGTTGTTGGCCCCAGGGAGATACCAGCGGCGAGGGTTGTGGAGCGAGAGGCGAGCAGAGAGCTTCGGTACCAAAGCTTCCTCTACTCGCCGGGGTTGCGGTGGGCAAGGAGACGGCGAAGGCCGGCCGCTGCGGCACCACGACACCACCAGGACGCCTGCGTTTTTCTGGTATCAGCGTGACCTTTGCCAACTGTCGGTTAAACCTCGAGAATATTGGAGCTTGACGTACCTACTACTCGGTTTGTACTCGCAAGTCGGCTGCGGGAACCGTCTCGCACAGTTGCTGCACGGTTGCCCCTGGTTGCACTACGAGGGTCAACATGATGCTCCTGAACACGACAGGAATGATACACTGCCGCTAACCTAACCCCCTCATGGGCTTGGTCCTGAGCCAACCAGTGGGTATTTTTCTGAACACAATTGGGATAAATGGTAAACCATGTTCGACTTTACCTTCTGCTTTCTCCGTCTACACTCCCCGCACGATGTTGTCGTTCGTTCTCCACGTAAGAGCCGTGGTACCGGGGGCTGCATTGGCTCGGGCATCGTTCCATTCATAACAACGAGCTCAGTTGTCTCCGAACGACACCTGCATGAGGCAGTTGGAGACCGTAGGGCTGACTTATAAGGGATATCTATGGACGGGGCTCGGACAAGGGTGGTGGGATGAGGCCTGAGTATGCAAGGCTTCGGATTTGAGACACCTTGGGACTAGCGGATAAGTAACCCGCTGGTTTTGGCCCCCCTGAGGAACCGCCAGCGATGGAGGCGAGGAACGGGGGGAGGGATGAATCCCAAGTTTCGAGCTGGGCTACGGAGGAAATGAAGAACGGCCTGTTTTTGCTAAACCGGGAAACGTTGTGATGTAGAATAAGACGAGTCGCAACTCGCCAGGGGCTCGGTCGGCTTTTTATCACGTATCAAATACGGGACTATTATTTTTGGAACCGAAAATGAGGCAACTCCCCAGGAAGCCAAAGCTGATTAGCTGGCCTCATGCTGACTTCGAGACACACTGCCGCACGTTTCTCGTAATCCTGGTTCACGGGAGGGTCACGGCACTTGTGTCGGAGGCGGTGCCGCTAGTTTGTTTCCTCTCAAGCGGTGAGTGGCTTGTCTTGTCTTCTCGCGGCACGAACATCAGAGGGTGAGCTCCTGCCATGCCATTGCCAAGAAATGGGGGGGGGGGGGGGAGTGGTAAGTGGGTGAGATCTCGTTTGACGAGGGCAGATAAAAAGGAAGGGGCGTGGGAAGCTGGTGGTCCTCCACATGCAACGAATACCGTCGCTACATATTACGGCGGCAGCTACACAGCATAGCGATTTTAAATACGTAGAAGCTCTCCCAAACAGGTTTATTCGTCCACACAAGCCAACGCCGGGGTGGGAATGACAGATAGGAGGGGAGGGGAGGGGAAGGGAGTGGAGGGGCGTATCGGGTTCGTTGACAACCGAGCCGAGGTGATGAATAGTCTTACGATCGAATATTTTCACCGGATCGAGCGAGCAATGCGTGTGTGGTAGCACTAGCCTTTCGCTTCGTCCTTCTGTATGGGGTGGTCTGGGCCCGCCCAGCTGGTAGTTCGGCGGAGGCTGCCACGCGCCCGAAGGCAGAGCGTTGAGGCAAGAAGAGCGTCGAGGTGGAACTACCCAAGCGTGACAAGGTGGGAGAGGGGACAGACAATTTCGTCGAGAGTCAGTCAGATGTACTAATACAGGTGGCGCCGCTAATGGGCCAATGGATATCGAGGCCATGTTCGCAACCCCCTCTATCCACCCCGCCGATGTCCCGAGGCTGGCGCAAAGCGCTGAAGACTGCGGTGGGTCGCAGGAGACCATTGCAGAGCTGTGAGCTGTCATTTCGAAATACCCAACTGCAACTATGCCCGATGCGTGAAGGACGTGGGGAGCTATCGTTTTTGCAAAGCTCCGTCCCTCTTGTCGCATTATATAGCTCTGGTTTCGACTCAATATTGTTGAGCGTAATGATGTCTCTCGCTTGGGGATCCAGTAAGGTTTGGGGACTAAAAACTTTCTCATCTCGAACTCACCCACCTGTCGAAATAAAGTTGCGTGCTGGACCAACCAACTGTTGCTGAAACGGCACCGGCAGACTGGGCCGCGGTGCTTTAGCGGGAAGCTCATCGAGGGCCACTCCACCCCAGGAGTGAAAAGTCCAGCGATTGGCCGAGTTAAGACACCCCCATGAACGAAGTCTCGGGGTCTAGACCGGCCGGCGGACAAGGGAGTGGTTGGCCTGAGCAGGCGCAGCAGGTGCTGCGTTCTCAGATCTCATGATGTCTTGAGAGGCCGCTCAAATTGAGAATATTGTAGATGATTGTGCCAAGTCAAGCATACAAATAAATAATAAATAAGAAGAAGAATAATATTGGTATCCATCCAACACACCCGAGTAGCTAACTCCAAACTCCTATATCCCGGTACCAAACCATAGTCTTTCAAGACGGATATACATGGTAAACATCTTCTACATAGATATCGTTTCTCGTGGGCTCGTAAAGGGGATCGCGGTCCGTGCCGCATTCATGGCTGCTCCCGCCGCCACGGGCGGAGGAAGTGATCCCGACTGCGGGTACGGCGGTGTACTAACTACCTTGAGTTGTAATTTGGCTTCCTCGCCATATTGACCACCGGTGGTGCGTCGTCATCAAGGGGGTAGGGCAAGACCGGGGCGGATGCTCGGCCGTAGGCTGCCTGGTTTTCTGGGAGTGGTGTCTTTGGGGGGAGCGGGGGTGGCACCGAGGGTGGCCTGACCCGCAGCGGCGGCGGCTGCATCAGGGGATCTTCGAATCGCCTGGGGTGATCGTCTGGCCCCATAATTGCGATCTTGTCCGCACCTGCGGCAATCCGGTACTGCGATGGCGTCGGGGCGTTGACCACTAGTCGATCCGAGTCATCAGCCGCACTGTCGGCGAAGCGGCCGGGCGGTGCTGGTGGGTGACCGGCGGGGGGCGCAGCGTGATAGGGCAGCTGGTTCAGCTTCGGTGACTGCCGTGGCGGTTCACCGGAGCTCCTCGGCGACGGCGTGGAGGCACGCACAGGCAACATGTCGTGCCCAGAGTCATACGACTGCCGGCTCGATGGGCTGTGGGGGTGAGGGGATACGGGTATGTCTCCCGGCAGCTCCACGGCTAGGGGCAGTGCTATCTCTGGCACCATTTGTGCCGCCGCGTTCGGGTTGGCCGAGCTGAGGCGTTCCCACCTTTGCTTTGCGAAGTGAATCTTGGCCAGCTTTGCCGACGCCCCCTGAACCATCCTCTGCTCGTCGTCCCTCGCAAGGTATCTCCTCGTGTTTGTGCTGATATCCGACAGCCGGTTCCACTCATTCATGCCGAACTCGCCGACGCCGACCTCGACATTCCACCGGTAATAGTGTTCGATGTTGACGCCGCGCCGCGCCAGGTGCTCCCTCTTCATCAGCTCATGGATCTTCTCGCAGCCCTCAATCTTTGCGATCAGCTTCCTCCTCGCATCGGCAAACTCGCCAAGAAAGCCCTCATACCACAGCGACGAATTCGCGTCGCTACCCTTTGGCCTCTTTCCAGTTCCGACGCTGAGGAAGACGCCGACCTCGCGACCAGGCCACTCGTTCACCACTGCCTCGTCGAGGGCCGTGAGGGACGGATTGAAGGTGCCCGCGCCGTCGTCATGGAACACGGACTGCCCGATCTGAATCGGCTTGAAGGCGAGGCCGATGGCGCACGTTGCTCGGCCAGCCTCCCAAATTTTGCAGTCAAACTCTGGTGCCGGCTCTCTCCGAGAATCGTAGGAGCGCAGCATGGCCGGCGCTCCGCCTTTTGCGGTGCCTTTGTAAACGGCGGTAACAACACTAGAGGGGGCGGATTAGCTACACCACCTCCCGGAGCGCGCCACAGAAGTGCCAGTAGAAGATGGGACTCACGTCTTAGTTCGGTTTTCTCGTTCGTCGTACAGACGGGCATTCGGGTTTCCTCCGCGGGAGAAGATGGGTTTCGCGTTCTGCGCGCTGGGGCTCCGCGCGCTGAAACTCAGCACGCTCGCGTTGCTGGTATGCCTCTTCGGGTATGCGGCGGCACTCGAGCGCGAAGCGGGGCTCAAAGGGTTGTAGGTGCTTCCCGCCTCGGATCCGTCGTTGCCTTCCTTCTCGTAGATTGTGTGTTCCCGAACGCATTCCTTGATCGCCTCCTCCAGCTTCGTCGCCTTGAACAAAGTCGAGCGGTACGGAATGCCGGCGATGGTCTTGTCCGTCTCAAACACGATGCGGGTGAGGCGGACGTATAATTCCTTGCATGTCTCGATATCGAGGCGTAACCGGCCAAGCATCAAGGCGATTAGGCCGCCGGTGCCGGTACCGACGATAAGGTCGAAATGGTCGCATGGTTTGGGGATCTCGGATCGTCGCGGTGCCCGGCCTTCGAGTTCGACAAACGTCCGGTGCATAATCTCCTGGAGAATTAAGAACATGGAATACCCGCGCACGCCTCCTCCATCTATCGTCGTGTTAGCCACGTTCGTTCGGTGATGCCGCGCGCGGAGGCATCCCGCTACGAGGAGGCGACATACCGAGAGACAAGATGCGCAGGGGCGGACCCTTTGTCGTGTCCTTGCGCTTTAACCCGTTGGAATCCATATCGTTCATCATCTGTGCCGCGGGGGACGACAGCGTTTTCGCAGCGGGCCTGGGAGTTGTGGTGTGGGTACCGAAAGCCTGCGTGGGCTTGCGGGCCCGTTGTGATGGCGATTGATGTTGAGAGTTTGCCGCGGGGAGGCTTGGCAAGGCGGCAGGGGAGAGTTCAAGGTGACGCAGGATCCAAGTCCGAAATGGCAGCGATCAGCCTGGCATGGAAATGGCAGGACGTCACTTGTGCAACTGGAGCGGAAGGCAGGAAGGGGATATTAGCAAGCGCAAGGAGCACGGCGAAAGACAATAACCGTATAAGAGTCAAGCTTTAGAAATTGTGGCAGTGCCCGAACGCCGAGTCCGCGAGTACGATTACTGTGACGCCGCGATCCCATGCCCACCGCTCGCTCGGCTGTCCCGGCGGCATGCCCCACACAATAATTGACGTTCGCTTTCATCTGGACCCTATCATGCCGGCACCCGCCGCTAAGTTATTTGTTCCTGCGCATTTCCGCGCATGAGCGTGCAGGAGAAACATCCATACTTGAGATTCTGTCTTGTTGGACCCCGAGTTTCGACGTCCACACGCAGCCCGCTGTCCACCAGTAAAAGGTGAGTTTTCCCGCAGCGGTGCCTGAAATCCGAACTCCCCCGCTGCCATGGGGCCGCCAGCAGGGCCTCCGATCACAGGGGGACGTCACCAGGCTTGGCTCGCGTTCTCATTCGACCCCACGTGCCCGCTCGCGTGTAGCAAATGCGGGCGTGGGAAAGGGATCCTTCAGATTTGTTCGGAGCTGTGGCTGTGTCGCCACGCTGCCCAGGATTTGAACGCACTGTTTGAGCTCATGTCAGCAGGTATTTGCGGGAAGTCCGAGGATCAATCGAAGCTCGGGCTCCTGGTGCTGAACCAGCCGCAACAGACCTGCAGAGGTCGTCGGGAGTGAATGTGTGGGCTCGGTGCTGTGGCGGGTGTGGCTTGACTTAATTAGAGTTGCATTTGTGACGACGTCATCGTTTGGTTTCTGGCTCTGGGCTTGAGTCGTCAATTGAACCATATTACCAACAAAATGAAAAGCACGATAACTCGCGGCCTCGAATTAATCGTTCCTAGATTTAGGTCACCATGACCTAAAACTCATTCATACTTTGCGTGAACACCACACACCCCCCGCCATCATGTTCTCGTCGTGCTTTGGGACTAGCCATGGCCGGCGGTCAGAGGAACAAGAACAAGAGCCGTTACTCCCCCAATATGATGATGCTACTTCGCGCCAGCGGCGCCTCCACCAGAAGCTGCACACATACCAGACGCTCCGCGCCTTGTCCAAAGGTTTCATGCCATCTAACGAGCAGGCAATCATCAGTCTCCGCACTCTGCTTGCTGCCGACATGCTCAATCCCAATGATAATACCCAGCTCAGCGACTCCGGGCGGGCCCTGGTACACTACATCAAACAATGGTTAAAGCAGCTTATCGAGCTCCTGCAGCATAAAAATGCTGGCGACCAGATTCAGGACTTCATTTGGTATTTGTCACAGGCGAGAGTGTCTGTTGACATGGAGCACATTGCCGAGCGCGCCGGCAAGGCGAAAGCTGCCGCTGACCGGGCGGCAGGTACGTGACAGCGCGTAGTGCGTGTCCGGAGGTGGTTGCTAACGGCGGCTTAGTTTACCGCAGCCTCCAAACGGTCGGTTCCCTGCTGCTCACCAACTCAGATTTCCGCTTGTTCCTCGGCGATCTCGACGTCGTGGCCCGTGAAGTCTTCAAAGACACAGCATTCGCCATTTCTGAAGCTTCCCAAGAGGCTGGCAAGCGCCTTGAGCCTTCTAGTGCGGAACAGGAATCGGTAAAGCGACTCAGCAACGGCTCCCAAAGCCCGCCGTCGCAACAAGAGCTCTTTGATCAGACCGCCGAGTTTTCCAACGTCGTGAGTGGAACGGTTTCTACGGTCGCCGGTGAGACCGAGAACAGCATGCGCCAAAGGTTGGAAGGCCCAGAGACAAACACCATGATTCACCGTCTAAAGGATGCCGTGACAAATCTTCGCCAACGCCGCGACTATTCGGATTCAGTCACGACGCTGTCGCTTCTCCTCAAACGCTATGCGATGATTTACGCACATATTGCTCGTGATACAGCCCAGGCGGTTGACGAGGATGTAGACCGCAACCGTGAAACGGACGAGGCTTTGCGGAACTTCTGGGTCTTTATTAGGTCATTCGGCGAGAAAAGTCAATGGGAGGACCTGGAGAAGCGCAGTAACGCGGTCGTGGAGCATGGCCGCGAGGACCCCGGTTTTGATGACTTAGTTGGCCGGTTGGGGAACGCGCTCCAGGATATGTTTACCGACCCGTCCTTTTTTGACCATGTCGAGGAACGTTTTCAGGAGCTCCGCGCCCAGTTCAGACAACTATCGTCTCATTCTTCTCTGCGGGACGACATAGACGGGCTTCTGTCGCAATTACAGGCAACATTTTATTCCGTCCTTAGAGATAAGGATGTGGCCAGCCTCATCAAGACATCGACCACCATCAGCAACATCCTGTCGCCGAAGAATCATTACGCGAACTCGGACCTTTTGGCGGACGCAATCAACGTGTTCGTCCCACTTCTCATCCAGTCAATCAACTACGTCCCCATACCCAGGCTCGAAGTTTCTACACCCCAACTCGACCTCCTGCTTGAGAACCTTGTCTTGGAGCCCGGCAGTACGGTTAACCACACATCATTCTTTCCCTACAAGCTTCGCATTGAAACACTCAATGATGTTGAGATCCGCAAGGCAAGGTTCCGGACAACGTCGGCTGTCAAGACATTGATGAGAGTCAGAGTAGACGGTCTCTCTATCCGGGCAGAAGAAATTGGTTTTTGGCTCAGGGCGCACTCGGGCCTCTTGAGGCTAGCAGACGAAGGAATTGCCTCGTTTGAACTGGACGAACGGGGTCTCGATGTCCAGCTCGACATCGAAGTTGGCAGGGACAGGCTTGAGAAGATTCTCACTCTCAGGGGGGTCAGGGTGCGCATCCACAAGCTCAACTGGAAACTTCGGCGAAGCAAGTTCAGCTTCTTTGCGTGGCTCTTTAACCCCCTCCTCAAGCCCATCATCCGCGGGACTGTGGAGATGAAGATTGCAGCTGCCATCGGGGAAGCCCTGCATTTCGCGAACCGCGAGCTACTCTACGCGCGGGAAAGGCTCCGGGCTACACGTATCGCAGACCCAGATGACCTGAAAACCTTTTTCAAGGCTGTTCTGGCGAGACTGGTGCCTCCTGATGACCCAGACCTCTACACCCGGGTCGGGGTGGCACAGCCAGGGCACGGCGTGTTTGAGGGTGTCTATACCCCTGGTAGTCTCGTTAAGCTTTGGAGAGTCGAGGCGGCGCAAGCGCCACAGAGGATCCGCGAGAACGAGAGAGATGGCTGGCGAAACAGTATTTTTGACGTTCAGGCAACGATGCTCACTTGAGGCTTTACTGGCATGTCCCAGTCCAGCGATGGAGTGACGCGGGTTCTCGCGGCGTGGCAATGTGAACGGTCAGACAACTTGTGGTTACCAATATGCCTTATTGGTTCTGTATTTGACCTAATTTGAACTTGTAGCTTAATGATCACATTCTTTTCCTGCATGTCCATTTTATTTAGTAGCATTAATTGGTATGTGTATTAACGCTAGCCACCGGGGGCCTGGCTGAAGGGGGGGGGGGGGGGGGGGGGGGGGGGGGAGATAAACCGACACGTGATTACATCCTGTCAATGCGAGAAACTGACGGCGTACGGTCCCAAAAATGGCCTCGTTGTTTCGGTGGCTCGAGGTTGGCCATCAAGAACGTGGGTGTGTTTTCAAGAAAACGGGGTCTGCAACACCCGGCCAGCCAGTAGCCGACCGAGCTGACGTTGGATGGTGTGCCAACATCAAAATCTCGCTCTCTAAGAATTTGTCGAGCTGTTTGCTAGACGGTCGGAGTATACAAAGGCTACTGATGAAGGGTGTGACTCTTGGCCGGCCGCACAACGGGGTGTGTTGGTTGTGTTACGGAGTATATAGTCTGGCAGTTGCTCCCAGGTTCCACGAAAGCCCATGTATGTCCCAAGCTCTCTGCAAACCTCTCGTCATACATAACTCGCTGCCCAATTTTAACTACCAACAATACAGTGCTGGAACCTGCAAAGAAAGCAAAGCTCCACTGAGTGCCAACCAACACCACCAACATGATTGTCGCAGACCTCATCGCGGTCATTCTCCGCCTCGCGGAGTTAGTCTTTGCAGCCATCATAGCGGGCCTCAACGGGGAATACCTACGCGCCGTCCGGAATGCCGACTCGTTGCAGCTCGCGCGCCAAATCTACGCCGAAATTGTTGCGTGCTTCTCGATCTTGTTCGCCATCATCTGGCTGGTCCCCTCCACCAGCATCTTCGTCCAGTGGCCGGCCGACCTTTTCTTCAGCCTGATATGGTTCATCGCCTTCGGGCTGCTTGTTGACTGGCTGGGTGACAGTTGTGGGTGAGTGACATGACCCCTGGAAACACCCTGCAATGAAAACAATGATGCAGGGCGTACTAACGGTTGGATTTTAGCTACGTTTTCGACTGGCGCGAGATTTCCTTTGGCGGAGCCGCCTCGTGCTCGCAGTGGAAAGCCACCATTGCCTTTTGTTTTCTGAGCGCAATCTGCTGGCTCATGAGCGGCATTCTAGGGTAAGGAGGAGAACTTTTCAACACCCTACGCGGGAGTGAACCTGTCATGCTGACTGAAGGACTAGGACTAACTGGGTCCGCCGCCGTATAACCCCGGGCAACAGCGGCCACAACGGTCGTCGCCCTCGGAACCGTTATTAGCGGGTTTGGGCGGCTAGTCACCGATATCCAAAATCCTACGCCTTCGGCGTTATCCGGCCCAAATACGATACCCTACTGCCCCAATTGTATATAATACCCGATGTCTCCCGGTTGGGTGAGCCTCGTCTCGGAGTTGGTAGCCAGATTTGTTGCCTTTTGACAGTCCTGTTGTACGATAGTAGTAATAACCACCGCACGATAGCTCGGTTTAGACATAAAAGGCCGTTTGAGAATGCTTCCTCGGTATCTGCATAAAACATGGTCGAGGAACGGGAGATCATAACCATGACCCCTTCTGTTACCCCTGAAAGTGTGGGAAAAGTAACGTTGTGAGCTTGAGGTTGTTACCCCTACCAAAGCCTGCGGACACTATTGTCGGGCGACGCCGAAGATACCGCGCGAGATCAGTCGTGAGATGGTTCCTGAGAGTCCCCCAAAGTCCCTGAAAATACCTACATGGTAAGAACCCTGGGTATGCCTGGCTCCTGGAACAGTCTCCTGCAGGGTCGGGCCGTGGGTGTGGGCCGGCGTTGGCCTGAAGTCGACGACGTCACAAACATGCTGCACCTGGAGCAAAATGTGGGGAAAATGACGGAGGGAGGGTCCCCACTCTGCTTCCTTGACCAAGTACTTCCAGATTCCGTACGAAGTCTTGCAGACCTCTGCTCTCACTGCCCGATATGTAGGTACCTACCTAGGTATGTACATGGCGAACGGAAAGATCGCCGATCGTCGATCGCTGGTTCGAGCAGACAGATTCGTTGAATCTAGAAGTGTGGTGGAGGAATCAACAAGAAGTGAGCAGGACGGTCACGCAAGAGGGCCAACAACATCTTCCCAGATGGACGACGAGGGTACCGACAGAACTGAGTGTCTTGGCAGCTTGGCAAGCCAGCGCCACTCATAAGCCACAGTCACTTCTCGGTTGCCCCTTGATGACGCCAGTTCTCGAACACCACCTGGTTTCTGCCCCCATTGATGCTGACCTAGCAATGCACTTGCTCCATATTCTGTGGGGAACTATACCTTGCTGTCCCGCTTCAGTACCTGCGTGTTTGTGGGCATTCTTCATTCGCAGCTGCTTCCAGAGGGCGGATATGCAAGAGTGACGTCGATGAGGTAATGGCCCGCTTCTAGGCGATGCTGTTTGGTCTCATTAGCCTTTTCTTTGCCTGCGAGGAACTTGAGACCTTGGACGGATGCGTACTGTCACTGCTGAAACCGGCGAGGATGATGCCATTGACGCCATGGGAAACAAGTCAACGGCCCGGCTTGTCCAACATGCCATGAAAGCTGGCAGACATAGAGGGGATAAACTAGGAGGCGAGAGATATATAAAGAGGCCTCACTGTCGCGAAACTGTGACGACTGAATCTTCCATCATCACGCAAACAACACACTTCACAAACTCAAACGTTCCCAATCCTAAAGACAGCTCAAACAAGACACCGCCATAAACCATCAACAACATGTCCGGCATCGTTCACAAGATCAAGGAGGCCGTCCACAGCGACAGCAAGTCTCACAACGCCCCTGAAGGCACTCACGGCCCCCATAGCAGCCGTGTCGCCAACGCCGCAGATCCCCGCGCCGACTCTGACCGCGATCACTCTTCGACTCTCGGCACCGGCCGCACCGCTGGCCACGGAGAGTTCGGAAACACTGGCTACGGTACCGGCGCCACTACTGGCGCCGGTCGCACCGCAGGCCACGGAGAATTTGGCAGCAGCGGCTACGGTACCGGCACCTCGGAGGGCGCACACGGTCCGCATGGCGGCCGCGTCGAAAATGCCATGGACCCTCGTGTCGACTCCGACTTCGACAATTCCCGCACCATGGGCGCTGGCCGCACTGCTGGTACCGGCGCCGGTGCCGGCTTCGGCTCTGGCACCCACCACACCCCAGGTGGTCTCGGTTCCGGTACTACTGGCATGACTGGCACCCACAACACCCCAGGCGGTTTCGGTTCCGGTACTACCGGCATGACTGGCACCCACCACACCCCAGGCGGCGCCGGGTCCGGCATGACCGGCATGACCGGCACCCACGGCGCGCCCGAAGGCAGCTATGGCCCGCACAGCAGCCGCATGGCTAATGCCGCCGACCCACGCGTCGACTCGGACCGTGACGGCCGCGGCGCTATCGGCACCGGGCCCGGCCCTGCGCCCAACACCGCCGGCCAGCACCGGAGTGACATAGCCAACAAGGCGGACCCCCGCATCGACTCGGACCTCGACGGCAGCCGGACCATGGGAGGCAACAAGACCTATCAGTAAGTAAGTAAACTGTTTTCAACGCACACAAGGGAAGATCGCGGCTCGACTCCTCTTTTTGTGTCATCTTCACCCTCCGCAGGGCTAACCCGGTGACAATTAGATCTGGCGCGATGTCGGCACACCGCGACCCAACCGACGCCTCCCAAGTGCCTCCTTCGGTTTTGAAGAAGCACCTCGGGGGGCCGTCGATTGAGCACGAGGACGCCACCCACCATCGCGAGAGGCGCAACAGTATCAAGACGCATCAGGAGTCGTTCAGTGGTATCTGATTTGGTCTTCCTCGGTTGGATGGATAGCCGGGCAGAATGTATCATGACGGGTTATGAAGTCTTTTCTTTTGTTTTGTCATTGTACTCGGACTGTACTATTAGCAGATACCACGCAGCACGAGGTTATCCCCCTACGATCATATTGGTCGAAATTTGAAGACCGTTGCCGTTCGAAAAGAAAATGGTTCCTTGGACTAAACTCTTGTCGCGCGATTCGTATCGGTGTTGTCTCTCGGTCGTCTCGCCTACCCTACCGCCGCCACTTCATTTCATGTTGCTTAGGAGTAAGTGGCTTGCTCTCCCACCAGGTGTGTTTTGAAGTGTCATCGAGGGTTTTGAGCTCGGGATTGTTCAAGATCCCAAAGCTTGGTAGTTGCGCCGGAGCCACCAGAGACCATGCTGGGTGACGCCGGAGTCGAGTGGATTATTGCAAACTTATTCGACCCGGGTTTGCCTGCCAAACTCTTAAACAGGAGCGTATTTATGCCATGGATCCAATATTCGGCGCGCGAGTTAGCATCAATGGCATGCTGGTGGTGATATGGTATTGTGGTGTGTTATGTTATGTTGATGCTTTGTTCAAGGTTGTGGTGGTCAGTGGTGAGGTTCTCACCCGACAGGGCGGGGCCGCTGTGAGCTGGCCTGTGCACACAGGCGACCTCGAAACAATGGAACTTCCATGGTATCAAGAACTACTCAGCTCTTTCTTCGATGCACTCACAGTAAGGTGTTTTTTTTTTTTTTTATATGAATAAACGAAAACACAACCGGCACTTTTCAGCCCGCCCGCTCCGTGTCTTCAATGCCGTCGACTCGATAAGATACGAGTTTCTTTTGTTTATCTGCGACAAGCCGAAATACCCATCGACGGAGGGTCATTGTCCACCCAGCCAGCCATTCACGGCTCATTTTCCGACTCTATGGACCCGTCATTAGACTCGACAGTTCCCAGCTCGGATGAGAGCATAACGCCATCATCACTACCGCCATCGACCTCGATACCGAGCAATATCAGACGGCCCCGGGGCCGTGTGGCTAATGTCTACGATGCCGTCGCGGGTATGTCCTCCAACGGCCAAACACACAAACACCACACCCATGTGCTTACCGGTTTTAGGGCGTGTCACACTGAATGGGGCTCTCAGCGACTCGGAGACCGCCGTGAACAGAAGCAAGCGTCGCCTGAGCGTGACCTCTGGCCGCTACTCGTCGCGCAATCCGAAACTGGCCCCTGAGGAGGCCCTGTTTAGGCGTAAGAACGCGCCGGTCCGGTACGCCGAGCAGGACATATACTGGGCCAACGAGGACCTCCCTAATAATGGCCATCGTCTCCCCGACACCAACCTGCTACGGTCTGTACACGGTTATGCTAGTAGATTCTACGACGCAGCAGCCGGCCGTCTTGGCCCTCGCTGTGTCGTCGGGGCCAGGGCCATTGACGAGAGGAGCATGGACGAGACTGCACTATTGGCGGTGGGCATCTTGCTAGAGGAGGCCAGCCGGGAGAGCCTAGGCAAGAGGGGGGATGTCGTTTTTACCGAAGCCTCGACGGAGCCCAAGCTAATGGCTAAGACCATGCCGGTTACCAAGTTGCCTCGGCCGAGATCTGCGGGTTCTCAAAGTGCCGATGAAGCCCCTACTACTCAGAGCTCTCGAAAGGCAAAGCGGAGAAAGGTGGAGGAGGGAGACACCGTCGTGAACGAAGTATCATGACCAGATCCAGTTATCATGACCGGATCCAGTCTCATTCTCGATAAAAAGCAAATCGCACGCATCGGGAGCTGGGAGGCCCGGGGCGTCGGCCGCGTCGCATTGGATGAAGCATCGATTCCTGTTCGAGAAACGTGTTGGACGCACTCTTGGGGAGTTCGCCACCAGAAAAAGCCCTAAGAAACGGGCAGAAAGAAGGAAGAGCCTCCGAGACGTGGTTTTTAATCCTGCGCTGTTTGCCACTCCTTACTCGCTTCCCTGCTGCCATGGTACTGGGACTGGTAGCAGCGCCGAACCCACACCACCGGGTCGCGTCAAAAGCAACAAACCCGAACGGCGGGCGTGATGGCGGTTGGCCACTCAAAAGGAGCCCATCGCCAACTCTCGGAGGCGAAGGGGTTCGTTAGGCATGAGAGGCCAAAACCACCGGCTTCCTCGTATATCCACCACTCCCTCGACCAAATTTGAGGCCACGGCCGTCCCACCCCGGCCCGCAAAATGAAATAACATGGCTTTCTGACCTCTCAGCCGAGCACGCCGTGTTCCCAGGACTGGCTTCATGACTGATCACGTTACTCACCCTCCCACGCCTGCCTTCACATCCTCCGGTTCTTGTCACTTTCGGTTGCCGGATCGTCATCCAATCACCAAAAATTACCCTCCAGCAGCCGGCTTTGGTTCGCACGGTGCCGCCCTTACCGGTTGGGCCCAAACCGTGTCCTTTTTGGTGCTTGACCCGTAGCATCCGTCTCTGTACACGGTACGTGCACAGCTCACGATGGTCATGTTGGTCGTCGCAATCTGTGATCGGGGTATGGGGTGGCGGCCATCGGAATTTGTGAAGGGGCATCAGAATGTCCAAATATCATTACCATTCTGCAACGATCCATCCACCTTCCCTCGAGGAGGTCAGTTCTCGAAGCCTCGGAGACCTTTGGCCAACAGTGGCAGCATCTCTTGGTTACTCTCCACTCAGCGTCCCTCATGGCAATCAACTACCGGACGGATGATGTATTAAATTATTTGGTTGCTTCCCTCGGACACAGCACCCAGCATCGTCGTCCGCAGGCTCATGCCGTTCAGATATCAGGTGGCCCCCTTCGCCCCCTTTCTCCCTGGATCCGCGGCCAGCAGGCTCAATATAACAGACCGAGAGAGACGTGCCACCCATGCGTGTGGCAAGCAGCTGCTGGACTCGATGTTTCCTGGACTTTGGGATGCCACGGTTGTAATTCGGAAATGTAAATGCCGAGTTGTTCGAGTACCGTATAACCCTGTTGGCATCGTGCACGCACGTGGGTCCATACTTGTGTGCATGTATGTAATCTGTACTTTGTCTCAGTTGGAAGGGGGAGAGACGCCTTGTTGAAGGGTCTCGACACTTGTCGTTCGGACTGTCTAGGGTGTTGGAGGCGATGGCGCTTCCCGCTTCACTTTCTGTTTGATTGGCAACCAAGCTCGGCCAACCCCGCTGCTCTTCAGGGAACTTTACCTGTTCAAGTCCAAGCAACAACCACAATTCTGTAGATCATGTCCCCAGCCAGTGCCAGCCTGACGGATCCTCGGTCTGGTGCCGCACCGATATTCACCGATGGGGCAGGGGGGCTCATTGTCACCCAAGAGTTGGGGGTCACGCCACCTCCGGCCCGTGGGATCGGTGGCAGCGCTCAACCACGCGGGATTTAAGAATCACGGGCCAACCGGTTGAAGGGAACCAACCATGGACAGTCAGTTGGTTCTGTTCAGGCGGCTCGAGAAAACGTGGCGTGAGACTCAACGTCTTCTGTTTGACAAGGGCATGATGGCCGTTCGGGGCCCCCGTTGTCATCTTTGTGGATGATCGACCAGCCAAAGTATACATATGTAGACGGTTACCGTGCCGTCTCAACGACGACTGGTGGAGCTTTCATAATTCATTTTGCTCTGGGAGTTCCTGATATCCGAGCTCTTGGCTAAGAAAAGAGCCAAGCGAGCCGGTTTCCAGGTCCTCGGACCTCGCCCGCATTCTCGGAACCCCATTCTATCGAATGATTGGACAAGGCGCCTGAGCCCGTTCCATGGCCGTGTCTGCGGGCCGACACTAAAATAACATGAGCAGACACCAGAGGAGCGGCGGCGGGTTTGGAGGAAGCGCAAGTCTCGGCTCTGAGGGGCCCTGGTTGAGTTTGTGTTCAACCTTCAAATTGCTGTGTAACTCTCCACGAGGCTAGCAGTGGCTGGGCTTCGGTACGAAGTATGGATGTTGGATTGCCGGGGAGAGGCATGCCGTGGCAGGTGATGTTAAGCTCCTTTGCCTTGAAAGTTGACCTTATTGTACTTGGTATGTATGGAGTGTACTGTACATAGGTACCAAGGGAGGTCGGTGCCTTTGGTGAAGGGATGCACATGGGTATGGGTACTTGAGTGCCGTCGCCGACGCCGTGGACATTGCCGATAACTCGACCGCCGACACTGTCGTTATTTGCGACCGTCTTATTACTTGCCCTCGCGGTGAGCGGTGAGCCTGATGCTGCCATCACTATTTGAGAACCAATGAGGACGATCCCGCAACCCACTCTCTGGATTTGTGACTGTCACGGGAAGGCCTGGTGGAAAAGCGGTCCTTCCCCCACGTTCGGGCCCTGTCTGATTTCGAGCGGAACTTTGATTCCACACTGTCCTGGCATCTCCAGCTTTCCCACTTCCCATTCCCGAGATTTCGATTCGACGTCTTCGCGAAGGACGATTTGTTTTCCGTTTGCGGGCCAAGTGTCACCGTTGTGCGCCACTGATGCGGTGAGTGCCTTCTATTTTTCCTGTTTTGTCTTCTTTCTCGACTTTCTTTTTACCCCCTCCTCTTACCCCACAGAGTTTCACCATCGAGCAGCCTGGGGCTGAAATGGGATGCTTGGATTGATCGATGATGTGCGTCCGCAGGTGCAGGCCCGCGCCAGAGGAAGAGAGCCCTGGACGTCTGGCACAGCCCCCGTCCCAAGTCGGCCGCAACGCCCCGTTGTCGGGTCGTCGGTACCGCATGGTACATACTCGTTCGGCGAGTGTGGTGCGAGCAATCAGGGCACGGTGCGGAATCCGACCCTGGTCCGCAATGCTGAGCGCCCAAACTTTGGGTTGCAATGTTGCAATGGGCGCTCGCTGCTCGCTGCCCCGCTGTTCCTGCTCCCTGCCCACCACGCGCACTCATGCATGGCACCTCTCCCAGCGCTCTGTCTGTGGGATGAACACCCTTCCCACTTGCACTTGCCTCCATGAGGTTGGATGGCGACGGCTGAAGCGGCCCAATGCACCCCCCTCCCTCCGTCCGGCTTCGCCAGGGTGTTGGTGCTCAGGTGCATCTGGATATCTCGTCTCCGTATCTAGTGGTCCACTGCGTACCGCTCATCACCTCATCACCACGGCTCGGGGGTTTTGGGGGGGGGGGGCGAAAGGCAGAGAGGCCCGGGGCGCTGGATGAAGCTGGGAGGTTGTGCTGGTCGCCCCTGCCCGTTTGTTTCTGGCGTTGCATGTCTTTCTTCGAGCGAGTTTCGGCTTGGCATTTATGGGATTGGCGAACTTTCCCTGGACGCCACCCATGCGGCGGAATCGCTGCAATCGCGCTGGGCGATAAAATCAAATCTCCGCAACCCTCGTTCGGGGCCACCCATCCCCCGTCAAAAGAAATGGGACGGCTGCCGAGCGGAACAGAAGCACAGAAGCAAAAGAGGAACGTTCTTCTGGCCCCGCCTGCATGGCACGACCGAGGAAGGCTAGTGTTCGTTACCTCGCCTGAGTATCAAACCAGCCTCCTCTCGTCCAGAATCCATTGTCAGCCCGGTGACCCCCCCCGCGCTGACCAGTGTCACAAGTACCAGTGCTGACATCCTTTTTGCCGGTCTGGCTTCGGCAGGGTAGGTAGTTATCTGTCACCGCCCGTCCCACGCTTCCTGTCTGTCTGTCGCCTCCAAGCAAACGAACTTGAACCAGAAGCGCGCGAGACGTTGCAGCGAGGCGAGAAAAGAAAGGAAAAAAGTCCCAGAATCCAACGCGAACTGTGTGGAAGCCACTTCTTCAAGCCCGCCCATTCGTCGGCGACCCAAGCAACCGGCGTCAGAGCAAAAGCCGCTTTCCTCGAAGGAGTTGTAGCAGAGAGGAACCCCCCGGACCGAGTGGGGAGTGTGGAGACCCACCCGTTTGCGCGTTTCTGATTGTTCAGCGGCACCCCTGACTCTCTCCACCATCCTGGTTCCGCCCGGGGTCCCTGCGACGTGCTCGGCGCCGTTGATGACCAGAGCTCAATTTGTTTTCTCGCCAGGCCCAAAACACCGCCTGACCGGTTCCCGCTCCTGCCATTGACCGTGTCCTGCGACCGCTCCGTCACGCTGCGCCGCCTGACAAGTCTCGCACACGCTGGCCTCTTTCGTGTGATTCGATACGCTAGTTATCCCACTCTGGGGGCTGCAATACGTTGACGGAAAACACGGGAGCTGCCCTACCGCCGGCCTGCCGAAACCCGTACCGTACCCTTGGACCTTGGACCTTGGACCGAGCTCTCTTTTCGCCCTCCCCACTCCGCCCACCCCAAGTCGCGAACGCGCGCAACACAGACCACATCCCGTTGCTGCCCGACTAGTAGCTACTGGTTCCCTCCTGCTCAGCCGAACTGCTGGTGAGAGGCGGACTCCGATCATTGAACTGAGGGGCTCTCTTCCCAGTGCGAACCAGAGGCCTTCAAGTTTCTAACACGCACCCCCCTCCCCCCCCCTCCCCCCCCCTTCTTCGCGCGCGCGCTTTCACAGACCGCCTTGCGCCGAGGGTTATTGAGCTATTCAACATCTCGCGGTGCGCCGTAGCTGTGTCTGACGCTCACAGTCACGGGGTCTGCCGGATCCCCCCCTGCCTGGCTCGTCTCCAAGCAGGCGCGGGCTGACCTCCCCGCTTGTGCTCCATGCTGCCGCGGCAAGCTTCCTGCTGCCCCGTTGCTTGACCTCGCCTCTGGCCACCGCCATCTGGTGTCAACAGCATTCATGTACATGCATGTATAAAGACCCCAGCCATGGACCAAGGGCCGCCCGACACCAAGCGACCTCGCCTGTCGACTGGCACGTCATGGTCAGTAGTTGGGGGTTCACACCACGGCGTATCTCTGCTCCATCCCACTCCTTCTCCAACCGCCGGCCAGCTGCCTCATCATCCCCCACCGTCGACCCAGTATCAGCAGCATTCACCGCTTTCCTTTGCGCGCCCTCTCGGCCCCGGGGATCATCCTCCGCCTCCGCCGCATCCGCCTCCGCCTCCTCACCCCCATTCTCACCCTCACCCTCACTCGCATCCCCATCCTCACCCTCCCGCATCGCAAACGCCCATCGACGACCGGCGGCAACATGAACCGGATAGGTTTCCGCCAATGCAAGAACACAGGCAGCCTCCGCACTCGCCGGCACACCCGCCGTACCCCCCCTATGCTCCCCGAGAACCGATGATCAAGGCGGATCCCGCCGATGACACACTCCCGCAGCTGCGCAGGCCTCTCTCGACCGGCGGCAGCGCCCAGGATAACATGACACCGGTGACGCCGCATTCTGCTGTCCCACCGCCACCCCACTCCCAGCCTTACGGCGAAGACAGGCGGCATATGAGCTTCGACAACGGCCCGCAGCCGCCCGTGTACAGTAGGCAACCCAGCTATCAGCCGCAGACCCCGGTGCCGCACCCTCAGTCCTACGACTACCCACCGCAGTATGCGTCACACGGCGAACTCGCCTACCCGATCCAAGTCGCCGCCGCCTCGGGGAAACGCAAGGCGCAAAGGGCGTCTCAGGTTTGTGGTCCGGCCGAGCCCGGAGCGACGGCTGGCACTTGCTGACCGTAAATGCAATAGGCGTGCGATATGTGCCGGCAGTTAAAAGCCAAGTGCGACGAGCTCAAACCGTGCAAGAGTTGCAAGGAGAAGAAGGTTGAGTGCAAGTATCGGGAGGCCGTCCCGAAGCAGTAGGTTTTCCCCCTTCCGCCCGAGCTGCCATGGCCCGCCGACTGACGCGCGAGATACAGACAGGACAAGATCGCAGGAGACATTCTGGATACGCTCTTGGCACTGCAGAGTAGATTCGACTCGTTTGACCGGCGCATGGGCGGGATCGAGCGCGCGATGTTGCGCAACGGAACATCACTTGACATACAGGCCGAGCCCCTGCACGACGACCACGAACGGCCCGACTCGGCGGAATCGGCACCTCCCGCGGCCGATGCTGTCGGCTCATTATCGCCGAGAGAACCAGCAGCAGACCGTGCCCCTATCAACAGCGTCGAGGCGAGATCAATCACGCGTAATATGGAGGATGAGAGAGAGGAGGTGGAACCCGGGCCCGTCGTGCGACCCGGTGTCCCGTCCATTCCCATCAATCACACCACACTGGCCGCTTTTTTGCTCAAGTGGCGGCCCATATCTATCCTCGTCCGGGATATCTTGGAATCCGAGAACGTCAGATACGTGGACGAGTTTCCGATTCGCCAGGAAGAGAGGCGAGGCGTCCTCCGAATCTGGGGGCGCGGCGAGGGCCTGGAGAGCAGCCTCCGAGTCGACAAGGCGGATAGAGAGGCTCTCCGTGATGTGGGTGTGATGGAGATGGCACTGGACGACGTATCGGAGACGGGCGCGCCCTCTCCTGCCGATTGCTGGGGCGGCATCAGCGGCTCCCCTGGCCCGGTCGATGGCAAGCCCGTCATGTCAATGCAGACTCCGGACTTTAGCGAAGCGTTGGTGTGGAAGTACGTCAAGAGCTTCCACGACAACATTCAGAACATGCATCCGCTTATAATACCGCGCGAGCTAGACGCCATGGTGAAGCTGTTCTTGGACACCGTCCAACAGAGCATAAGCAGACAGCCGCAGAGCCGGATCGCCAAGTTTGTGAGCACGTCGTCATCACAGTCCGAGACCGGGTCCAAGAGGAAGCGGTCGCCTGCCCCGGACTGCGCCGAGTCGCCTTCGGTGTCGCCCAAGTCGTACAAACCCGCCTTCCAGCGGTCCATCAACAACGCGCTCGTCTTATTGGTGCTTGCGCTCGGAAAGATATGTCTGCACAAGGACAGGATTCCCGATGTGGTACCGGTCAGCGAGCCTCCCCCGCACGGCTCGCCTTTGGCGCGGAACGGGTACCCGGCGTCCCCAGTGCAGGGCTCCTCGCCCTCCCAGGCGTCCCACTCCCACTCGGCCGGCCTTCCTTCTCCCAAAGAGGGCTCTGAACGCCCCGGGCCCAATAGGCGAGCCTCGTTCCCAGGGGGCGGTGCATCCATGAGGGGAGGGACATCCCCGAAAAGGAACATGGACGTGATCCCGGGGTTGGACTACTTTGCTTACGCCACCGATATTCTCGGCGGACAATTGGCTGGCAATAGCCTCCGGCACATCTACGCGTACCTCCTGGCAGGACTGTACCACGGGCAATTGGGGAGGGTCTTGGAGAGCTATGCTTACATCAAGGAGGCCGGCTTTGCGTTGCAAATCAAGATGAGACCGTAAGCAGGCCCCGCCACTGTTGCTTGGGGCTCCATCGCTAACCGTGGGAAACAGGAGCTTGGATCGGTTTAGGAAGCTGCACGAGGTTGGCCGCCAGGACGCGGTGACGGAGAAGTCAGACAACCAACTCGTCTTTGCCTTCTGGACCTGTCTGCAACTCGAAAGGTGAGCCTGGGCTGCCAGCCAGACAGCGTGAGAAAACGTGACGAACCTTGCTTCTAACACGACTACTAATAGTGACATTATCGCGGAGCTACCCCTGCCGCAATCACACATTTTGGCGTACGAGGACATGATGCCGTATCCAAACATCCAAGTGGCGAAAGGGCTAGGCTTCGACGAGCACGTGCTTCAAAGTTATCTGGCGCAGTTGTACCTGCGCAAGAGGCTCAACCAAATCCACGGGATGCTATACAACCCGGAGAAGCCGCTGCCGCTCAACGCCACGTCGGGGGCGCCTGGTGGTAACATTATCGACTACATCCAGGAGACGATCAGCATGCGCTTCGTGCCGCCCGAGTTCAAGTTCGAGCCCAGCGATCCACCGGCCGGGGAGATCTTGTCTGCCCGGCTGCGCGCGAAGTACTGGGGGGCAAAGGTCATCACATACCGGCCCTTTGTTCGCCAGATTCTCGAGTTCAACTTCCAGAAGATGTCCAACGAGTCTCCTATGCCCGCGTCCGATTTCCGCTCTGGCGTTGTGGTGCCCGTCATCGGCCCGAACAACGACATTCCTCCGCAAATGATCGAGTATGCAGTCAAGGGGGTCGGTGCTTTGATTGAGAGTACCCGGGCGTTCCATGGCCTTAGGGAAAAGCGATATGTGGTGACAAACATTTTTGGAACTGCTCATGCGTAAGCACCCCTTCTCACTTTAGTTTTCGACCTGATCCGGCGTATTCTAACCCGATTTTTAACAGTCAATGGGGCAACCTCCTCACCCTCGCGGCCGTTTTCCGGGACCCCACGCTCCACGGATACATCAACGAGCAGGTTCTCAGGGAGCTCTTTTTCAAGACTATCTCCTTCTTCAGGATCATCGCGCCCCCAACAAGCGCGCTGCACGTCGACCTGCGGATTTTGGAAGGCATCGAACGGAAGCTCTGGGGGTCATCCAGCAATACCGAGGTAATGGACCATCCGACCGGGTCCAGTCTATCGAGCTCAGCAAGCGGCGGACCCATGGCCCCGGCAATTTCGATGCCGCCCGTCGCCGGGCCGGCCGGTCTTCGCTCCCCAGTTAATCGCGTCAACAACGGGATGATGAGCATGTCTCCGCCGTTGCCGTCGTCTCTTCCGGCGACGATGCCCGGGGCGACAGCCCCGCTGGTTGTACCACCACCCCCCGAACCCGGCCATGGGCCGCACCCTGGCATGCTGCCTCCCATGCAACCCCAACCGCCTCATCACTGATGGGGGTCTTGGCATAAGCTGGCGGTTGGGGGCGGCGATTCTTATTTTGTCTCTTGCACCTTCGGAAATTCCTTTATCGGCAATACATCTTGGCGTTAATGGGAGTTTGCGTCGGCCCCTGAACCATTTATCTAGTCTTACGCTGTATTTTTGGCCAACCCCCATAGACTAAGCTGGGGGCGGCCGTCCCCGACCCCTCCTCATCCGGGCCGCTCACAGGGAGCGCACCCTCTTTTATTACCATGCAACAACACCATGGAGAGGGGGCCGTTACACGTCTATTTCCATTTCCATACCGACGGAAAATGGGTTCGAAGCCACTTGTCTCGTCTCGGGGCCTGTTTCATAGCATTTACACGGTCTTGTTCGATATGGGAGCGGCGGAGATACCTATGTGCGAACATGTTTTGGTTGATTGGGTGGATTGGGGGAGCGGGGGCGGAATGTGTGTGGGGGGGGGGGAGGGTGGCGGCTGTCTTGTGGTTTTACCGTCTTGCTTTTTGGCTGTTCAGAGGGAGGCTTATTCTATTATTATGTGTTCACAACGAGGCCACTCCCCTGCTCCCGTCTCTGTTCGTTCTGGCTAATTGGATTTCGGGACTTTGCCTGGCTGTCCCGGAAATTCAAATCCTCTTTACTATTTCTAATACATACAAGCTTCTTGGTATCAGCATGTGGGTGGATGGAAGCACGGCGGAAGGTGTGCGAGTTGCGTGTCTCTCGGGGACGATCGGGGACGAGATGAAGGGGTGTATATCTCTGGGGAAAGGGGAAGACAGGACGATGTGCGTTGATGGCGGCGAATACATACACGCTGGGTTGCCGTTAGAAGAGGCGCTTGCCGTCGGCATGGTGGATATTGGGCGGGATTCGTGGTATCAGTAAATACATATATATACATACATCAGGGAATGGTAGCCCAATCCATGCAACGAAGCAGAACAAGACTGCCGTCACATCCAATAAGGCTTTGCACGATGTGTGCCGTTTCCCGACGTACGTTTGCGTACATCTGGAACGCAACGGCTAGGTTGTCTTCATAATAACACGACACAAAAACACAACCATCCATCGGGATAGGCGGCTTCGCGCATCAGCTCCTCTAGCGGCGCTCGAAAGGGGACAGGGCCGCCGTGGAGTATCACGTTCGCCAGGACAGGGTCCCGGCTGCTGGGGAAGAGAGTTGGGAGGATGCTCTTGAGGGCGGCGCCCAATGTCTGCGGGGTCCCTTTGTTCGCCATGCAGCGTCAGCCATTCTGAAGTGCTCCCCAGTGGGAGCCCGGGGATAGGAGGGAAGAATCTTGGGTGGAGGCGGAAAAAGCTCAAGCTTACTATTGGATAGTCGTGGCGGCACCAAATTCTGAATTACCTTGAAAGACCCTGGCGTGGTGTCTCCTGTGTCGCTGGGGGAGGAGGGGATGTAGATCCGCATGGGGACGTTTTTTAATGGAGACGGAGTGTTGAGCAGCCGTCTGTTGACCTTGCTGAAGGCGGCATGATCATCTGATCACCAAAGAATGTCAGTCCCTTTCGTGTGTCTCAAGTCAACAACACGCTAGCTAGATGAAACCCCCGAGAGGAGCTGGTACGGAGGGGAGGAGCACGCACTATCCTTGATAGCATTCCACAAAGTGGTACTGTGTTCCTTGGACAGGCTCATGATCTGCTTAGCATTGCCATTTCTCACAAAGTCCGCCTCCTTCGCCGAGTTGGTAAAGGTGTCGGCAATGTCCCACTCCGGGCCGTCACCAACCACGAGCCGCCAGGGAAGGGCGGTAGGCTGGTACAGGTCGACCAGCAGGCCCACCGCTAGGTTGCGCAGCTGGATCTCCTCATGGTGGAAGCTTGAGCACGGCAGGCCATAATAGAGCGACAAGCGGGGCAGCAGTAAAGCGAGGTAGCTGAATCGTGGGACCGACACGATGAAAGGGTTGGTGGATTTGGACGCATGGGTGATGTACAGGGGCACCTGCAGGCCCCAAAGGATCTGGGGGAGCGGTGTAGCTGCGTCGGGAGCATCGGGCGTGCCGGGAGCATTGCTCGCCTGGCGGTGATCGGTCCGAGGGTCGGGAAGAGGGGAGCCGGTCAGGGTGGAGGACGCCGATGGTGAGGCCATTCTGTGGTGTGACTTTCCTCCACTCATTTCCTAGACAGAGTTGGGGATGTCCGTCTCTGCTGGGATGACTCTTGCTTCACTGGGCGATATCGTCTTGTCTCTTCGTTGCGGGAACTGATACTGGCACTGATGACTCTAGGGTAAGGTTGAGTAAAGAGGTAAGTAGGTACCTATCGAGCTAGGGTAAACACGGCAACCACTTCAGTGCGGCGGTCGATGGTGGGTGGACTGGCGTTGCATGCTGCAAATCGATCGGGCTCGACAAATGGTTGTGGGGCGGGTCAAGGCCCAAAACTACGGGTCGATGCAGCTTGGTCGATCTGATCTCCGTCCGAAAGTCGACAGAAGAAGCGCTGCAAGCAACAAGCCTCTTGACCGGCAACAGACATTGCCGGGGGGTGGAGGGCAGCTCCGTGTCAGTTGGGACTGCCCGGACTGCGGGGTCGCTCTTGCTGTGTCGCGGCTTGAGGGGTCAAGGCGGGCACGGCGGGGTGATCAAAACCAATCAGGTTCGGCATGCACTGTGCAGATCCACTGTGCAGATCCACTGTGCAGATCCACTGTGCAGCTTCCACTGTCCCCATCCGTACCTCCCAAGTCCAGAGCAATTCATCCCTGGCTCGAGCCGAGCCAATCTTGCAGGTTTGCTTCGGAAGCGCAAGTGATGATGCAGCACTGCAGGCAGGTTGTTGGGCTGCGCTGTCCCCGCCGCTCGGGCAAATCCCGATCTTTCGATGCAGGTTGGTCTTCCAATCACATCTCAGCCAAGTCCCACCGTCAAACGACCCCAGCATTCCCGGTCACTGGTATGCCCGATGAAGTCCAGCGAGCAAATCTCGCACTTCAATGGCTTAGGATCAAGTACGTGATAGGTATGCTGGTATGCAAGTATGGGCAAGACCAACATGTCCAACTCGGCTGGCCTGTCTTTGGCCCACGTTGTGCAAACGCGCCCTCAGTCATTGCCGGGGATTCAGTTCCACGTGGTTTGAGGTTTGATATATTTCGTAGCTTCTCGCCCGGGAAGGTGCAACACCGCGTTCGGGCTTATTTCAGGACACAGCGGCCACCACCGCGCGGGAGAAGCCCATTCGGCGTGTTTCAGACGTACACCGCGGTCGATCCTCTAGTCCGCTATCCTCACCGCTTCGTCTAAGGATGTCGCTACCAGCTGACCCCTGAATGGGCTCACCAGCAGTCAGGAGCAGCAGGCTGGCAGCCAGATGTGATGAAAGCCAGCACGCGTGCAGAGGACATCCGGGCAGACCAACAGAAGCAAATAGGCCTGCCGCTTTCCGTCACGGCTACGAGCAGCACGTACGATGCTGACGCGACAGGTCACAGCTCAGAACCCGCTAGGCAAGCTCGACCAGTAGACAGCGACGGCCATGTGACACCGAAAACAGTGACAGCCATCTTCTTTGTAAATCGCTCCCCGAGCTGCCGTGTTCTCGACGCCGCCGGAGCCCTCGGCAGGCGCCTCAACCTGGCTCTCCGTTCTGGCCTGCGCCAATGGTTCCATGCAACCCACGAGAAACCGGCGCCCCATCCTGTGCTACCCCAGAGCTTATCGGGTAAACTTGGGGTGCACAGCCCCTTACGAAGGTCCATACATATCCTGCGTCTTCAAGAAGGGACAAACAACCCGGGGTCTCATGGTCGGGCTGTTGCGGGTGGGCGACGGCTTTTCGCCGCTTGTAGCACTTGGTGGGTTGGGGCTGCGGCTGAGAATGGGTTATGGATGGGGGAAGCGACAAATCGACGTTCAAGTTCGGCGCTCCGAGCATTATGATACCGAGCGCGGGAAGGCTAGCCGTGTGCATGTTCAACCAAATGTAATTTTGCTCCATCCAGATTGAAAAAGCCTCCCCTTGGTATCGCATATCCGAGCCGTGGTGGGCGACGCGCACAACCCCCAGCATGTCTAATACCCGCGTTGAGGAGAAACAAGCGTAGCCAAGAAACGAAAAGGAACAAAGAGAAGAAATGCTGAGGGAAAATGATTGGAAAATGTCCCGCGCGGGATCCCCTCCGCCCAACTTTTCGCCCAAATGCCTGGAGAGATATTCCCACCGCTCCATTACATGCAGTTAGAAGGTACAACGGATGGCTTAAAAATGTACAAAGAAGCGAAAAGCCACCGCCGAGGAGGCTATCCAAGGCTGGGTAGCATGAGATAGCATTAGGAAATACTAGGCTTCTTCCTCCTCCCAAACACCTTGGAGATACCGTTCGCCTCGTCTCTCTCCGCCGGCCCGGGGAACTGGTTCGCCATCGGTGTCGCGCCAGGCGGCGGCCCGGAGTTTTTCAGAAAATCGGCCAGGTCCGATGTTTCCCGACTCGAGATCGAAGCGGGCTCGCGAGGCTCGAACCTTTTCATCGGCACCCGCCCTCCAGGAACACCTGGTCCGCCACCCATCATGGCCGCCGCCTTGGATGAGGTCCGAGCTGGGTGAGCGTGATTCGTGGCGCTAGGCATGTTCACTTGGATAGGTACGTGGCCACCCTTTGGCCCCGTAGCTTTGTTGATGCTCTTAGACTCCGGTAGCTTGGGGCCAGCAGAACGTGCCGGCCCCAACGTGCCTGAATGCGTGCTATCCCGTCTCGTAAATCTAGCCATTAGGCTTGACGCACTGGCCTTCTTCTTTGGCTGCGACGCGCTCCGTGTCTGCTTGATATTGAAGGGCTGCGTAGTCGGCTCTGGCGGCGGCGCGTAGTTGTTTAGGAAATCGATCAGACTCTCCTCCTGCGCCCTCTTAGGCAGCGGTGCCGGCTCCTCTTCGTCTTCAAACTCTTCGTCGCTCAGATCGATAGCGTAGGGGTCACGGACGCGGCGAGTCTTGCGCGTCGGCATCGGCATGTCGCCCTCCGTCTTATCATACGACATCGGTTTGCTTTTGGCAAGCAAGGCACTGTGGGAGTTGATAGACGATTGGACTGAAGGCGGTACCGAGGATTCAGTAGCGTTGGTCGACGCTGGACTGCTTCTGAACTCGATATCCTTCAGCTGGGCGTCCACGGCTCTGCCCCCAACCGCAGAAGACAATTGATCCGAATCCATAGTGGTCCGGAATGGAGCAACAGTCCTCGGAATACGCGGGTTGCCCGTGCTGCTCGGCGGTCCACGTCGGATAAAGTCAATCAAATCGGAATTGTCGTCCTTGTGATCGACAGCCGCACCGCGAGGTTGAAGCTTCGGTCGGTTGGGGTTGCTCGTCGTGGACATCCGGCCGGTCTCGACACTGATGTTCGATACAGAGCCGGGATTTCGTACCCTTCCTGATCCCGCAGTTCCAGCAACGGAAGCGGAGCTACCGCCAGGAGGACCAGTCGACCGGATAAACTCGGCGAATTCGGCCATGGACTCACGGGCTAGCCTCGGATCTCTAGCCTGAGGCCCAGCCGTGACCCGGGGTTTCGACGGCACCGGGGGAATCGATCGAGGTACAACGCCGCCATGTTTACCTGTGCCGGTACTAAAGTTCCGGCTTGCCTGGTGCATATCAGTGATGGAATGCGAACCCGAGCCCGGCGAGCGAGGCGCTGAAGTTGGCGTTCTCGCGTCATTTCGAGGGACCGACGACGAACGGGAGCGGGACCCGTTCCGGCGAGCCTCTTCACTTTTGCGCGCCTTGACCGAAACGACTGGGCTAACAGCGGTGATCGACCGGCCCGGCTGGGATTGGGGCTGACTCATATGTTAGGACTGGCTTGAACATCGCACCATGATGCAATACGGGAAAAGGACGGGCTCTCCTTACCTCTAGATCGCGCATGCTCTCAGGAGTCAATGTGTACTGTATCGTCTGGTCGCTCTGGATGAGTTCCTCAAAGTTCCGTACGACATCGATACGAGCTTGCATCCCCTCTTCCGAGGTCCGAACGGCTTTCAATTTGATCGAGGAAGGCGAGTCAGACGAGGGCTGCTGCCGGTTCCGTCCCGCCGAGGGCTCGCGAGGCCGAGAGGAGGACCCCTGAGACGGGCTGCGGGCACGGGAACGTTCAGCCGACACCTGGCCAATGGCTGCGGGTTGGCGCAGGGCCGACGTGTTGGCAACGGCTTGCCTTCCTGCACTTCTTTCAGGGACAGCAGGAGGCTGCGCAGCGGGAGAAGAGCGGTGCCGTTGGCCGTCTGACCGAGGCGACGCCGTGACTTCTCTCCCCTCCGGTAACACCGGCATCGATTCAATAAAAAAGGTACCGCTGGTTATCGACGCAGTCGACACCGGCGACGAAGTAGCGGGTAATATGCTAACTTTCGAGAGGGATCTCGGGGGCGTGGAAGGCTCCGGTACGCGTCCCTCTGCAACCGTACCCGCTGATTCGTACCGGTCCTTTGTTACCGGCTCTGGGACGGTCGGCAGGCTGGTTCCTGCTCGAGTAGCGGGAGTGACAGGCGTGATCGGTGACACAGCATAGTCTCTATCGGTAGGCTCTTCAGTCTCGGAAATAGAGACGCTTGCCGCGAGCCCAGACCTAGCTCCGTGGTTGACAACCAACCTGCCACCTGAGCTGCCATCGACGTGCTGCTCTGGCTGATCCTCTGGGACCGGAGGGGTGACCGTGCGACTAGCGTGTGACGGGCTGGAGTGGCGAGCTGACTCCGCAATGACGACCGAGTTGCGTCGCGAACCCACCGCCGGGCTACGGGGGCTGGTTACTTCGATCAGGCGCGCGGAATGTATGCTTGGCGTGCGAACCGGCAGGTTCGTGTTAATAGAAGCAGGCTTTCCAGGGTCGGAGGACGCTGTTGACGGACTTCGGCCGAGGATCGAGACCCTCGAGGATCTGACGATTCGCGGCTCTTCAATAGACACCTCGTCATCGTCTTCGTCCTTCATGTCATCCTCCTCGGTGGCCTTTTCGCCAGATACGATTCCACTTCTGGCAACGGAGGCCTCGGTAGCCGGTGTTTCCAATGGCGTTGCTGCTGGAACGGGAGTCACAATATCGGCCGAGTCGGCATCCTCCGGAGGATTTTGCACCGTGCGCACTTCGCTCGGCTCCTCTGACTGGGGTTCGGCGGTCGTGAAAAAGCGGGCGCGAGCAACCGCCGGCACCGAGCTTGAGCGTTTTCGGGCGACCTGCGGCCGGGATGGGTTGGGCGACAGCGCGTCGCGCGTCGCGCTCGTTCGCAGTATTGTCATACTGTTTCGACGAGCCGGCACGCTTTCCTCTTCCGCGTCGAAGTCCTCGGCCTCGTCGTCGCTGGCAGGGGCGAGGCCGGGAATCTCGATTTCCGCAACGTCATTCGGCCCTAGCGGTAAAGGGATGCCAGCAGCAACCAGATGGTCTTCCAAGGGCTCCCGAGAATCCGCATCTTCGTCCAGGGAATCACTTGGCACTTGCTCGGCCGCGCCGCCGGGCTTAGCGTCGGACTCCGCGTCAGGTTCGGGAACGGTGGCCGGAACTGCGAACTCGGCGGCACTGCTAGGCGAGCGCAAATGGCCAGACGCTGAGTGCAGGGAATCCCTCGAGTAGGATCTCGCTAGGCGATCCATGGAGCTGGTGCCGGGCGACCGGATCTTCTTTTTCCACGACCGCCACAGCCGGCCCAGCGTCCGGTCAAGCGCGACACGCTCCATGTCGAGGTCCTCGACCAGGATCTTGTCGGCAACACCCGTGGGGCTCCGCGCACCTTCCTTGAGCTCCTTGTCATACTTGGAGCGCAAGCGGTGATAGGCAGCTTGGCCGGCGACAATCAGAGCCTGTTCGCCCATAAATTCCAGGATGGATGTCAGAAAGATGGCGACAGCAGGTGAAACGGCCTCGGAAAGCTGGTCATCTGGTCCAGTATTGAGATGCCCCTGCTCCATGTAGTAGTCCTCGTCCTCTTCTTCCATGTCCCCAAGCGACGAATAGACCATGCAGCGGAGGCGGGTCCTCTTCCAGGCCAATTCCAGATCCCAATCAGACGGCGATGCAGCGTTGCGAGCCTGCGAGTGACCACCATCTTCATCGTCCCCACCGAGATATTCTCTCAACTCCTCATCGGCCTGGTTGACGGCGTCCTTGGCGAGCTTGGGCTTCAGCACCTCGGCCACGGCCGGGCGCAGGGCGGAGAGCGTAGTGGCGCGCGAAACGCAGAGGAAGTTGAAGAGCAGCTGATCCAGAAAGTTGTTGATCAACTGTAATGCGGCGGGCGACACGGTAGCGGCCTCGCCCGACGGCTCGATGCCATGCTGGTCGTACCATGTTTCGGCATGGCTGTCGTGGTCGTTGGTGACAATTTGCGAGGCGGCCGATGAGGCGATGAAGGCCGGTTCGGGTGACACTGACAGCGGAGGCGACATCAGGCTATGTGCGACGGTCGACGGCCGGTCGCTGGATATGCTCTGTGTCCTCGACCGCGACGGCATCCTTTGCGGAGGAAAGGCGACGCCCGAAGAGGGTCGGGATGCGACCGGTTCTAATGGGGAAGTCATGGGTGGCCGTGGCAAACAGGCGCCGGGCCCGGCACAGTGTAGATTTTCCCGGAATTACGGAACACTGCGCTGCTGTTCAGCTGCAAGGCGTCAACCGCCAATTTGGGCTGTTAAAAGGTGTGACGGGACTGTGACAGCGCCACGCATTCGATCGATTTACTTGCTCGTTCCGACGTGCAGCACAGGGCTTCGAATGCGGGTGGCCGACCGGCAGATGCGTTGCGCTGGGCTGCGGTGCGGTGTCGTTCTTAGGGTGGTTGCTGTACGTGTGGCCGAGAGACGGACCGGGGAGGACTTGAATTGGACCGAGGGATTGGACGCTGGGAATCGAGGATGCGAGCCAGGCAACGGTGTTTCGATCTCGCAGGGCTGTGATGGGGAACTCTAATCTTTGTTAGCCGATCGGATACGATTCGCTGGCCGGCGCAATCGCGGGTGGCGGAACTGAAACAAAAGCGACGCTGGGGACTCGAAACTCGACAGAACAGGAAGGCGGGTACAGAAGACTCCCGTGACAGCCGGGAGACGAATGCGGCCGGGGCACTTCCCGGGCCCGATGGTTGGATATGTGAGAGACTGCGGGCCAGTGGCACATCACGCAAGCCCCGAGTATCGCCGTACAGACACATACAAAGACCAAGGTCGGACGCTCACGCGGCACCCAACCGTGTCAGCATTGTGACCTCAGTTTGGCGGCGCTGGCGCATGCGTGAGGCAATCGCCAATCTCAGTGGCCATCGCCAGGTCCCATGTCGAATGGCACGGGAAAAGGGAAGCATAGGCGGGGCGCGAGCCGGCAAAGCACGGTATTGCATGCCAGCGAGAGCCTCGAACGAAAGCGGGCGACGACAGCAAGGGCAGGCGTGGGCAGGGGCAGCTGCAGTTGTTGGGGCTGAGGACGGGGGAGAAGCGCTCCCCGTTCGGTCGGAGAAGAAGAACGTGAGACGCACCTGCGAGGCGACTTCTCAGTGGCAGACCACTGGCAAGCTTTGATCGACGCCACTCATGGACAGAAAGATTGGTGGTCGGCTGGCGCTTGGTTGGTGTTGCACGAGCAGGATAAGGATAGATGGCGACGTTTGCTGTATATTTCGGCGCAGTAAGGCAGGCCGCTGGCACAGCGATCGGAGGACGCGCGGATTCGCTGATGTTCGACGCTGCCGGAGTAGTTGCTGTGTACCGTGTAGGTAGCATGCAGTGCAAGATGACAGCTGCGGTCTGTGTCGGGGTCAGGTCACCCCAAGTCAAGTTCGCTCGTGTCGTCCCTTTCTCTGATAGAGTTTGGGAGAGAGATTTCCCAGTCTCCTGAGGTGCTCCCGGCCATGGGGGTACACCAGGTCCAGGGTTCGACATGGTCCATCGGCAGCTCCAAGAGCGGTTTAGTGCACTGAAAGGGGGAAGTTTTGAGATGAATTCCCGGTTGTTTGAGTGGGCGATCCATCCCATGCGCCGGCAAGGGGGTTCGTCTTGGCTCTGGCGATCCTGGAAATGGCCCGGCTGGCCCCAGCAAGGGTTTGACGTGGGTCGCCCGCAATGGACCGGGCTTTGTTTCCCGGGCTTATTCCAAGTCCTGCGGGGAGATTCCAAATAACTAGGTGCCGTCCTCGCTGGACGTTGTCACCGATGGAACCGATTTGCGGCGTACTCTGCAATTCAGTGTTTCTTGCCGGGCTTTATGCGGTCGATGTGAGGGCTAAGTCTGAAGAAATGACGGCATGCCCGTGTCTCCATTCTCGGATGAAAATATGAGTGGGGTCACTGTCGGCAGAGGTGGGATCGGTGCAAACGGATGGTCAGATATCCCCTGCACCTCTCCACACTTGAAATTTCGGGGCCCCTCGTAGTGTGGAGCACAAGCGAGCTTCGAGATGCGTCGACACAGAAGCTGCACACCGCGTGTACATACTGTGTAGTCATCTATCTGTAACTACCTACCCTCCTTGTCTTTCTAAGCGGCATGTCTCTACATATGAAAAGGTCCTTCCATCACAGCTTACTCCCACCAGCATTTAGGATGTCTAACAAACAACAAGATGTTCAGTAGGGATTACCTCGGTATCTCTCTACCGAGTTAAACGACCTAACTTGAACGGGGAAATCTGAGACCCCCGGTGGTCAAAGTGTCCCTGCCCACGCAGGATGGAATGAATAAATGCGGGGAGGTGAGACCTTCCCGCAGACGGGCCCAGCCAAAAAGGCTCTGTGCGCGCAACGCGGGTTGCGTGCGATTGTGTGTCTCGGCCATCAACGACAACCGACTCAAACTTGAATCGCCTTGGCGCGCAGCCACACAAACATGTCCGATGAGAACGGCATGATGGACACCATGGGATGCTAGCTATCGCCCAGAATCAGACCAGGGTAACCAAAAACAGATGGCGAGCGAGTATATGGTAGTCACCCATTTGTGATATTTGCTGCCCCATTAACGTTTCAATACAGATTACTGCCCATGATCGGCGGCGAGAAGGCGGCTTCACTTGAGCCACTCACTGTCTCGACGCTTGGCGGAGGTTCCAGTTGTAACAACACCATGGCGGTCGGCTTTGTGTCGAAGGAGTACTTCGATCGGCACTTTCCGGCATGGTTTGAGACGTGTGTGATGGTTCGATTCGACTCTTTGCTTTTATCCGGAAACATTCCACGATGTGATCGACAACGGTTTGTCCCAGAGATCATCCCCCGGGTCTTCATGTTCATAAAGGGTCACAGTTAGCACGGCAGATCAGACACGCAGAAGCTCTCCAGACAGTCAAGGTATTTATACTCAAGCAACTCTAATTTCCGGAAAGGGCCCCGGCGGCAACTGGCACGTTTGAGGTCAAATCGAAGTGAGCGGCTGGAGCAGTACAAACAAGTACACAACCAGTATGCTTCTCGTTGTTCGTCTACTTTACTAGGGTGGCTCTTCGACCTCTCTATCCCATGCTTCTTGTTGGTGTTTCTGCTCATAGCCCCCCCACTAGAGTGCCCAAAGCACAGCAACCACAATAATGGCCGCGTACAGGCCCATGCTACCGCGCACGTTGGCCCCCGAGTTGGTAACAACACGTCTGGCGGTTCGGTGCCTCGTTTGCCGGTGCTTTGCCTCTTCTCTTTTGAAGGAAGATGGGTGGGAGTGTGAGCCCTGTTGCCCCTGATGTCCCTGATAGCCCTGATGGCCATGTTCGTGCCAGCCCTTTTGACCCTTCCAACTTCCCTCTTCTTCGCCTTCACCTTCACCCTCCCCTTCTCCCTCCTCTTCGCCTTCACCTTCACCCTCCCCTTCTCCCTCCTCTTCGCCTTCACCTTCACCCTCCCCTTCTCCCTCCTCTTCACCTTCATCCTCTTCTTCACCTTCATCCTCTTCTTCACCTTCACCCTCTTCTTCACCTTCACCTTCACCTTCACCTTCACCCTCATCCCCACCTTCATCCTCACTCTCTCCTTCACCTTCACCTTCTTCCTCTCCCTCTCCCTCTCCTTCGCCTTCACCATCGAACTCCTCCCCAGATGTCTCGCTAGGAGACACGTGTTCCCGATCCTCCTGGGCCGTCGGTTCAGCGGCCGCCTCCTCCTGGTTGATAGCCGTGGCCTTTCGGATCACTCTGGAGCGTTTATCCTCCTTGGCCGTGCCTTCAGGTTTACCCTGGCCTTTTCCCTTGTCGTTCTTGGACTTGTCTTCGCCCTTCTTGTCACCATGCTCGCTCCTTTTCCCGCCATGATCCTTTTCGTCATGACCCTTCTCGTCGTGACCCTTCTTCTCGTCATGGCCTTTCCCGCCATGATCCTTTTCATCATGGCCTTTCCCGCCATGGCCTTTCTCGTCATGGCCCTTCCCGTCATGACCCTTCTCGTTGTGACCATTCTTCTTGCCATGGTCTTCGTCGTCCTTGCCCTCGCCTCCTTTCCCCCCCGTTCCGCCGGTGCGCTTGTCAACTGTGGCGGCCCTCACGACTGCATCACAGAGTCCGTTCGACAAGTCACAGTCACCATCACGAGACAAGGTGATGAGCAAGGAGGTGGTCGAGCGGGGAATTGGATCGGCCGCTCGAGTGGCAGAGAGCGTGGCGCTGGAAACCGCACGTCGGGTTGTTGCCTGGGGCCGAGCCCAGACACATGCTACCTGCACGGGGGATGTCAGCGGTTTGGTTCACAGTTCATCCCGTAAGAGTAGGATCGGTGCAGTAGCGCTATATGAAAGGCAACAGGAACCCGAAGATACCAAATCTGACATACCAATGCGGCACTGACGACAACGACCGGGGCCTTCATGGTCAATGGAACAATTAACAGTCAAGGAAATATTGTCTGGTTTGCTGCCTTGAGAATAAAGGAGGAGCAATGGCCAGAGAAAGAAGACTCAGGAGCTCCCGCAAGTGGCCAACGTTATATAATTCGAGCTTTTATTCTTCCAGAGCCGATGCCCCGCGTCAACATCAGATGGATGATGCTCACATTTGCACAATAGCCCTCTACCTAACCGCTCTGGGCATCATCTGATTCATGATCTTGGTCACAATGACGAGCTCATGTTGGCACGGGTTGCCACCGGGCTGTCATGCAAGAGCGAGAGCGGACAGGAAACCATGGCTGAGCTGGGACTTGATGGGTATGATATGATGTTTAGCTTGTTCGTAGATATACAGTCCGCAGCCGGCTCGAACACGGGCTAGCGTGCTGTTGAAAACACTCCGTTCCGGGTTGCCCTCGGGACAACCAGCCGTTCCACCGAGCGGACCATTGTTCCGCCCTCGTACGCACTCGACTGTTCTCCTGTTTTCCCCAGGTCGGCTGGTGCCGGACGTGCTCTTTTGAAGCCAACACCCCACCGCACACCGCTTGGACGACTTGAATCCTGTTTCCTGTTCGATGGACAAGCGGTTCCCTGCAGAAGAAAAATGACAATAGCTTCTCCAACCCCGTATACCCAGACCGCCATTCCCCGTAAGATGCTCGCTGTTGTACCTTGATGATGACAAACTAATGTCTGTTTGAACCACAGGCTCCGACGAAAAATCCCTTCCCTTAGTCTTCAGGAACACCCGAGAACAGCCCTACACGCATGCGATGGCTCTATCGGTAGGCATTAGACGTTATTCACGGGTAAACGTGGATGGATGGGGATAAACTCACAAATGGCAGTTTCGGTATGATGACTGCCAGAACAGCAAGGAAGTTGATGGTAAAGTACGTCAGGTCGTAGTGGGTATAATGCGTGCTCAGGAGGAAGAGCACGATGGGCACACTCAGTAGAAACTTCTTGGCGGGCGTGTACTGGGCTCCGTCATCGATTTGCTCCCACATGTTGAGGTTGTCGTAAGCCCCGCCGTTAAACTCGAACGGTACCCCACGGACGTAGTGGAACATGAGGTACGAGCCAAACATGTATGTGATGTTGGTCAGCGTCCATGATGTTTCTTGGGAGACGCCAGGGATGATGTCGTAGAAGATCTTGAGGCATGTGATCAGAACCGGATGGATGGTCCAAGCACCTGTCAGGTACGAGTGTTAGCCGGATGTGATCTCTTCGCCCTGCTATAGACTGCGCTGCAAGAAAAGAAAAATAGAAAAAAAAAAAAAAAAAGGGGGGGGCCTTTGCTTCAACACGCGAGGCGTATTGCCGGTAGCTCGGATCATAGGTAGCGTACCTTTTGCGTTGACCCAGTTCGCGTTCAGATTCGGTAGCGCAGACTGGTCGCTGAGCTGCTCAATGGGCTCGGGCGGCTCGTGGTAGACCTGAAGAATGCTACTAGATCTCCTCCTCCTACCGGTCTTGTCCGCCATCCTGCCGTGTGTGACCCCACGGCGCGGAGGATTCGTGCTCGCGTCGTAGGAGACGGTCCGAGAGAGAAGTATAGGGGACGACAGCTTGACGGTGTTGAATCGCCGCGAGGTGCGACGCTCGAGCGGATAGGCGCAACGGATAGTTCGGGGTTCGGAGCGGATGCAGGCACGCTCCGTCGGAATCGAGCACAAGGTCACACGACGGTGGTTTGATGAGGACACTGGGCCTGCTGCGACGAGATGATGTCACACTTGTTTTGATGTCTGCAACATTCGGGACGCCAAGTATTTTCGTATTTGGGAGCAAACCCTTGGGGGGTGACTGGCAGGTAGTCCCCAACGGTACGCGACGATGGCGGCGTCAGCGACGGGTATGGACAGGAGTCGGAGTCGGTGCCACGGCCGGCGGTGGGTTGAATGTGCGTGACCGATTGGACAACCAGCACGCGGTGCCGCTACCTTGCCGCGCCAGGAAGATGACCCGGATGGTCGGGACCAAACGAGAGATGGCGATGGAGAAGCTGTTCGCAGCAAAACGTAATGGTTCCCGCTTCCAGAACCCGAATTCGAGACGCGCAAACGGAGGGCAGAAGTGAAGAAAGAGGTTAGTTAATGGAACCTTGGAAGCTGGGTGCAGGTGGCAATCTGGCCAGAACCCGAGAAATCAAGGTGCACGAATATGAGAACCCGGGTACCTCCACTCTGGCGTGTCGCCGGAGATTGAACGAGGAGCAGACTGCCCTCGAACATCGGACACTAACATTTCAGCTAATACTGACATGCGCAGATTACGCTTGGTAACGTTAATGCATGTATTGTGTATGTAACTGTATTATTGGCCTTCGTATTTCAGCTGGGGTAATTTCTCGAATGCTTGTGGAGTGGGGGGCAAGTGTGGCTTGGCTTTCAAGTTCTCCACATCAAAAATTACAAGGCAGCGGCTCGCAACTTTGCATCAAAGAACCAAACCTGGAAGTCGAGAACGGCTCATCAAGGTGGTGTCGACGCGAGCAAGCAACATCGGGAAATTTGCTCGATTCGAAACCTTTCATCCCCAGTATTTCCTGGCGTTAACAGGGCGAAAAACATACTACCTGTAGCCCTGGGACAAAAGTCCAAAGCTGCGGTTGAAGCGTTCTAGACGAGGCATCGACTTCAGTTGCTGAAGAGAAGGGGGTCGAGTGATGTACAACACCACTCGGCCGCTCGAGAAGGTGGACGAACCCTCGCCTCAGCTTATGCCAGGCAAAAAGCGCCCCGCCTTCGAATCTAATACCGACGGTTGTGGGGACGGTGTTGGCAACCGGAAGGAGCGAGTTGAGGATGCTGGCCGCCCGTCTTCGAAGAGACTGAAAGCAGTCGGATCTTTAAACGAAGCCGAGATGCCCGACTCCACGGCGTCGTCGGGACCTGAGCCATCAATAACCAATCTCGCCACTGGTCAAGCCCCTCCCGCGACGCATGGTGGATGGAACCGGGTTATCAGCAGCGGCTTACGGACGTCATTTGCCGGCAAAGACAACCTTCGCAAGCCGCCATTCCAGGAAACTTCGCGATCCCCCGCGCAACCACCTGCCGAGTCGATGGACGTCGACAGCTTGGCTATGCCCGTGGCAGACGCTAACCTCTCGAGGCTCAGCGGTCGGGGTGTGTGGCAGACCGTATTCGCAAGGTGGTGCGTGCGATTGATGGCATTGAACAAAGACCGGGAAGATTTGAGAGACAACCCGGCTCACTTCAGGGAGGCTTGGGGTTTATGGCTCGAGACCCGGACATCCTTAACACAAGCCTCCCGCATTGCTGCTGTGCAAGCAGCCAAGGAGGCGGACCTGGACGCTGAGAAGCTCCGGGGCATGTCTTTGGAGGCTCTGGAAACCGATATCGAGAGGCCGTGGAATGATTCTCTGACGGACCTCGGGCAGTCTGAGAGCGCTGTGCCAGAGCAACAAAACAACGGGCAACCCACGGACACCGCGTCCACGTCCCATGGGAGCCAGGAAGCAAACGACTGGGCCATCCCGCCACCTCCGTTGTGTTCTAACTTTGAAGTCGGACCAAAAAACCAACGTGGCTGGGAGGAGAGGTTCGTGGCATGGTGCAAGTCACTTCTTCAGCTGAACGAGCGCAAAATCAAGGTTGATACAAACCAAGAACGAACGCGGCTGACGGAATCATACTGGAAATGGGTTGGGACCATTGAAGGGCTGACGAAAGCCAAAGCGGCCGCTGCTCGCCGGGCAGCAGTCAATTACGCTCAGGATAACAGCGCTCTAGTCGCGGCTATCTTCGCTAGCATACCGCCGGGCGGCAAACTTCAAACCACCGACACAATTTCACCGCCACCGAAGGAATCTGCGCCTTCTCCGGCGGCCGCCATTTCCAATGAGCTTGACGCAAATCCCTGCGATGAGAGCAGTGGCCCACAGCACATAGAGGATGCAGAATACCGCGAGAAGTATTTCCCGGGAGTCGGCCTCAACTCGACTTTCTGTCACGCGTGCGCGTCCCGCGACCACGGCACGTCCGATTGCCCAGAAACGACGTGCCGCTTCTGCCGCGCTGTTGAACACCGGTCATTCAGCTGCCCGACGCGTTTCCGCTGCACAAAATGCAGGCAACTCGGCCACCCCAAGAAAGACTGCACTGAGAAGCTGGCATTACCGCTGGAGGACGTGGAGTGCGCCTTTTGCCAGTCGCGCGACCATGTCGACGCGTCCTGCCACGAGCTTTGGAGGAGTTTTTCGTTCAACCCTAGCACGGTCCGCAAAGTCCGTTCTCTCCCCGCATTCTGCTACTGCTGCGGTCGACAGGGACATTACGGTCCCGCCTGCGCACTGAATCCGCAGAAGACAAAGGAAGGGGCCTGGGAGACATGGAGTCAAGCGAATTGTGATCGGTACCAGGACCCGACCTCATCAGAGGTGGCAATAGTTTTCGAGGCCTCCGTCGGCTCGGCCTCCTCGTCCGAACGACCTGATCTCGGCAAGAGCATGGTACCTAAGAGACACATATTTTTCGAGGAGGCCGACGATGATGACGAGGCCGAGGAGTTTATTCGACCGCCCGTACAAAAGAGCGTGCGGGTCGGGCACATCAGCTTTGCTGGCAACGGAGGAGATCACAGCGGGAGACAACCCAACAAGCAATACAATGACAGGAACGGGAGAACGGGGTTTACACAACCGCCACTTCCTCCTGGACCCCCTCCCCCCTTACCGCCACAGGGCTCTCATCAACAAAACCGGAGAGGTGGCCGTCGACGAAGAGGGGGAGGAGGGAGACACTCGTAGAGACATGGGTGTGATGAGGGGTTCACCTCTCACCTTCCGGCCTTGGGACGGCGGAATCATTCCCCCCTCCGGGGGAGGACCCGCATCCCCTTTTCAGGGACCCTGGACATGATATCGACAACCGCGACATCCATTAGTTAGCTCTGGTACGAGTTGCTCTTTTGAGCAGGGACGAGAACAACGTGGGGTGCGGAATTGGGCCAAAGCATTGCCGAGTCCAATGAAAAAACGATATTGACTATTGATTGCCGTTCGAGGGTCGGAGTGCGCCATTTGCATTTCCGCTTTTGGCATGTTTCATCGGGCGTGTGCTCTGGGCCTGTCAATGGCGGTGAGGAAAGGAGCGATCGGTGAGAGATTTATCCGCAGCAAAACCGTGGTGACTTTGCGGTCTGGAAAACAAGGGAGGGAGAGGGTGAGGGCGGGGGGATAGGGAGTGGAGAAGAAAGCAATGGGAAGGTGGATTGCCAGTGGAACAAACCGACGACGCGTCCGCGATTTGCTCCATTTGGCGTGATTGACAAACCACCCCCCCCTTCTTCTTCCCCCTCCACCAAAACCTTTGGGAAAGTCTTCGAGGGGGTGCACGGATGCCAAGAGTTGGGACTCGAGAATCGGGAGGTCGAGGGAGATCAGAAGGTCGCGTCTTCATATCCAACATCAACCTGTCGTCTCCCCCAAAGACGGGGGGGCGCTTAATCTTTTATGTGATCGGCTGTGGATCGATGGATCGACATCGCGCCAGTTTCGTGTGGCAGTCGCGCGTGTCTCGCGCCGCGTGGCGGCCAAGACCCAATCATCGACTTCCTCGGGACCTTCACGTCGCCTCATTGGTCTGCCATCCAACAGGTGCGGCTTCTGTCCGCTTCTCCCGCCGCACCGTTTATCGATAGCGCTTCCCCTTGTCCTTCCCCGCAGCCCCTCTCCTGCACTCCTTGCAGAATGTTTCTTGTTTCATGCCCTCTCACTGGACAGGAAAAGCCGGCCTTGAGACGGCTGCAGACGGCCGCATTGGTGCCATGCAGGAGGTCTGCCCTCCGGCCATTCAAGTGGCCCGGCGCGGTCCGCCACGTCGGGCGCGGACGCGGCGACCGGCCATTCCCTACCTTGAACCCGCACTTGCTCGTGCGTGCCGAACCTGCACTCCTGCGCTACGGCTGCGAGGTGCATGGAGCTAATGAGTCACCCATCACCACTCGTTTTCGGCCCTCAACGGTCTGGGGCGACCATGGAGGGACTACCACTCCCATCTCGAAATCGCGCAAGGGAAAGCAAGGGAAAGCAAGGGGGGAGGGAGGGAGGGAAGGAGGACGGAGGTCCTATCCATGGCCTTCCATGACACATGGGCTGATCTGTGATCCAATATAACAGGTCCCCTCTTCACATTCGTCGACGTCGATGCCCTGATCGAGGTTTTCCCCTCCCCCTCTCCTGATTTATCCGGCATCATCTCTTCATAGACCGTGGCTCCCTGGCGGCGCCCTCAGTGCTCCCATCCAGCAATATTGAAAGTCATCTCTCACTTCACGTTTCTTTTCCATGAATTTGTCAATAGCGTTTAGTCCGTGTCCCGCCACTTGAATTACTCCCGGGCCGACAACCTACCTATCCTCAAAACACAACCCACAATATTCACACTTGTTCAAACCCACATCTGAGGCCACCCACAAATCGTCATCGCAAGCTAGCGCACCAGCCCTTCACACACACAAAGACACATTTCGATTTATTCGGCGCCTTCACGACATGCAAGCATCATGGCGACCAACCCACAAGCATTTTACTGCCTGTGGCAAAACGACAGCATCCGCGAGAGACTCTTCGAGCTCCTGCCGAAGGAGGACATCTGCGCGGTTAGACTGGCCAACTCGGCCTGTTGCAATCTGGTCACCAAGAGGCTATTTCTACGAACCAACCTAACCTTTTCGGCAAACAGCCTGACCAAGGCCAGCCGGATAGACGCCCTGTCTAGGATCGGGCATCACATCGAGCACCTCACCTTTTCCTTCCCCCATTCCAACGCCACCTTCCTGCCTCCCCTGGTTCACCCCCAGACTGGTGAGGTGATATGCTTTCTCTACAACCCTCACACGTCCGCCGAGTCCGGCGCGACGAGGCCCAAATACGGCAACTCGGAGCTGGGCGAGATCTTGACGCAGCAATATCCGCCTCTCTTCCACGCCGCCACCCACGTGCCCTCCTTCATCAATGCCATGAAGCACATGACCAACATGCGGCACCTCACCATCAAGACACCTGGGCAGAATCCCGCGGAGCGGTACCGCCGGGACATTGTGGACTATGCGCTGATGAGCTTGCGCATCGCACTCGAGCGCGCGCCACTTACCAAACTCTCCAAGCTCACTCTGTCGGGGGTGCACGCATCCGCCTTCAGCTACCTCCGCCACGCTCCGGGATTCGGCGCGCTGCCTTCTGCCTCGGTGCGATGGCGCCAGATTCGGAAACTTTATATCTCGGTCGAATCCTGGGATTTCTACGGCCCGTCGCCGGGGCTGGACCACCTCAACGTCATCGACGACTACATCCGGACCTTTGCGCCGCGGCTTGACAAGCTCTCCTTTACTTGGCTGGGACGCAGAGGGCCCTGCCCCATTGCCCTTTCTGGGGACCCTCTTTTCGCCCCGCCACGCAGCTCGAAGAAGCTCTTCAACGAGGTCACCAGCCCCATGTCTCCGCTGCCGCCGCGGCCCTTCCGCAGGCCGCTCCTCATGCCGCGGCTCCGGTCCATGTCGGTGCGCAACGCGACGATGAACGTCGATCAGCTGCGCGGCCTCGTCTCAAGCCACAAGGACACGGTGCGCGAGTTCGATTTCGAGAACGTGGCGCTCATCAAGGGCGGCAGCTGGGACGAGGCGCTCGCTCCGCTGACCGAGGGCGAGACCAGCGATTCGTGGTCGCGCCGATCGGTAGGTGCCAGTGACTGCAGACCGGGGACGTCAAGGTCAAACTCGTCCGGATCCGCAGTCGCGAGCTCGGTGGAAGACGAGCATCTCCCGGCGTCGTCGGCAGCTGCGACGGCGGCCAGCCGGGAGCTATTCGAAGTCGATTTGGAAGGCATGGTGTTCGGTGGTGCCAACGACGTCGACAATTTCGAGGTGGGCGTTGAGGAGTGGGCGCGGGGGGTCACTGCCGCCGCCCACGGAGCCTCGCGCCCTAATTCGGCCGGAGGGAGACAGGGAACCTCACGGCCCAACTCCGCTAGCGGGAAGACAGAAGATGATGGCGGCTTGGCTTCGGATATCGAGGCGGCAAGAGAGGCAAGCCAAGGGTTCACCACGAAGCTCAAGAAACGTCGCATGCGCAGGAGATCGCGCAAGCATGACGAGGAAGACGAAGTTCATGAACACGAATATGAGCGCAGGAGTGAGGACCGGAGGAGCGAGGACCGGAAGATTGAGGACCGGAAGAGTGAGGACCGAAGGAGTGAGGACCGGAGGAGTGAGCGTCGCAGCGACGGCCATCGCCACCACAGCAGCCGGAGCCACCACAAACACTCTCGCAGCGACGACACCAGCGATCGGCATTCTTCCAGCCGGGATTCACCACGGCGGCACCGCCGCCATCGCCGGCACCGCTCGGAAGAAGCGCCCGAGGCCCCCTTCATGCCTGAAGTCATTGGCACGGATGACGAGTCTTACAGCCCGCCCGAGACACCGCGGCCCAAGATGGACATCAGTGTGCCCATCCTAAACCCCGACCCGCTCCCTGTCATGTTGCAGCCAACTATCTACGACCCATCGGCCACATTCGGCCCATTGCTAAGCACGCCGGAATCCTCTCCCCGGTACGATGACGGTCTCTCCCCCACGCAACGCTCCATTGAGGCAGATATGCTTGCCGAGGCCGAGGAGGCAGCAGCACGCTCTTCGGCGCTCCAGCGAGCCAAGCAAGCCGTCATCACAAAGCTGTCACGCGAGTTTTCCAAGCGGAAGGTCGACGGGAGCGACCCTCGCGACAAGGGCTCGGCTGCCGTCGTCGCTGGCTTGTCGACACTCAATCTCGGTATGAACCTGCCCGCGCAGCACTACGGCGGGATGAGCTGCGCGTCGTCGTCAAGCGTGGGCCACCGGCTTCGCGAGGGCCTTTTTGGGCGGAGTATGGCCAACGTGGCCATTGCGCCTGATCACCGAAGCCTGGAGAGCCAGAGTGCTCTGGTGCCGTTGATGTTCAGTCGGTCTTAAGGGTGGGGGTACAAAGGGAGGGGTGTCGGTGGTTGGGGGGGAGTGCGGCGTCTCGGTGTTCCGACAGGTCTATTACATGGAGTTGGACGAGGAAACGGCCAGGGGGTTTGGCCCGGATAACGAAGAAAACATGATACCATGGGAAACGGAGGATTCCGAACTATACTACGACTTGTAATGACTTTTTTTATGTTCGAATTACGATTTATGAATGACACACACCTATTACACAACGTACCCAAACATGAACAAAAACAACTGAAGGTGTAAATATCCCACGACGGCCTCGTCTCCGACACCTTGTCTCCTTTAATAGGTAATCATGTAGTTAGCTCATATGTCCTGTGTAGTTGGGATGAAACCAGTCTCAATTCGATTCAGGGGTGCTGAGACACTTTGACCAACCTCTGATCCGACGCACGCATCGGGCCGTTGCGGAAATTACCAGCACCTGTATAGATTTACAGTCACGACTTCGTTACATACATACAGCATGCACTTGCATCATTCAGAATGCAAGTTGACAACCTATGGACGCTTGAAAAATAATCACGCATATTTGATTGATCTGGCCCCATAGCGAGCCTGCCAACCGAGTGAAAGAACCCTCAAGCTCTCGATTCAACCTGGCGTCGAAGAATGGAAGAGACACGAATCCGGGTATCTCGCTGGAGCCAATCGATCAGGAACCCGAGATTTGTTCGATCGCGATTAGTTATCTGGTGGGTCTCACACGAAATCAAACCTCTGCCTCGGCGCGTTCTAGATCCATCTCACCTTTCTTGGCCTTTTTGGGCTGACGAATTGGACCGGGTTCCCCAGCCTGCTGGAGCAAAGGCACCATTCAGTGCTCTTCGGTTTCGCCGTGTTCCCCGGATACGCTTCTCTTCCGAATCCACCGATCTTCTCTTGGCCAGAACCTTTTTGGCTTTTGCCGATCAACTCAGCAGGCTTTTGCAATTCGCGACACCACCGCCCAGACCGTCAACTCCCCCGTCGTTGTGAACAAGCCACTCGTGGAAATCCTCTGCCCTCTTCGCGTGGCTTGGTTTTGAACATACGCCAAGCCTCGCACGACAGACAGCAGCGGCAGCCGCGGTGGTTGCGAATCCCGGGCCTGGAACCGACGAAATCTGCCATCGTCGAGCTCACCGGATCAGATGAGCACCCAGCAGTGGGCGGGACCAAACTCGATTCAACACACTCCCATGCGGTGGATAGAGCCTTCGTTTTTCGGATCTGGATAGAGCCAAATCTACTCTCGGTGACCCGACCATTGACAAAACAACTACCTAGTTAATTGGTTTTGAGATTCGGCCTGAAAGCGCCGCCAAAACTTGTTTTGGCCGCGGGAAGAAAGAATATGCCTCGGGCGCGGCGGTCCCGCTTCGACTCCGCCTTTCGGTCTGCTTAAAGATGAGGATTGCCATCCGGGTGCAGCTCGCAGCGGTCGTGATACTCGCCGTTGGAGCTGCCCTCGCCGTCGTTTCCATCCCCGTTTGGGTGTTTGTGAACAGTTTTGTCGTCGGCGTCGAGTCTGACGGCTTGTCCTTGACTGCTTCTCTCAAGGCCGCTAGGATCGCCTCTGAGATCAACCTGATTCAAACGGCCTGCCAAACCATCTCGACGCGCTTATTGCTACAGGATGGCTTCACCAAGTTCTACGCTTCCCAAATCAACAACAGAACTGATGACGATCCCTGGGAGGGAGCCCAGGACGACATTGCGAGCGCCCTCGCTCGCACCGGCTTCTCCGGCTTGCTGCAAGCTCGCCTGTACTCGCGAAACACAACCGGCGACGCAAAGGGCCTCTTCAGCATCACCGGCAACGGGGCTACAGAGTCCGGCCACATCTTGCTGCCATACACGGCCCCCAATGGCTCCCAGGTGCACCTCGGGGATCCGGAACATGGCTTCCCGCCTTCGCTCTATCCCAACATCACCTACCGCGACCTCGGCCGTCCCAGTGAGGCCATGCCCGACACCAATGCTTTTTCCGCCGCTGTATTCCCTGGTGTTTCTTTGGGAAACGGTAGCGAGAAAGCGGGCGTTCTTCTTGGCCCGTTGGTTATCAACTCGACGTTTGCCCTCCTCTCCATCACCATCCCTGTCCGCGACGTGAAAAACAGCAACTTTACCCTCGGCTACATGACCCTGGTGGCGAACTCGAAGACACTAGTCGAAGTGCAAACGTCCCTCGAAGGCTTAGGCAGTACTGGAATTGTGCTCTTCATTGGTTCCGTCAACCCTTGGAATCACTTCAGTGCACCCGTGGCTGCAAGCAACAGGACTTGGGTGCCGCCAATGGAGGAATTCCGGGAACAGGAAGTACAGGTTCTTCTCCCACCGCAGCCGGCAGCCGGCCAAGGAGACCAACGCAATCGACGAAGCTTTGGGTCTGGTAAGTACAGTGATGCATTCCGGCTACACCAATATCCGGCCGTGCTCAGTGTCCTCAGCACTCAAAATCCCTAGTATGTCAAGATTCGGTCCCCCCTTTTCTCAGCTTTCCATGACAACCCGGTGGCTCCGGTAACGCCAGCGAGTCCCTGGTCAAGTATAAATAGCTAACATCGCTGGGTAGCCCGAACAACGCCACTAGCAAGCTCTCGGCGAAAAATGAGCAGGGTAATTCGGTAGCCGTGGGTGTTGCCCGGCCGCAGAGCTCACTGGTGTCTTGGGCCATCGTGGTGGAGAAAGACCAGGGCGAGGCCTACCAACCGATCCAAACGCTCCGGAGCATCCTTCTGGGATGTGTTTTTGGGACTCTCGGCCTGATTCTCTTAGTCGTCTTCCCGTTTGCACATTGGAGCGTCATGCCAATCAGGCGTTTGAAAATCGCCACAAAAAACTCCGTGGACCCCCCTGGTTATGAGGATGACGACGACGATGTCTTTGATGAGGAAAACCCGAGCTCGGGTGGTACGACATCAGGAAGGTCGTCCGAAAAGGGGATGCTGGCCAAGATCCGCCGGAAGATGCGCAAACGACGCAGAGCTAAGCTACGGCAAGGCGTTGCGGTCGAGCCAGGGCGTCGTCAGTTCAAAATACCCGCCAAGGTTGAGGATGGAAAGCATTACGTGACGGACGAGTTGACGGAGCTCACCCAAACCTTCAACGAGATGACGGAAGAACTGCTAAAGCAGTACACGTTCCTCGACGAAAAGGTGGCCGAACGGACAAAGGAGCTCGAGATCAGCAAAAAGGCTGCCGAAGCGGCCAACGAGAGCAAGACGCTTTTCATCGCCAACATTTCGCACGAGCTGAAAACACCCCTCAATGGCATCATGGGCATGTGTGCCGTCTGCATGGAGGAGGACGACCTACAGCGAATAAAGCAGTCTCTCAAGACTGTCTACAAATCAGGCGATCTGTTGCTTCATCTACTTGAAGACCTGCTGAGCTTTTCCAAGAACCAGATGGGACAGCAAGTCAGCCTTGAAGAGCGCGAGTTCCGCCTAGGCGACATCCGGTCCCACATTTTGGCCATCTTTGACAAGCAGGTCCATGAAAGCAAGAGCGGCTTCACAGTGACCTTCGTCTCCGACACCGGCTCTGGTCGCGACAGGCGGTCTAGCATGGACAAGAGACTCCCGGTCTTGGGCCCCCCGGGAGTGGGCAGACTCAAGGATATGTGTCTCTGGGGTGACCACCACCGGATTCTGCAGGTCATCATCAACCTCGTCAGCAACAGCCTGAAGTTCACGCCAGCCGGGGGCACGGTCAATCTCAGGATACGCTGCGTCGGAGAGGTTGAGCAGCCGAGTGATGACAGTAGGACGTCGTCGCTTTCCAAGACGGGCTCTGGCCGCGCAGGTCGTCCCCGGCACCGGATGGGATCCGTATCGACGGCCTCGGCAAGCTCCAAGGGTGGCCCTCTGCCCATCTTACCGGCCAACGGAGGGACCGCCCTCGCCATCAATCCCATGGAACTGAAAGCTGGTCCACACATACACATCAGGGAACGCTCACCGACGCCCCCGCCGCCGAACGCGAAGACATACCTCTTTGAGTTTGAAGTGGAGGACACAGGGCCCGGCATTCCTGGTCACATGCAGCAAAAGATCTTTGAGCCGTTTGTCCAGGGCGACCTAGGGTTGAGCAAGAAGTATGGCGGTACCGGCCTTGGTCTTAGCATTTGCTCTCAACTGGCTACGCTGATGGGAGGCCATATCTCGCTCAAGAGCACGCTTGGCGTGGGGACGACCTTCACGATGCAGATTCCTCTCAAATATGTCAAGGATCGCACCTCAAGTACAGCGTCTAGCAGCATGAAATCTCGGCCGCCCAGTGTAGGCTCCACCGAGGGCGATGTGCGAAATCTGGCCCCCCGGGTTTCAATGGAAGTCCAACACCAACCGGCCCCATCCACTGTCCTCGACCAGCAGCCGCGACTTGTCGGCCTCAGCCAGCCGTTCTTTGCGACGAACCCAAACCGCCGACTAAGCAAGGAAGACCAGTTGGCCGCAATTGACCGGGCCATGGCGAGCAAAGCTGGCCAAGGAAAGTTGCGAGTTTTGGTTGCCGACGACAACTCAACCAACATCGAGGTCGTCAGCAGGCTATTGAAGCTGGAGGACGTGTACGATGTCACCATTGCTAAGGATGGGCAGGAGGCATATGACCTCGTCAAAATCAACATGGAAAACAACCAGCACTTCGACGTCATCTTCATGGACATCCAAATGCCCAACTTGGATGGGCTTCAGTCGACACGCCTGATCAGGAAGATGGGGTATTCGGCCCCCATTGTCGCATTGACTGCTTTCTCGGAAGAGAGCAATGTCAAGGAATGTATGGAATCCGGCATGAATGAGTTCCTCAGCAAACCGATTCGCCGACCGGCTTTGAAGCAGGTCCTAGCCAAGTTTGCAACCATACCTGAAGAGCCGGAGACATCAAGCTTGACGCGGAAAACGACGCCAGACAAGACCCCGATAGGGACACCCGATAAAGAGGCCAACGACCCTATCGCTAACGGCACTGCTATGCCCAAGGCCAATGGGGTCCATCCTCCGCCTGTTGTTTCTACGGTGGATACACAATAGCACACTTCGGGGTGCTACACACTCCTGGTGGCACGAGATGTGTCCCTCCCCCGACCGTCGACCGTTCGGCATGCTCCCGCTTCCGGGCGTGACCTCGGAACCAACCTTCCTCGTTTCTTCATTCTTTGTATATTCTATGCTCTTAATTTCCCCCTTTTTTTGACGCCGTTGCATTAGTTGAACAACTGGCGAGGCGTTACGGTAGTTCAAGACGGCGCACATGTACTCCTTTTTGGCGATCATTACATATGTCGCGAATTTCTTCGATTTCAGAGCGGCCAAAACGAAGGTGTTGGGAGGTAGGTATCCGGATCATTGTTACCCTCCCTGACGAAGATGACTATAGAAGGGCAGAGGATATCTGTGGCTTGGGGGAGCAGCGTACTATCGATCTTAAAACATAATCACAACTAAGTTAAATAATATCATGACTCGATGCGAGCCTAACTTTAGCGGAGGAGCCCGCCCGCCTTCAACCATTAGAAAAGTTGGTCATGTCTAAGGTCGCAACCTTGCGACATATTCTAACGAACTTAGCTTCTCCTTTTCCAGCCTCATTCCTCTTGTTACTTGAATTATTTCCAGAGGTATCCGGGATTATCAAGGCCCCGGCTCTAGTTTGGATCCCGAATCCACATCCCGAAGTCCCCGCACACCTCGTCCGGGCCGACGATCGGGGTAGGCCGAGAGGTGGGGAGAATGACATTGGTTAAGGTGCCACGGCTTCCCCAGTGTGTGTCATACCGAGACACTGGGGCAGCGATCAGTGAAGAAAAGCCACACGAAATCCAGTCACATCCGTCCATGTTTCTCACCCCCAGACTTCGTCCATCTACAACACTCCTTTCCCGAACCAAGAACATCCTCAGCAAGTCGCCCCAGCCCTGACCCACACCCATCTAACCCACATACCACTCACCCAAACACTAACCAACCCCCCCCTCCCCCCTCTCAGAACCACAACCCCAAACCCGCAAGATGCGCATCCCCTACGTCGCCAACCCACCCAACCCGGCCTCGGCCGAAGAAGCCGCCATCGTGGAGCGGATCCAAGCCCGGAGGGCACCGCGCCCGCTGCAAGCCCTAGACCTCGCCCTGCTGCACGCGCCGGCGGTGGCGGACGGGTGGAACTCGTTCCTGGGCGCGGTGCGGACGCGGACGGGCCTGGCGGCCGACCTGCGGGAGATCGCCATCTCGCGCGTCGCCGTGGTCAACCGGGCGTGGTACGAGTGGGCGCACCACGCGCCGCTGGCCGAGGAAGGCGGGGTCAGCAAGGAGGGCATGCAGGTGGTGCGGCGCGAGGGCGAGCTGCGGCTGGCGGACCCCGTGCCGGACGGCCTGACGGCCGAGCAGTGGGCGGTGGTGTGCTACGCGGACGAGATGACGCGGAATGTGCAGGTGCGGGACGAGACGTTTGCGAAGCTGAGGGAGATGTTTGGGGAGACGGGGATTGTGGAGATCACGGCGACGGTGTGTTTCTAATTCCTATACTCTACCCGTTGGTTTCTTAACGGCTAGTGGTCATGTGCTGACGATGGTGGTGGCTAGGTCGCTTGTTACAACTGTGTGAGCCGCTTCTTGGTGGCTTTGGATGGTGAGTTTTGTCGTTCAAGTCTGGTTGACTCCTGATGGCACCGTGGACTAACATGGGAGCAGTTGGCGAGAAGAATGGACTGGGACCGGATACGGCGCATGCGGAGCATTAGGTAAAGGCTATCTAGCTATCAATGACCCATCACCAAATTCAGCATTAGAATATCAGTAGACCTCGTGGCCAGTTCGACCCCGGAGAGTCCCGCCACGAACGCCACTGCATAGTGATGATACCCACGGTGACCTGTATGGAGATGAAAGAAAAACAAAGCAAGTATGCATTCGGGTGTAGGTAAAGAAGGTAGGTGGAGGAGGAGCAGGTAGGTATGTAGAGTATTAAAATACATAGTTATTGTGAAGGGAATAGGGGTATCTCTGGTGAAGTGACAAAACTCGATACAGAACTCGTGGCCGCCGGAAAAACAATCGCACAACTCATCCTCCTTTTGCAATCCAAGAAAGCTCTCGTCACGCAAGCGTAATGCACTTGGGTCATAAACACGTAGCGTCATGGTGTCGTCGTCTCGTCAACAGTCGTGCCTCCTCAGGAGGGTAGATCGTCAGGAGGTCGGATCTTCGGCCGTCCAGCGCACCGAGTGAAGGCAAGTATATCGGCCGTTCTTATGGTGACCGTGCCATGGCCAGTTCGATGCTCGCATGCCTTTCCCGGAGAAGAGGGCTTTTTTGCAGTTCCATCACCACTCCGGCCCAGCCCTTGCGATGGCTCCCTTCACTATTCTCCTGCTGTCCGATCGGCTGAACGGTCAATTTCCGCAACGGGGGCTTCGACTTGATACCGTCCGCTAGACCTTTAGGCAGGCCGCCCGGCCGTGGTGTAAGTGGAACGGCCGTGGACTTTTCCGGGTCTCGTAGCCCAAAGTCCTTCTTTGCCGCCGTCTCAGTCGCCGCGCCGGCGATAATGCCCATATGGACAACGAGAAAGCGCATCCTGAGCAAATCGAGCCGCCGCACTTTTTCCTCCAGCCTCAGCCGATGACTCGCCCACCACACGCGAGCACCAATATTCAGACGGGGGTCGCCCTCTCCAACCACCAAAGCGTTCAATTCCTCTCGCAGGCCATCTCCCCCTCTCTGAATATCCCGCAGCAGCCGTCCGAGCCGGAGCTTGTCCTCCAGCCGCTGGAGCTTTGTAATATCGCGATCGTAAGACTCGTTCTCGGCGATTGAACTGTCCACGACATCGAGGAAGGTGGAAACTTCGCTCGGCGCGTCCCTGTAAGCCTTTGCGAAACGATTGGCGACCTGGACGAGGACGACGAGGGAGAGCAGAAGAGCGGTGAGGGAGAGGACAAGGATCCACTGCCAGGAAGACGAGTCGGTCATGGTAGAGAGCCTGCGAGGTTCGTTCAGGCATACCAGCCTAGGGAGCGACACTGCTGCTGCTGAATAAGAATTGATCGCATGTCTGGTGGTTTTGTGTGTCCAGGAACGACTTCACCCCTGCTTTAGGATGCAGGGCAAGAAGCACCTAATGACGGGACCAGCCCCCCGGAAGGGACGGTTTGCGCCCACCCCCCACCGAGCGAGCCGCTGTGACTTGCGACGTCCTTGGTACCTTAGGTGATCCCCCGCAGCATCCGCCGGACAGGGGTCTCGGTGACGGTGGCATCGCAAGCGGGCGGCCACCATTTCTTCTCCTGTTGCATCAGCATCTGGTAGCCTACCTAGTAATATGTGTTACGAATGAAAGGGGCGGGGAGGTGTAAACGGCACTTGTCTGTACTTCGCCGCGCCGACTGCTTGACTTGAGAACAGCCTTTCTACGGAGTATTCGGACTCGAATTAACCCCGCCATTCTCATTTTCCCAACAGTAGGCTGGGTGTAGCGGGGTATTCAGACATCCTCACTCCTGCGGGGTACGAACACCGGATCGGTTGAGTTGTTGGGAATATTCCGCGAGGATGATGGACTTGAGACAGGTTGTGAAAAGTAGCTGGGAAAGAAAGAAGGTTGGTTTCGGATGGCAACGCCTTTTATCGAGGCGTTCATTTTGCAGGATCCGCATTATGCGCAGCGATTCGGAGAATTGCAGCATTGCCGTGGTTGCCGCCGCCCAGCGCAATGAGCGCATCTCACAGTGGAGGGGCATCCCACTTCTGCGGGGCTCTCTCGAGAAGATATGAGCCCGACCATTTGGCACCAATCAGCTCCATATCACTTGTAGAAATATCAAACCCGACGAGGCCATCCAATAACTCGATTACGTCCAGCCCCATTCCTCCATCTTTCTGAGACCTCCCACCTTGACCATGGCCGCCGCCGACGACGCGCAATTCCCCCCACCAAAAGTCCTGACCTACCCCGCGTCAACCCCGCCAACCCTGATCACACAGGGCGCCGAAGGCCGCCTCTACAAGACAACACACCTCACCCGCGACCGGCCATGCGCGCTCAAGTACCGCCCGCCGAAGCCATACCGGCACCCAATCCTCGACGCGCGGCTGACAAAAGCGCGCCTCTCCTCGGAAGCCAAGGTTCTTGAGAGATGTTGGCGCGAGGGCGTGCCCGTGCCGGCGGTCTACGCTATGGACCCCGCGGCGGGGTGGATGATGATGGAGTGGATCGAGGGTATTCCCGTGCGGGTGGGAATCAACCAGTGGCTTGGTGAGAGGCCTGAGGAAGGGGCGGAAATACCCGAGGGGGCGGACGAGACGCCGCTTGTCGACTTGATGAAGAGGATCGGAGCTGCCATTGGAGCTCTGCACAAGACTGGGGTGGTGCACGGAGACTTGACGACGAGCAACATGATGCTGAGGCCGGTGCAGGGGGGTCAGGCTAATGGGGGCGCTGGGAATGAGGGCAAGACAAGAGCGGTGGAAGGAGATGTAGTCCTCATTGACTTTGGGCTGGCGACGCAGAGCATGTCTGACGAGGACAGGGCCGTCGATCTCTACGTACTCGAGAGAGCGTTCGCCAGCACACATCCAAGGGCCGAGAGGCTGTTTGCCACGTTACTCGAGTCTTACAAGTCCACGTTCAAAAAGGCATCCTCGGTCTTGATAAAGCTGGAGGATGTTAGGATGCGTGGACGCAAGAGGAGCATGCTAGGGTAGTGGAAGAAGCGAAAAGATACCCAATACTCAAGGTCCCAACACGGCAGAAATATCTCGCTCGATTCATGAGTATGCATGCTGTCCGTAAAATCCAAATGCAACGCTTGCGCGTTCGATACCATGCCCAAAATCGATCCCAAAAGCTAATATATTGAAAGCCCGCCTTTATCCCAAACTCCTGGACTGTGTACCTCCCAACAGGGCAACCTCTGCAACTTATTCGTCTACCAGCTGGGCACCTGCGAAGTAGCCCTTGTTCTCGATCACCCCACGGTCCCGGACGACAGCCGTGTACTTCATCACCCACTGCGGGGTGAGATCCCCCTGCAGCCCACCGGCGCCCGTCTCCGGATCGGCGAGCAGCCCGGCCCCGCCTAGACCCTGTCCAAGAAGCTCCCTCAACGTCCCCTTGGGGAGGATATCGGTGCAGTCGCTGTGTACCAGCAGCTCGATGCTCTCTTCCTTCGCCAGCTTAGCCAGCGGCGGCGGGACATTGCAACAGTTCTTGATGTTGATCTGATTGACGGCGGGCCGAACTTGGACCTCCTGCAGGAAGTGGGAAAGCTTATCGCTGCCGAATTCGGCCAGACCAAGTCGCTTTGCAAGCCCAGCGCGGTGCAGCTCTTCAACGGCCGGCCAGGTTGCGACCTCATCCATGTCGTTTCCTTGTTTTGCGTTTTGCCTGTCCGCTTCCCACTCGCAGTCGCCCTCGAACGACATGCCTGGGAAAGAGACGATGAGCAGGTCAACGGCCGGGGCCCGCAATTCCCTCAATACGTGCTCCAACGCCTCCTTTGCATCTTGCGACCGCTGTGACACGGGCGCGCCGGGGAGAAAAAAGAGCTTGGCTGTAATGTCGTATTGCGCAGGTTCCTCCTGGAGACCGTGGTCTCCCTGGTCGATTGCAGGCACGTACAGGGTTCCATCTTTCTGGGCTGTCCAGAGCGACGCCGGCGGGCGCCTGCCGGTCTCGAGATGTAGGTCTACACCATTGGCGATGCCATTACCGTTACCGTTCGCAACGCCGTTACTGTGAACTAGTTCGGCTGCATGGTCTTCTTGCGCAGCAAGGAAGTTGCTCCGCAGAGAATTTGTGAGTTCGAGATTGGATCGGAATGCGCCCGGCTTGCGAATGATGGAGGGGCCACCTGAGACGATGTTCCTGCAATGCCAATCAACCAGTCAGCATGAGACGCAGCAGAGCAGGTCGCGGGGGTCAGGTGTGAGTTACCCAGTAGAGAGGATTAACTTCGTCATGGTTGGTATACCCACGGCTAGGAAGTATACTGACGGCCAATTGCTCTATATGAATTATTCCTCGGCGATGCGCAAAGGAAGGAAATTTCGAGTGGTAAGCGCCCTTCCTTGGTGGGGTTGGAAGTTCAGAGCGTTGCCAGCAATTAATAATGATTCATGAAAGCCCCGCCTCCCGTACACAGACAGGTCAGGTCAGCTTGCCGCCGCGCGATAGCGAGGACGGGACAAGGGGTCGCAGAACGTGTATCGCGGGCGTTCCAGACTGCTTTAAAGTACTACGAGGCTGGAGCAAGCAGGTTGACTGAGGCACAAGTAGAAATACGCAGTAGGGTCCTCCCACTTGGGGGTCGCTCTCACTCTATGATACTTTAAATGCGAGCCGCGGGATGACCAACCGAGATGATTTGATATCAACCAGCGCCTAATCGGATGTTTACTGAGCGTGGGGAAGCCGAAGCGGGCACTTCTCGGGCACTCCGTGGCCGTCTTCGCGGCTCAACCAACACCCGATGGAGACTTTGAGTTTGAGCCCGGACCCTAGCTATCGACAGGAGTCGGTAACATTGCGAGGTGCCGTCGTTGGGAACGGTCGGGCATGGCTTTTCAGGACGTTACCAAAGCGGGTACCATTCCATTTCTCAGTGTGGTAGAGAGATCTGAAGTTTGCCGTTTTCTTTGCGCCTTCATTCAACTTTGAAGAAACGGAAGGGTTGGTGGTGAAAGAGTTGGGTTGTGTCGCGAAATTCCTATGATTCTAGCTTGCTCCCACCCCGGCTTTGTCCCCCAGACCCCGCCAACAAGGGGCCCGTGCGCTAGAATTCGTTCCTCAGGCCTCAAGAGGAAATGTCGTGGCCAACCCTGGAAAGGGTGAGCAGCAACCTGACCCGACGGCCCTGGTCATTGAGCTCACTCCCCATTTCCACCGCCCGACGTCCAACTGTCAGAGAAGGACGGCTTGCTTCAACATGGCCATCAAGTAGGCTCGCAGTCCTGCATCTGCCTCCTTGCTCGAGCTAATTGAGATGGTAACAGCTACCTGATCCTTCTCTCTCGGCAAGGCAAAGTGGTTCGTTCATCTACCTGTTCTTCGGTCAAGTGCGACGAAGCTCACTCAACTCCAGCGCTTGGCCAAATGGTTTACCACGTTGTCCCCCAAGGACAAAGCCAAAATTGTCAAGGATGTCTCACAGCTCGTTCTGGCGAGGCGGACGCGGATGTGCAACTTCCTCGAGTATAAAGGTCGGTGCTTGGTCGGATGTCGCATCGTTGCCCGCTGGCTAACTCAGTCGCTAGACACCAAGATTGTATACCGCCGATATGCATCGCTATTCTTTATCGCCGGGTGCTCCTCCGAGGACAACGAACTGATCACGCTCGAAATCATCCACCGATACGTTGAACAGATGGACAAGTACTACGGCAACGTCTGCGAGCTCGACATCATCTTCTCTTTCACCAAAGCCTATTATATCCTGGACGAGCTCCTGCTAGCTGGCGAGCTGCAGGAGAGCAGCAAGAAGAACGTTTTGCGGTGCATATCCCAACAGGATGCGTTGGAGGACATGGAGGTTGGTGCTCCTTTTCCCCGCCGCTCACTTTTTCTCCTTGCAGAGACGATTCTTCTCCGTCGTTTAGTGGTCGTGGCGCTGACGTGCCCTCTTTCCCACTCAGGTCGAGGACGAAGTGACAAAGATCATGTAGCGGAACAGCGACGCTGGACCCTTATCGATCTCTTTACTCTCCTCGACGATGGCTACTTGAACGCTGCAGTAGAAGAGGACGTTAGCTGGCGCAATAACTAATTCCCATTGGCACTCACGACACAGGCAGATGAGCAGATCGAGAGCATACTGAAGGAGGGGGGGTTCCTGTGAGCTTGCGGCAGTTGCATGATACCCTTCTCGCGAACAAGCCGACCGACCGAGCGCGACAGCATACGGTTACGGGATTACACGGCGTTGCGGACATTACAGGCGTTATGGAGTTAAGGGGACCTGCAACGTCTTCGGGGACACCGTTTTCAACGGCAGACGGTGCAGTATACTGGACTACATTTACCCATCGGGAGGGAGCAAACTCCTTTCGCAGCATTCGCAGAATCTAGATATGGGAACTGTAGATAGAAACCACCAGTGCTCGGCCTGGCAAGGTCGAATGCGCATTGTATCACCGTCACAAACACCGCATACAGGTCGCCGGGAAGAGCAGCGATCGGAACTCGAACGTGTGTATTTCGACCCCCCTCCCCACATCCAGGGCGCCACATAGTCCTACCAGTCCACGGGCGTGCTGGTTACACAATCACCACCATGTGGGTGATTGGGATGATTCCAGGCCATGGCTTGGACTCTGCAGATGCTCGTGCTGGCGTTGGGAGATGCCTCGTGGGGTTTCCCGACTATCTCATTCGCTTACCATAGCAGCATCAGCCGGGAACGGTGCGGCGGAGTTCTCGGGAGAAGGGGGTTGCGGCGGAAGACGAGTGCCGATCGTTTCACCCCGTGTTCCTCCCGAAACCGGGATTGCGCTACCAGCTGGGTCCGGCCAAGGCCCTCAGTGGGCAGAGACGGACGATGATGCAACGCGAGACAACATCAGAAATGGAAGCCATTGCCGACTCTCTCCCGCCAACTGTCGCAACTTATTCGACTAATTCGATTCGTCGCTGTCTACTGTCAATTCAGCTGTCACCCCTTTTTCCAAGACATCGATAGGCTACGAGCCGTCCACGAGCCGGTTGCATCTCGGCACTCACCCCACGTCCTAGGCTTTGTTCACCTCCATTTGGCTCGACCTGTATTACAGCCAAGCTTGCGTATCCCCCGCTGTTCCCGGTTTCCCACCAAACATCACTCTAGACCACGACCACTTCCTCAACACCAACACTCTGTAAGCCCACGACGTCGCAAGTATCGCGTTGAGATACCCAGTTGGTTTGGCGCATCGACACTCGGTAACTATCGGATACTTGGCGTTTACTCCGCTGTACTCCATCCCACCAGTTGCGACGCCGCAACCGACGTCACCGCCCCAACTTTAGATGCCAACCGTCACCCCACGACGAGTTGATTGATTGCGCTTGACCTTAACGGCAAGATGAAGGTATCAACTACACCCCCGGCCCGCGCGCATGGCCCATCATGCTTATGAGACGGCAATAGTACCTATCACTCCCGTCCTTTGACGAGGTGACGAGCGCGCTCAATTTCGACACGCCAGATTGCCATGTCACAGGCAGCTGCGACCTTTACACGACCAAGGCTGCCGGATCCGACAAGAAGCTGTACAAGAACATCCAGCAATCGCTCGAATCGCAACATGCGGCCCTGCTCAAGTTCGGGGCATCCCTGTCGCCGCCCCAGCGCGATTCCATGGCCGCAAGCCTCAACCTGAGCCGCTCATCGCCATTCGGATCGTTGGAGGAGATGTCAAACCGGCGCACCTTTGCTTACCTGATCGCTACCCTAAACGCCTCCCACCCAGACTACGACTTCTCGCACGTCCTGCGACCGGCCGACTTCAAGCGCGAGCGCGTATTACGCCGCGTCATGGGGCAGATCGACAGCACCCTCAGCAGTGTGCGCCCCAACTCGACCCTGCTCGACGTCGCGGTGCCGCGCAGCTCCCCCGCGAAGCCGACCGACTTCAACACGGGCATCTCGACGGCGCCGGCGTGGGGCCCGCAGATGTGGGCCATGGTCGACAAGGAGATGATGCTCAAGGACTGCACCGTCTTCTCGTACCAGCCCGCCGACGACCCCTTCGACGAGGAGGAGGGCGCCATCTGGGCGCTGCACTACTTCTTCTTCAACAAGGCCCTCAAGAGGGTGTGCTACCTCTACGTGCGGGGCGTACCCGTCATGAGCCACAGCCCGCGCGTGACGGCGCATTCGGCCCTGTCGCGCAGGGCCACCGGTGGCCTCTCGGCCTTTGCCGACGACGGCATGAGCGACGACGTCGGCGCGAACAAGCGCGCGCGCTACTGGCTGGGCGACAAGTTCGCCGAGCGCATCACGGCGAGCGACGACGAGATGGACGACGGGTTGGTATGGAATCGCGATGCGGACGGCGACGTCAATAACCAATACGACGAGGACGATGACGACGATGACGACAATTTCCCTGGAGACGAAGACATGGATGCTAACGAGGGACAAGACGGCTACAGGGATTGGAGGAGAAGCAAGAGCCCCGTCATGGGAGTCAGTGAGGATATCGCTTCGAGGATGGAGCTCGACGTTTGAGCTACCCTCAGCCTTGGAATCTCTGGTTTGCAAAAGCTTTGACCGGCTTGCTTTCCTAGAGAGCCCACTGCCATCCGAAGTCACCCCTCGTTTCGACCATTACTGCTCGGGCACAAAAGAAAACCCGTGGTTTCCTCACCACACGGTTATTATTTCTTTCCCCTCCTCTCAGTTCGTCTTTTGTTTTGGCTTTCCGTTACTCGGCCCGCTTATAAAGGGAGGGCCTCTTGATTTCACGACTTTCTTTTCCTATGGTTTGTTTTATTCGTTGATGCTTTTGTGGGATTTCCATCGGCCGGCTTCCGGGTGTGTATTGAGTATGTACGGGATCGCACTGGATGTACGGGACGGCTTTTTCGAAGGCAAGGGGCACGGAGCATTGGGTGGGAAACCTGGCTAGGTTCATCACCGGTCAGGCAGGGCGGGAGGCGGCTGGGATATGTTTTGGGCGCGGACTGGGCGGCACTGCGGTTTTATTTTGGTGGCTCCCACAGGCTTTGGTTCCAGGTCGGCGAGAGGGACGCTGCGAATCGGAGTTCTTGGAGCGCAGGTTGTACGGTTGTCTTTGTCCTGCATCATATGAAATGATTTATGCAGGAAGATGGTGTGGATTTCACTTGGCAATAGCCTCGTTTTCAGCTACTCAGTTAGCGCTTGCTAAATAATAATCCATCAAGTTAAACTCTCACAGAAACAACCTCGCTTATTGACCGTGATCTCGGCCCCACTCCCTTGCTGGCTCTAGAAAAAAAGAGCGTGCCGTTTGGGACTGTATGGTCGGTGGTGGCTTTGACGTGCGGGACTGTGACTTGACCATAACTATACTACATAGAGCATTCACCCTGACTAGTTAGCCGGGTGGCCTGCCTATCAGACAGGTATACAAACAGCGCGACGCTGGGACGCAACGGGCCGAATACCTCTGTCTCGGTTTGATCCGGGACAAACAACCTTTCTGATACGGTAGCGTCGGGAACGGGCCGGCACCACGCAGCGGGATATCACCACGGAGAAGTCGAGGAATCAGGTGATTGGAAGGAGACAACGGCAACACAAACAAAAAAGCCCGACCAACAAAAAGCGGGTTAAGGAAGGGGTAGGATCGCAAACAGCTATGGTCCATCATCACATCCCTTCCATCACCCTCGCAAACGCATCCCCAAACACCACCCCTTTCCCACCCCCTCCCCGCCCCGCCCATCCCTTTCCCTACGACCCACGGCCCAGCCTGACCTCCATTCAACCCATCCAACCCAATAAACCGTCATTTAACCATGGGACATAAGCCAGGCTGGTCCGGTGCGGTATGGGTATGGTATGGTATGGTATGACCATCATGCTTGTTCCACGAAGATTGGTATAAAAAAGAGGATCTCATGTCTCAGGGGTTGCGATTCATTCGCCTCAGCCCCAGCGTTCCGTCATTCATCATGCATCCCCGTTCTTCTCGCCCGCCTTGCTGTCCCCGGCCGGCTTCGTTTCCGACTGCTGTTGCGCCGGCGTCGACGAGTTAGCCTCCGCCCCGGCCGCCTTCTCCTCCGAGCCGCTCTCTTGCGAGGTTCCCTTGGAGACCTGGCTAACGAGGTCGTTATCCTCCTCCGAGTTGTCGAACATCTCGGCGTCGTCCGAGTCGGTCAGCACCTCGGTGCCGTCACCGAGGAAGATGACGCGCCCCTTGTAGCCGCCGATGCCAAAGCTCTTACCCTGCTTCTGATCCTCCACATCGTAGGCGCTGTCGCTCTCGTCGAAGTTGTGGTGTACACCCGGTCCCCGGAATTCGGCTAGAGAGAAGGAGAGGCGGACATTAGTGACCTGACTAACTCGCTAACCAAAAAGGGAGACCAGCAATTTCGAAGGACGGGTGGCGGTACAAATACACCAGGCAGAGCAAACGTCGGAGAGCGACAGGGAGGAAAGGCAGGTATTTAGGGCTGATAAAAAAGAATGACAGGCGCGCTTCAAGGGGATGGCGTATCCCTACCATATTCGGGAGGAGCACAAGGGCCATCTCCATTGGCAACCCGTTTGGCTATCTCCTCGTACCACTCCTCCTTGGTCCGGCCCCTGAGGAATCCAATGATGATCATGGTCATGTTATCACAACCCACGCCGCCTGTCTCTGAGTTGGATGCTAGACAGTTGTCCATCATGTTCTCGCAGATCTTGTCCAAGTCTTGCTTGGCGGCGACCCCACGCCTGACAAACTCGATCACGGCTTGAGAAGACTGGCAATCCCAGATACCTATGTAGCGAGATATGTTAGCGCCGCATGCTCCGATGCGGATCCCTGTTTGACTTACCATCGCAAGCAACGACGAGAAACTCGTCGTCGTCACCGATCTCGTGGACTACAACATCGGGATAGGCTGTGACAATCTGTTGCTCGGGTGCCAGCTCGGCACTCTTCTTGAACTCGAAATCTCCGATCGCTCTCGACAGGGCAAGGTTTCCGTTCACGCGGCCGAAGTCGACAAATCCGCCCGCAGCTGTGATCCGTGCCTTTTCGCCTACAGCCCCGCACCGCACCCGGTCAGCAACGAGGCGCTCAAATCTTAGGGACGAAGGGCGCAGTCGACGCACCTTCATTTTGCGGTTTATGGTCGAATGACAAGGGTTTCGCTCGGCCCTTGACGCCCAGCACGCTTCTGGAGTCGCCGGCATTTGCCTTTTGGAGTCGAGTTGTGGTTAGCAAAGTGGGGGTTGCGCGGGGGCATGCGGCAGGGGGCGTGGGGGAAATTGTGCGAGAAAACTAACAATGTAGATCTTGTCATCGGTGATCAATCCCACGCAAGCTGTACAGCCTGAAACCTCGTCTTCGTACTTGGGATCTGCTCGAAATATCAGATCAGCGGTCGGTGTCCAGCGGCCTCGCATATCCTGGTAGTGGTGGTGGTGGTGGTGAGGGACACGTCGTGGCGAGCCCTGGCGTTACCACCCCAGCTTCCTCTCCCGGGACGACCGGGCAGTATCATACCGTTTAGAATGGCTCTGTCTGTCGCCAAAAAACCGTCCTTGAGAGCCTGTTCGTAGTTGCCCGTCTTAAACGTGTCTTGCTTTGCAACGATGCGGTGGATGTTATCGCCGGCGAAGAGCGCAACGTTGCTGCCGCCATGGCCGTCGTAGACGCCGAAGAAGGAGAGTTGGGAGGCGTGCTCCTTAGCGGCCTTCGGGTTATCCTCGAGCAGGTCGAGTTCCGCCGTGTGCGCATCCTCCATACTTATGCGCCAGCCCTGCATGGCCGACAGGCCGTAGAAGAGCCGTTTGTCTCCGCCATTCGCCGATGTCTAGAAGGGTTGTGCCCGTTTCGTCAGCGACCATTTCGACCCAGGAATAATTCGAAAACCCCAAGGCAGCCCTTTGGAGAACGAGACGGTCGGCACTGCTCTAGAGGCAGCGGCGCAAATGCAAGACCGGCTGCGGAGCGAATCCGCCGAGCAGCGAGGCATGTGAGCAAGCAGCACGGGTCCCAAGGAGGGGCAGCCGAGCCACCACGGCGCGACCCGAGCAGAACACCGACCGACACGCCGGACACCGAGGCTCGCCCTCCCAAGCGTAGGAGACAATAAAAACATACCTTCTCGACAACAGGCTCAGAGAGTGTCTGGCCCATGGTGATGCGTGTGTCGAAATGCGATTCGGCAGCAGCGCGGCTACCAGTGGGGTGGAGGGGTGGTTTTGTCGTGGAAGTGGGCAGAGAAGGGGGGGGGCAGGCAGCGAAGGACCCAAGTTGAAATTTTCTCGGCGGCCGTGCTAATTTCTGATGACGTTGAATCAGATGCAATATCGGCCAGGCGAAGTAAATTCGATGTGTTGTGGTGCAACCCCGCCAAAGACTCTTCTCGCCCTTTTTGTGCCTTGGATTTCCCTTTCGCTGCCGGTGCCGGGTCGCTGGGCGGTTTGTGTTGCTCGTGCACGGAGCAAATTTGGGTGCCCGGGCGGTGGTGGAGCGGGGTTTGGGGGGAACAGGCGGGCGGTGCCTGCGAAGTGCTCGTTTTGGCGTGGCAACCTACCAAGGGGACTGTGTGCCTGTGCAGCTGACGGACAAGGCGGACTCAAAAGGAGTCGTCACCAAAGCTTTCTTCCACCCGCGTGCAGGAGCCAAATTCTGATTTGCGACTCCTAATGAGGATAAAGTAACTCAGAACAGTTGACAAGAGGCGGGAAACAGCACGAGGTTTGGTGGAGCCAATCAACAGTTGAAGCCATTCGGGCAAACTGGAAATTGATTGCATGCTTGTGAAGATGCGAGTTTGGAAGCAGGGCTGCGACAGCTGTTGTGTCGGGTACATTACACGTAACATGCATACATTCCCTTCTTTGCAGTTACTTTATTTGTATATAGGTACATAACGGTACTTCTATACCTTCAGGTGCACAGCAAGCAGCTTCTTTCATCCCGAATTTGATCTTGCTTTGCCGTCCGTACAGGAAGCCAAGACGGCGAGATCCCGTGTTCTCGCGTGATCGCTGTCAAGTGCCCGTCGGCCCCAGCTCCAGCCAACGGTCTGGCCTCTTCTCCCCTTGCTTGCCAGATCGGGCCACCACAGTGCGCCGAGAATGCAGGGGGCAGTGCTGAGACCTTTTGACGCAATACTAGAAAGCAGGCGATTGAGGTCGCTCCCACCGTGCCGATACAGACAACACCAAATTCAGGGTGATCTTTCGACCAATACAATAAACTACAATGACACACAGAAAGTAATACGATGACTCCTGCTCTGTTTTCCCCCATTATCCTTAAGGCGTCATTCCCAACCTGTCTACGTCTGTCGTCCACACCTCATATCCAAGACTCATATAAACACGGCATAATCCGACCTGCTCCCTCCTGACCGTAATGAAACCCCGTTAGACTGGCTCTTCCGTGTCAACCCCGACCTTTCTTGCCTCTCCTCTTCTTTTCCATTAACTGCCGGAGCAGCCTCCGGAGAAGAAGACCCAACCGCTGCCTCCGCTCCTCCTTGGTCATCCTCTTCCTTTCCTTCCACCCCCTGCCCTTCCCGCGCCCGCGGTAGACTTACTGGAACCGTGGTTTCCGGTAACTTCACCGGCGCGGTCGTATCGCGGCTTTTTATGACGGGCGGTTCCTGGAGTACTGTCCAGTTCTGCTGCGGTTGGGAAGTGGATCGGCTTATGGTCAGGCTCTCGACCGTCTCATCCGCCCACTCATCTGCCGTGGGAACTGTTGACCACGTCCTAGATGGGCGGAAAGGGTTATTCTCTATAACGCCGTCGTAGATATCTAGAGAATACGTAGGTGTTTCCCCGCGGATGGAGAAGCTAGACGTGGGTTCATCTTCCACGCCGAGAACGCTCGGGATAGGGGTGGGTAAGGTGGTTGCTGTATCACTTGCGTGGAGTGCTTCTGAGCTAAGGTGTCCGCGGTTCCCACCCCCGATCAACCCGTTCCTAGTCGGCGGCCGGCTGAGGGAGGCTCGGCGAGGAAACTGTGGGAGCGGGAGGGCCTCGGGCCCTAGAACCGCCACCCCATTTGGATCGTTCCTTTGCGTGGTCGGGATGGTTGGTGATGGCTGTCCGGGGACCTCAGAAGTAAATGTGTCCACCGTCAACAGGCTGGGTTGCTCACTCAACCTTTGCATTCCCGGAACAAGCTTCGTGCCATGTCGTTTCCCCTTGACTCCCTTCAGCCATGGCCAAGACAGCTTCCGGGTCGCCGGCGCAAGGGGGTAATACGAGGCCCTGAAACTTGGTCTCAGTGGTACGGCATCCATCTCCGGAGCTGTTCGGGAAGAACCTGGCCGGGGAGTTGAAGCGGCCTCTGTGGGCGACGGTGAACCGGCGTATGGCGAACCAGGGGTCTGCAGGAAGTTCGGCACGTTGACTTCGACCCTGTCCCTAAACGTCCGCCTACTATCACTTCCAACCGACTCGAGCCGGCGAGAATCAACTAGCTCGCCGATACTCGTCTCGGTAATGGAGCTTAGTGAGTTGTTGATTTTGCCCCGAGTGCCCGGACGCAACGTGCTTAGTGCTCCACTGACGATAGCTGTAAGTCTGACGCCTTCTTGTGAAGTACCGGGACCAGAGATAGGGCTTTTGCTGGGCGGAAGTGGCTTCGCCGTGCCTGTTGACTGGGAAAGCTCTGGTCTTGTTAAAAAGACTGTTCTTGAATTGAAATAGCCTTTCTTTTCGGAGCCAAAAACGTCATCCGCCGAAAAGCTCTTGCCGAAGCGGTTTGAGAGGTCTGGGAGGGAGTGAGAAGCATGCGAACCAGCGGAGTTCGTCACAAACGTCCCAGGGAGAGGGCCTGAGATGTCGCGGGTGCTGAGAGCAGGCTTCTGGGGATTCTTTCGTCGACGGAAATACCAAAAAAGTGCGCAGACTGCCAGGGCAAGGAGGAGCAGGAGCGGCAGAAGAACCGCCAACAGCACGGGGTTGAAGCGATCTTCTCCGAGAGTGTCGCCGGTTGACGTAGGATCGGTGGGTGTTGACCCTTTACCGCTCGACACCGCGCGGATAACAACCTTGAAAGATAGGGAAGCTGATTTCTTCGACTTCTTCGACCTGGCCATGATTTTGACGTCAACCGCAGAATCTCCCAGCTCCTCGGGAGCATCACCGAAGAGAATGATTGAACTGGGATCAAGCCGAACCCAGGGATAAGAAGATCCCGTGTCAAGTGAAACTTCTGTGTCCCGAGGGCTCAACAAGTATGGTTTAAGATCAAAGGAGAACGGTCCGCCGGGAGTGATGGTAAGTTTGGGTGACCGGGTGGTGAATAGCTCAAACTCATCACTCGCCACGTCGACCAGAACCGTCAAATTTAGGTTGTTAGAGTACATATCGCGGAGTGTAATGGTGAAGTTGGCGGACTCTGCCGCATCGGGCGGAACTCCAGTCAGGTGCCACGTGTGTTTGTTGACGGAAAGCCAGCCAGGGATACCGGGTGTGGCGGCGATCACAACGCTGCCAGGAACCGCAGGTTTGCCATCACCCGTGATAGTCTCTCTCAGCCCAGTGTATGACAATAAAGTTCCACGTGTGGCGTTCAAGGCAATGGTAGTTCGGTCGGCTGCGAGTTGGTGGCTTCCAACAACAATATCGAAACCCATAATTGCTCCCGCAAAGCCGACCACATCGGTTGCAATGACCCGGAAGGAAAAGTGTTGCGGAGGCTGTACAAGGGATTCTGCGGGCGGCGTTTGTCCAGTAAAGGAGAGACTGGACGAGTCGAAGGATACCCAAGCCGGGAGGGGTGTATTATCGGCCATGGTGGCATAGTAGCTGATGACGGCACCAGGGGGCTTAGCAAACGTATTCGGGTTGAGTTCGAACGAGAAGCTCTTTCCCGGTGTGGATAAAATGGCCGATGGGCTAGAAAACGTGCCAAAATCGGGGACTTGATTCTGAAGCGGGATCTCTACTCTGGGCCCAGGGCTCGCTGAGACCACGAGGGTCGCAGTGAGTGTTGTTGACCCAGAGTCATCTGTAGCCACTAGGTCCAGGGGCACGCCCGTCACATGGCCCGGCACAACATCATCCTGCCCTGGGGTCCCAAACAATCGCCGGGCGTCACTGTCGACGGAGAGCCACTTGGGGGGTTTGGAAAGGCTGTAAGCGATCGGAGAGCCGGATGAGAAGGTGGATGGCGAGAAAACGAAGGAGAAAGGCTCTCCCAGCCTGGCAACGGGTGGAACCTGGGAGTTTATTGGAAACGATATCACAGGACTCGAGATGGCGAGGCCCGGGAGAAGAAGCAAGGCTGATGCCCATGCCATGGCCGGTGAGACCATGATGGTGATCCAAGAGGCTTCACTGGTACCTCGAAGCAGATTCAGCTACTGTGTGTTGGATACAAATGAGGAGAGAATATGGGACGAGAGCGGGCAGGACGACAGGTTAGAATGAAAGGGGGGAGATTCAGAGAAGGAGTTCTTCAGTCAAGACCGAACCTTGAAAGGGTGGCTGGCCTTTGCGGTCAGCCATTCGGGTTGTCCCTTGGTTCTATTCATGATCATCGCATTGCGAAGTTGTCAAGGGAGGGGATCCCGCCATCAAACTGCTGCCCTTACGCTCCCTCCCTTCTCCGGAAAAGAGGACGAAGGGAAGGGTGGCAGCGGCATGGCCAATTATTCGAATATAACATTGTGAGGCGGGGTTGGCCCGAGGAAGAGCATTCCAGGAGGCAGGCGGGCAATGAAGATGGAGGGAGGCTGGGGGTGGCATGATGATGTTAGGTGCCAGGTGAGCGGTCGATGTCTCACCGGGGAGATTCCTTCGTGCCTGTTAACAAAGGTTAGTAGGTAGGTTATTACCGCCCGGTATCGCAATAAGCTTCCGAAAAAAGGAGAAAGACGGAAAGGAGCCGAAGGAGGCCAGTCTGCGCTATCCGCGCTGTTTGTTGGGCATGACACTACACTTCATGTCGTATTTTCGGCAAAGGAAGGTGCAGCCAGTCGGAGGCAGCGGCGAGGGTCGCGATAGCGAGGGTCGCGATAGTGAGTGGAGGTGGGAGTCACCGACTCGGTGGCGGCGGGTCAGATATGTTAGGTGCAGCCCAGCTTGCAATTTTAAAAAATTTCCCATCCTTTCGATTCTATTCCCAACAACTAGTTCAAGATCGCAGAATGTCCAACAAGGAGTTATCATCGTCACCCGAATTCTCACCACTTGCCTTCGGTGAAGACCTGGCACCGCTTCCGGAGTACAAGCAAGCGGGAACCACACAAGTGGATTTTTCAGGCCTCCTCGACGAACCCCTCAAGCTCCACGAAGACCTCAAGTCGGGATGCGGAGGCCAACTTTGGCCTGCCGGCATGGTGCTGGCAAAACACATGCTGCGTTACCAACGAGACAGGCTGCAACCTGCTAAGATGTAGGTCATAGTCCCGACTCCCCCGCGATTATCGTCTGTCTGTTGTGATTGAGGGTTTTTGGTGGTGCGGGGCAGCTTGCAGCCAGAGTGGTCTGCAGCGACTGATTTGATTCCTGGCAGGCTCGAGCTTGGCGCTGGTGGCGGGGTTGTCGGACTCACTATTGCAAAAGGCTGCGCCAACCTTGACCACCCGCTGTTCCTCACAGACATCCTTGAGATGGAGCCGCTGATGCAGCACAATATCTCATTGAACGGACTCGATGATCGGGTCAAATCCAGGGTGCTCAAATGGTGAGTGGTGTGCCCATCCACGTTGTGTTACCCCCCCTGGCATCCGGCCGAGCGCCGTCTGCCGCGGAGTTGCTGCTACCAGCGAATCGTTCGAGCCAAGGGAAGAACAAGTGAAGAGATGTTTGAAGCTTCCAATCGGGTGGTTGTTTCGGGGGTTGGTTGGTTCTGACAACGGGTGCCGATGCAGGGGCGAGCCGCTTTCACAGGAAGTCCTCCAGTTCAAGCCCGATATCATTCTCGCGGCCGATTGCGTCTACTTCGAACCGGCGTTTCCCCAGTTGATGCAGACTTTGCAAGACCTGCTGGCCCTGGTACCATCCGCCACTGTTTTCTTCTGCTTCAAGAAGAGGCGGCGGGCCGATATGCAGTTCATCAAGGCCGCGAAGAAGGCCTTCACCGTGACTGAGATCGAGGACGAGGATCGACCCGTCTTTAGCAGAAGCGGCCTGTTCCTCTATACCTTTACCCACAAATAGTGATATAAAAATTTATGGCAGTGATTTCCCAAGACTCGGACCGAATCCCTCGCGAGGTGGGAGGCAAATAAATATGTGTGTGTAGGAAAACTTAACGGTCCTCCCCAAGGCGAATGCGACTTTACGGAAGACCCGTCCAATAAACCAGCCAACGCAACGCGTGGACGGCCGAGGAATGCCGAAGAGCAGTTCTGGACCCCCCCAAAGCCACCGACAACCCCAAGGTTCCACCAACCGACCATCCCACCCACCATCGGAAGCCAGCCCTACGCAGGAGTGGGTTTTATTAATGACGAGTTGACCCCCCTTGGCGGCGTGTTGGTGAGACAGAGCCGGCGAAGTCCGGTTGCAAAACGACACCGACGCATCAGCCGAAATAAAAGAGGATAAAAACAGATTCATTCGAGACAAGAAGAGGGTCTTAAACTCTTAGTTAATGGGCTGTGTTTTTTACCCCTGGTGCCCCGAACCCTGAGCCGTGCCGTGCCGTGCCGGCAGTCTTCGGACGAACGCTTTGCTTCTTGCTTGCGAGCTTTTGCGCACGAGCGCACTTTCTGGGGACTGGGCAGGCTCTGGCCTCCGCAGAGGCCGCCACCCAGTCCCGTTTTCTGTCACCACCCGACATGCATCAAGAAAACCTTGGAAAGCATTTCGATGATGGACGTGGCCAGCGATTCTTGGGCGGAGTCTGGACTGCGGGTCAGATCGACGTGTCTCCCGACCCAGCACGCTCCCATTGGCTGGGCTGGTTTCCGCTTCCGTTGGCGGTTGGGTTCTGTTCCTGGAATGACAGGGAACCGAAAGATTCCCGGCCGTTCCTTGCAGCTGCAAGGAACGACTGACTGGCGCCATTTTTGAACAAAATTCGGATGCGACAGCGCCACTAACTAGGGTGACTAAAATGCGACGCCATGCCCCTGCCAAGCCTGTTTATTCAGTACCCCGGAAGAGCACACAGAAACTGCAGTTTTCGCCGTGGAAGGGCACATAACAGGGCCAAGTCGTTAACAGCGAACGGAGGTACCCATGTAGCATTACCGGAACTCGTGATAGTGAAATGATGAGACGCAAGCAGGGGGCCCACGACTTCCAGGCGGCCGCTCTGGCCCAAGTCCCGGGGCTTCGCCCAGTCCACTCTCGCTTGGCCAGCCAAAAGCTGGGGGGACCTTTAAGTTTGCCCTGCGCTCTTTTGGCTTCAGTTTGTTGTTTCCTCGTTTGCTTCAACCCATCGACCGACACATTCATTCCTTTCTTGACCTGGCTCAGTGAGCCCACCTTCATTTGACAACCTCATCATCGAAGAAGGATCAAGAGCAACTGGTCCTCGTTCTTTCCCTTGACCACGCTTTGCTTGACGTTCATTTGAGCTCAAAAAACCATCTGGTGATACACCACTCACTTGGTATCAACCACAGACAGCACGCTTGGCCACTATGAAGTCGACCGTGTTTATCGCCAGCTTGCTGGCCTCGCTTGCCGCCGCCCAGCCTCACGGCCATGGCCACGGCCACAAGCACCGCAGGAAGGAGCACCACCACGGTGAACGGGGGCTCGTCGTGAGCTGGGTGACCGAGACTGTCTACGAGACGGTCACCGCCGTCGTCGACGACAGCACCACTGAGCTGATCATGCCGAGCACCAAGCCGGCCACCACCACGTCCTCGATTTCCACTAGCACAACTCCCAGCCCCATTCCGGTCATCCCGGATCCCGAGCCGAGCTCCTCCTCGACATCAACCACGAAGGCTCCGGTGGTGCAGCTGCCTCCTCCTCCCCCACCCCCTCCCCCGGCGCCGACCACCACCAAGGCGGCGCCCCCTCCCCCCCCTCCCCCTCCTCCTCCGCCGCCGCCACCCGTCGAGACTCCCGATGAAGGCGAGGACGACGGCGGCGACAGCGGCGGCGGCGGTGGTGGCGCGACGTACAGCGGCGAGATCACGTACTTCGCGCTGGGCCTGGGCGCGTGCGGGTTCGACGACAGCAACAAGGACCACAGCGACAACATCGTGGCGGTGTCGTCGCAGCTGATGGGCGCGCTGTCCAACGGCAACCCGATGTGCGGCAAGACCATCACGATCCGCGCCAACGGCAAGACGGTCCAGGCCCGCGTCCACGACAAGTGCCCCAGCTGCGCGCCCGGCGACATCGACGGCTCCGAGAAGATCTTCCTGTCGCTGTTCGGCTCGCTGACGGCAGGTCGCATGAAGATTGAGTGGTGGTTTAACAACTAGACGCTTTTTTTTGTCTAGTTGTTGATTTGGGTTTGTTTTTGGCTTTTTGTGTGGATGGGCGGACCCGGCGGCGACCCGGTCGGTTGCTTGGATAAATGCATCCAATCCCCCCCCGGGCATTATGATGTGATGCCACTTTTCGCTTCTGCCTCTACTCGTCACCAGGCAATGGGACGAGATATAAAACTACATAACACACTGGCGTCTTGGGCCTGGTAGCACTCCAGGCTCGGAGAGAGGAAAAGGGGATAGGGCGCCATAGGTATACCCGGCCGATAGACTTCGTCTTCCTGTACATACTTAGGGGTAACCCGGTTTTGAATCGACTGGATAGTCTACTTGCGTTGTTGGCGTTCTCACACCTTGATGTGTTTCAGGGCCAGTTGTGTGCTTCGTCGAGGGTACTGTCCTATATACAATGGGTCCATGATGTGTGACGATCACCCGTTCGATGAGAGCCAGAGACAACTGACTCTACATCCACGGTGATGGTATCATCGCAGCTCACCGATTCAAACTCAACAACCCCTCAATATACCTCCTCGTATCAACACCAATCCCCTGCGCCAACCGACTCGCCCCATCCGTCCACCCGCCCGAAGCACCACCGCCCACATACGACGCGCTGACACCCCTAACCCCACCACCGCCATGGTCGCTCGCCCGACGGACGAGGAAGACCTCCTTCCCCACTGCTGCCGCCGCCAGCCCGCCAGCCCCATACTCGTCCCCAGGGACACCACCACCGAGCGCCGCGCCCCCTCCGTCGCTAGTGTCATCAGAAGACCCCTCTCCGTCCAGGGACAGGGACGACGATGCCTGAGCGTCCCTGGGAGGGCGCTGCTCGAGGATGCGGTGCCAGACGACCCACCAGCCGCGGCTGGTCTTGCACGTGCGCTCCAGCGCGGCCGCGTCCCCGCGGGAGCCGGCGAACATGCTGAGGATTTGGTTGTGTGTGTTGAGCGCCTCCACGCGGGTCCAGGCCGCCGGTGGCGGCGGCGGGGCGAGAATGCCGGAGGGGTCGGTGATGAGGACCGGGTCGGGGATGTTGGGGATGGTGGAGTGGATCGTGAGTGTCTGGGGGTCGAAGACTAGGTCGTAGATCTCGCTTTGGGATGTTGGGGGCCCGCCGAGGTCGGGTTTCTCGGGACGGTAGGCGGTGGAGGTCAGCAGCGGTTTGTGGAGGCGTGTGAGCTGCGTGTGGAGGGATTGGGAGAGCTCGTCCCATGCGGGAGTGGTCGTGTTGGGCTGGAAGAGGAGGACATAAATGAAGGGCCTATGGACGTAGATGACGGGCCGCAGTTGAGCTATGTTTGGCTTTTTAGGGCTCTGATTGTTGGGTTTGAAAGTTGGTGAGCCAACGACACCCGACTCCCCGCCCTGGTGACCTTCGGAGTCAAGCTCAACCGTGACTGTTGGCGGACTCGGACGGTCCGCTTGTACCGGTGAGTCCGGTTGCTCTGGTTCCGTGTTCTGCTCGCCGAGTCCAACCAGAAAGCAGCCGGCATCAGGGTCCTTCGCGGGCTTTTGTGTAGCAACGCTTTCAGCGTCGGCTGGGTTTGGTGTCGACTCGTCGTCTGCGTCCGAGTTTGTTGCAGGGCTAGCAGTACCCAGAGACCAATACGTACCGTAGCCTAGCTTGAGATAGGTGAACATCTTGTCCATGCCGCCGCTAGCCTCCCCGGCCTCTACTAGAGCGTCTCCAGTAGCAGGACCGGGTTGAGCATCCCCATCCTGGACCCCAGGAGCGCCGCCTGCTTCTGACGACGGGGTTTTGGGTTTCCCTTTTGCTTGAACCTTCTTCCCATCCCCCTTGGGAGCCACTTTGGCAATACCCGCCTTCCTACCGACTGCTCTCCGCCTCTTCGCCCGCACGGCACCCGCAGCCGCGCTGCTGTCAGCCACGCCATACGCACTCTCGCCCCACGTATAAACATCCTCCATCCAACCCGCCACCGCCCGAAGCGCCGGTCTCGAGAGCGCCCCGGCCCCCAGGAAAACAACCCCATCCTCCGCGCCGACCTCATTCCCCACCCCCAGCCAGCCCTCCTCACCCCCCAGCGCCCCCGTCGCAACCCTCTCATTCCCCTTCCCCTTCCCCGACGCCCCATCAACAACCGGCGGCGCCCTTTCCGCACCGAACCGGCCCACGACCAGATCCACCAAACCATCCCCCCTCCCCACCAACCCCTCCAGCACGTCGCGCTCGCCGCTCCCGCGGTCCTCCTCGCCGACACCGATGCCCAGCTCGCCGCACGCGGCGATCTTGATGCCGGCGAAGACGGCGCAGGCCGGGTTGCCGTGCAGCAGGACGTTCCAGGTGGAGAGGAACAGGTCCCAGTAGCGGGCGAGCAGGGCGGTGAACTGCGGGCGGGAGGTCGGGGCGGAGTCCGGGGTGGTGGCGGAGGTGGTGGAGTCGGAGGGGGTGGTGGTGGTGGTGGTGGTGGTGGTGGCGGGGGGGAGGAGGGAGGAGAGCGAGGGGCCGTGGTGCAGCAGGAAGAGCGCGTGCGCGCGGAGGAGGTCCTGCAGGAGGAGGGCTGGGGGTTTGACTTCGCGGGAGGAGTACTCGAATTTGGGGGGTGGGGGGCTGCTGGTGGTGGTTTTGGCTCCTGGGGGCGGTGGGGTGGAAGAGGCCGGGGCTGTCTTGGTTGCGGGTAGGGGGAGGCGGGTGAGGTCGATGGACTTAGCCGTTGGTTAGCATATTTGTTGTTCTGGGAGACGAGAAAAATAGACAAGCTCACAGCGAGAATCCACCAGCCTGGCTCCAGCTCATGTAGCACGACACGGGTGCGCTCCGTGTCGATAGAGTCGACGGCTTTGCCTCCGGAGAAGCTACGGCCGAACTCGACCATGCCCTGGGCGAGGCCTATCTGCCTGAGACGCTCGTTGCGCTCTTCATTGGAAAGGACATCGGTCGGACGGCCGTCCTTGGCTGTGCGATGGCGGCGTCGCTTCGCGTTCGACTGAGTGCTGGCCGAGGCATAGTACACGATCTGGTCCTCGACCGTTTCGTCGGTCGTACCGAGGCTGGGGTTGTAGATGGCCAGGAAGCCGAGCTGGGCGGGGACAATGCCAGCTGCTAGCGGGCTGGCCATCCTTGATATTGAAGGCGAGCAAGACGGATGCGACACGGGTAGTTTGGTGATCTCATGAGTTTTGCTTGTTCTTTAAACCTCGGAAATTGATGTGGCTTCCATCTATGCTTGTAGAACTGAATTCCCTGCTCGCCGTATTCCGTTTTCAGTTATGAGAATTGTTTAATTCTGATAAGTGAGCGAGTGAATGAGTGACGTTGGATTGCTTGGGTGGTCGGGAGCTGAGTTGTTCGAGTGAGAAGTCCCCCGCTTTAGGAAATTGTTAAGGATTATCAAATACCTAACTAACGGCCTTGAAGGTTTGAAGGGACCTGATCATCCACACCACACCCCGAAATAGTGCTTTCAGTCGACACCAACTACATACAAAAAGAACAGGGGTTTATTCTTATTTCATGTGAAAAGTAAAAGCAAAAGGCCGCCGTTGCGGAGGTGGCCGGCTACGAAACCCCCGGTGGGGTGTGCAGGTTTACACCGAAGAGAAGGGGGTTCGAGGGTTCGGAGATGCGCTGTTTCGCTAGATGCCAGAGCGCAGGAGTGAATTATCAGATTTTATGTCGTTGAGATATGTATCTCGTCTATCATACATATATATGTTGTACATACAGACGCAGTGCTAGGGCGCATCTTGCCCTGTCTACGCTCTATCGCATTGTGTTCTCTCGTTTATCGCGTTGTTTTTTCCCCCAATCCAGCTTCATAGCCCGCCAGCATCATGTTATTCCAGTCATCCTCCTCCTCCGCCGCCTCCGCAGTGCCTTGGGTCACATGGGCAAATCCCGACTCTTTTGCTTTCGCACGAGCAGCTCGCTCTTGATTAGTCTTCTCTGTTAACCATCTCAGCCTAGCTTTTGACTCAAGCTCTTTCTCCCCCACCCTCACAACAGGCAACTTGAGGGGGAACATGTCGACCGGCACCCCCATGCCAGGGACCGACTTCTTTTCCTGGCGCGACAGCAAGTTCAGCCTCCGGTCGCAGTCGAGGGCTGCTTGTAGGAGGGTACCAAGCGGAACCGCCGGTTTGACCTTGCGGAAGCCTTTGTGCATGGCTCTGGCGAAGAGGTCGTATGCCTCCGCGGCGTATACAGTCGTTACTTGCTCCCCGTCTCCTCCCTCGACCCCGTCTGCTTTCCCACCAGGAATACGCGTAGAGCCGGAATGTGATTCATCAGGTGAAGATCCCGACGGGCCGTCAGGCTCGCTATTGAGACGGGCTTTTTCGGAACCGCTGGGCGCATCGTCTAATGCGTCTGGGGCGTCTGAGGTGGAAGGGAGGGCAGCCTTGGGGGGATTCCGCTTCTTTTTGGGCCGACCCTGTGCAATTTTGGACTTGAAACGGCTCATATCGTAGTCGCACAGCAAGAGTGTCTCAATAAACTCTTGCATGCCGATCCTGCAGTTGTGGGGCTCGGCCCACATGCCGCGCATCAACTTGGTGAGGCGGAAGAGGAGGTACTTGTGTCCGGCAAGTAACTTGATGCCGTGATCACGCATTTGGTGGTTCGTCATCCCCACTCTGTGAGCATAGCGCCAGACGGCGCCGAGTAGCTGCGGCTTCTGTATCTGCCGCGCCATTTCGTAGAGCAGCTTGAACGTGATTTGGTCGGCCACATTGCGGCCTCGTTCGTCAAACATGCGCACAAAGGCCACGGCCAGGTCGACCTTCCTCTGGTTTTTGCAGTGTGTGAGGATGGTGTTTAACGCGACGTCGTTTGGCAGGCCGTTCGAGCACTTAAACATGTATTCGAGAAGCTGTTTCGATTCGTCGAATTTGCCGTACTGTCCAAGCACGTCGAGATATCTGCAAGCAGCGCGCTGGTGAAGCTTCCAACCCGCGCCGTACAGCTCATGGAGTTCAGCAATGAAAGCGTCGAGGTTCTGACCCTGCTGAACTGCACGATAGGCGTCGTGATCGGCCATGATCCCCGATACCTGGGTCACGGTCATGGGGTCGGAGAGGAGGCCCTTAATACCCATGGCCTGTATGATGTATCGCCTGATCTCCTCTACCTCGACCAGGCGGAGGAAGAGCAGCCAAGTCCGTAGGTTGGGCTTGTGCCCGTTGACAATCATTTGGCTGACTGTGGTTTCGAACGCCAGCAGGTTCTTAGACTGGACCGCTGTTTCGGCTAGCAGATTGTAAATGTTCGCGTCCATGCGTAGATCCAGCTTCGTGGCTCGGTCGATCAGCTCCTCAGCGACCGACAGGTAAGTCGCACCATCGGCGGTGAGATAGCGGAGGGCCATATTAAGCGCGGGGATGGAAACGGCGTCCGAAGCGTCCGAGTTGTTGAAAACCTCACGCAGTTGCTGCACGACTGCCTTCTTATGGGTCTTGCCCGGAGGGTACAGTCGCCGGCCGATACCCGCGTCTACTTCGCCCATTGTCAACGCCGCGACGTACTGTTCAAACGCCTCGGTTGTCCATTCGCTGGGTCGTGGGATCTGATCCACCCTCATGTCGAGTTTGTAGGGCCGCCATGGCACTGACATATGGTGGGGTTGGATTATAGTTGCCGTGAATGCCGAACCGCCGGATCCATCTGCGGGTGCTTGATCAGCCTGGCTGCCGTCCTGTCCATTCCCCTGAGGCTCGCCCGTGTTGACAACCGTGATGCCCTTGGTGACCTTTAAGATGTCGTCGACAGCGGTAGATATAGCCGCCGGCTGGCCGCCCAGAGTGACGTAAGGGTCTAGGTTCGCTCCTTCGTCGCTTGGCCGATACAGGTTGATGGCACACCCCGTCCTCGCTTTTATATTCCACAGACTCTTCCTGTGATCGGACAAAAGGAACTCGATTGAGTGCTTCGGGATGATGACCTTGATTCGGCTGTCGGATTTGGCGTGTGGGAGAGTCGATTTCATGAGGTGCTGAAGGATAGTGCGCCAGTCGCCGTCCCGGTCTTGTCGTCGCTGTTTATCGAGCCGAAGTTGTTGCGTCAGGGCGCGGTGGTGCTTGTGCAGCGCCTCGCGAGCCTCGCGTTTGTGAGGGTACTGGGCGGCGACGGGTTTGACGACGATCGATTCATGGGCGATTTGCGGCCTTATGGGGATGTGGCCAAGCCGACTGATCAGCGATGTCAGGGCACTGGCTGCGGCATCTTCGGCGGACCGTTCGCGGGTTGGAAGCACAGGCTCCAATGGGCCTTTCGGGTCAGTGTTGGTAGACTGTGGCCGGAAGAAGGCGCCGTGACCCCCAACCGGCCGGCTTTTGAGAGCCGAAAAGCATATTCGATGTTGTATGCGACCGAGGGGGGACGAGCACGTTCTCCACGGTAGCGCGGAACCGAGGGTCATTTCTGTGATCAGGGCATGTCTATGTCTTGTCGGTAGGTTTGCTCGACCGGCGGCTCGGTCTTGGTTGCGGCGAGGTTGCTATGCTCCAAAAGATGACTGCAATGCGCAGTGCTCTGGCGTTTATCGATACTCGCGTGCATGGGACAGAGTGGGCTTCAGGGACGAGATGATTTTTTTGGAGATGTTACACAGCAGACCCCACTATCACCCCCAATGATGCCTCGCCAAGGGTTGCCGGGTGCGTGCTTCAAGGTTATCGCAAGCATTTCTGGCACAGTGTCAACTCAACCATGGGTGAGCTTCTTTCTACACGGTAAAACGCAACCTTCGCTTGATGAAGGCGTATCGATATACGTAGTAGGTGCAAATACCCATAGAGGCAAGGAAGGAGGCATAAAAATGTCGAAAGCTGCACATACGGGTATCCTAGGTATCCCTGCCCGACTCCAGCACCCCATATTGAACTTATTTTCGTAACGGTACTCCGTAGACCATGCTTGCTATCATGCTCCGTCCTCGTGAAGGTTATTTACACCTCCCTTCTTAGTTTCGTCTTTAGGAGCGGGAGGCCCTGATGGGCCGGACCTGTCCACCCCTCGCCAGGTGGAATCCCAGCCCTGCTCTTGATCAACAGCACCCTTCGAGCCCCCTTCCTCGGCTATGTCCTTCGCATCGCTCCAATACTCCAGCCTTTTCACCTCTTCGTCTGCATGTGTGACGGCCGCGGCGAGGTTCTTGACTCTTTGATCCAGATCCGGGCTTGGGTCCTTCTCCTTCTTGTGCTCCGCAAGGGTCATGTCGTAAATATCGGTCAACTTGCTCAAGAGGACCCGACGCGATGCTTGAAAGACAAAGAGGGCCATGATATCGTGCATGATTGATTGCAGCCCTTCCAAGTTCTCCTGGGAGTTTTCGAGGTAGTTATCGACGGCTTCGATCTTCTCCCTGTCAATCCGGGACACGCGGAGAACGTGCAAGAGCCCGTCGGCGTGCTCAATGACGGGTGGCTCGACGCCCTCCAAGTTGACCGTGCTCATGCTTACTCTACTACCACGGACACTGGAGGCCCTGCTAGGGCTGCCGTCCCGAGCTGTTTCGGAAGATGGCCGAATCGTAAAATATTCGGGATTGAGCATGTGCGGGCCCTGTGCGAGATAGCCTGCGTCCTTCCTCACCCGTTTCCTGATCCACGCCCGCCGACGGACGAACGAGTTCCACCACCGCGCCTTATGCCACGCGAATTTCTTAGAAAACGCAAAGGAGTATTCCCAGCCGTCCTCGTCCACGCCCTCGTCGTGGTTGATGCGCCATTCTGGCCAAGCCCATTCCCAGCTGGGATCGGGCACTTGTGCCGTGTTTATATTGGTTGGACTGGGCCTGTGGGCGAAGTTGGTCCATGCGGGGGGGTCGAGGTTGCCAAGAGCCATAGAGGAAAAGAGTGGCATGCCGCAGAGAAACCCGCCTCGTTGGTTTTCGTACAAGATGTCGACCGCCGATTCAGGTGTCTTGGGCTTGGCGTGGTGTTTTGTGGTTTGTATCTTTGACACGGGATCGCCAAGCTCTACCTGCGGCGTCGGTCCTAATACATACGCGTTAGCCAGTCACCTCTTGGTACGATGGGTAGCAGAGATCGCGCACTTACCCTCTACTACGACAGAAGGCTGCCCTGCATCTTCCCGCCCCGTCACTTCCCCGCTGATCCCATCCTCTCCATCATCCACTTGGGACTCTGTGGCGGTGGCTGTAGTTTCGCCCTGGGTCGACGGGCCGCCCAGTGAGGACCTAAGGGGGCTCTCCTCCTCATCTCGATCGACTAGGTTTATTTCGTGATCAAAATCGCTGTCTTTAGGAGGTGGTGCGCGACGCGAAGAACGGTGATGCCTGATCTTGGGCATGGCTGCTCATGCCATCACGAGTCAAGCCGGGCCTCCTGTGTAGCGGGGCATTGGCGTGAAGGGAATGCACGCGTCCTGTTCTCAACCGTGGCTGGAAGTGATGTCGTTGGAGGTGGATGCGTTCGGAATGTGCTTCGCAGTAATTGGGCGGAGCACTAATCCGGAAGTTGATGGAGATAGGTAAAGGAGATGGATGCGCAATGAGTGAGGGCTGTGGGGAACCCAAGGACGAGTTGACAGGTTGGTGTCCGGTGTTCGCCCACAGAGAGGCCTGGGATCATGATGTAATCGTGGACTTTTTCAATTCAGCCCCAGAGAGTTTGACTGCACGCCAAGCCCCAAGCGTCTGGGGTCTGAGTCTGGCCCAACTCAACCGGCTCTATGTGGGGCCAGGGAGCACCAAAGCAGCCCGGTGGGCAAGTCGGCGCTGCCGTTGCTCCCGGCCCCGCTCCTACGTCATACATACCACCTCAACCCTTACATGACCCAAATGGGAGAGCTCCAGGAAAATTGCAGGCAAAGCAGGCAAAGAACAACGGAATGCAACGCATTGGAGAGAATTAAAGCCGTGCCATCCCTCTCCCCTAAGAGAGCAAGCAGCTTGACCCCTCACCATTCATCCAACCACATCTCATCCCGTCCCCTCAACAACACGCAACAACAATAACTCCAAGGCCGCTTCAGGATACTTAGGTACTCGAGCGTTGTCAAACCTCTCTTTCATCAAACACAGACAAATCAACTTTCACTCCTAAACCACAATGTCTCGTTCAAAAGCGCCCCTTGCCGTTGGCCTCGCAGCAGCGGGTGGTGTCGGATACTACCTGTACTCGGCCGGTGGCTCACCACGGGCAGCCGAGAAGCAATTCGAGAGTGAGCCAACCCAAACCCCGTGACCCGCCCCAGCCATGTCCATCGTTCTCACAAGTCATAATAGGTGATGCGCACCACGTCGCGGCGAAGATCAAGGGCGAGGTACCGCAGCGCTCGACAGACTTGGAGCGCGAAGGCCGCAGGGTCGGCAAGGAGATTGGTGCCAGGGTCGACAATGCCGTATGTCCCTCCCTTCGTCTCGCTGCCTCACTTTCATCATTGGCAAACCAGAACATCATCTAATCGCATAATCAAACAGGTTGACACCGTCAACCGGGACGTCTCCAAGGCCAAGAGCGAGACTGAGTCCTACGCAAAGTCGGCAAAGGCCGACACCCTCAAGAAGATCGACGAGTTTGACCGCAAGGTGGAGGATGGCGCCTCCAAGAGCAAGAGCTATGTGTCGTCGTGGTTTGGTAGCAAGTAAAGGGATCATGATACGGTGACGACGGGGGCGACGGCGAAAGCATTTTCTCTTTTGTCAGGTTTTTTTCTTCTTTTAATTCAGCTGAGGGTCGGTTTCCTAAAGGAGTCTATTGCGTCTTAAGGATGAATTAGCAAGCCAGGTTTAATGTACTATCAAGACTGCCGCATTTGAGATGTAACAGTTTGCAGACTGGCCTCTGGGGATATCAAAACAACTCAACGAACAAACCGTGCAAAGACAGGCAGAGACCACCTTGCATGAGTCGACAACATCCTAACCTTCCACCTAACTCAATGACGCGGCAACAAGCTTCAGAACCTCCTCGGTCCCCTTGCCCGCATTCTTAGGATCCTTCGCCACCGCCTGCCAATGCTCGCCGTGGCGCGGGTCGTTCAACACGCACTTGGCCACCAGATCGGTCCTCTTCTCCTCGGTGCCGTGTTGCAGTAGGAATTTGTAGTACCACGCCCAGGTGTCGCCGACGTGGCGGTCGAGCAGCAGCGCGCGCTCGAACCAGTTCTGCGCCCGGTCGAGCTTGCGCTCCGCCCACAAGATGCGCGCCGCCGTTACCTGCAGGACCGGGTCGTCCTCGACCTTCTTGATGGCCTCGGTGATGAGCGTCTTGCGCTGCGTGCGCGGCTCGAGGTGCAGGATGCGCTCGGCCCACAGCAGCCCGCTCTTGGGCATCTGCTGCAGCGCGCTCGCCATGAGGCTCTTGGCTTGGTTGGCGTTGCCCGCCCGCCGCTCCACCCGGATCAGCTCGGTCCAGAGCTCGGGGGACTTGGGCACGGCCTGCCGCGCGCGGTCGAGGACGCTGCGCGCCTTGACGACGTTGCCGGCGCGCTCTTCGAGGCGGGAGTAGAGGAGCCACAGCGGGACCGAGGACGGCACCGCGCGCACGCCAGTGCTGTACGCTTCCCTCGCTTGCGGGAGCATGCCGAGGTCGTCGTAGATCTGACCTTTCATCATCCATAGTTTTGGCGCCGCGGGGAAGAGCAGGAGCGCGTCTTGCACTAGATCCAGCGCCGCTTCGTTGGCGCCCAGCTGCCTCTCGAAGGCCACGCTACGCATCCAGACTCGGTCGGTAGGCGCGTTTTGTCGAGCCGTCTTGAGGAGATCCCGCGCCTGGTCGATGAAGCCGTTGTCGGCTTCCAGCTTGACTGCGGCCAGCCAGATGTCCTCGTTATCCGGGTTCTGCTTGAACGCCCGCGCCAACACCCGGCGCGCCTCGTTGAGCTCCCCGGCCTTCTCCTTGGCCAGCATGAGCCAGAAGACCTCGACGTGAGGACAAGCCTCCACGGCCTTCTCAAGGGCCCGCCACAGATCGTCCTTGGTGCCGTAGTTCCGCTCGAGTTCCACAGCAGCCAGATATAGACTCCTGCTGTTGGGGAACACCCGTAACGCATAGGCATAGATTGCGCGCGCTGTCGCAAACTTGTCCCGGCTGATGCTGGCCTTGGCATCCTCCATCCATATTTCTTTGCGGTCGTCATCCTCGTCTAGACCCCACCCGAGCGTTTCCTCGACGATGTTGCTGCATGTCACCACGGCGCCTTCCTCCTCGCACTTCTCCGCTTCGGCGATCCATTCCTCGCGCTTCGGCATGGCGTTTTGCTTGGCGAGGAACTTGACGGCGTTCTTCATCACGGGCCTCCTGGCACCCTCTCCCATCTGCTCCTCCAAACGCGCGGCGGCTATCCACAGTTCGTGCGAACTAGGGAGCTTCTTGACCGCCTTATTGAGAACCTTGCGAGCATTCTCCGGTGTCTCGAGGCGCGCCAACGCCAGCCATAGGTCGAGGGACTCGGGTATAAGTTCTGTGGCCTTGGCTAACAACATCCGCGCATCTGCGTGGTCCTCTTCCAGATTGACTGCCTCTTTCCACAATGCCTCAGATTCTTGGTTGTGATCCAGCGCTCGCCGGATGACCTTCTTCCTTGACCTCGGATCATTCTCGAGCTTCATCGCCTCCACCCACAGCTTTACCGAGTGGGGGTTCGCCTGGATCGCTTGCGCAGCAATAACCTTGGCGCTACGGTTGTCGTTGAGGTGGATGTTTTCCAGCCAAATATCCTCGCTCTTGGGGCAGTGTTGACACCCTTTGGCAATCAGACCACGGGCAGCGCCGGGTTTCCCGGCCGCAATTTCTAAACGGGCGGCGGCAATCCAGCTGGCGGCCTGTTTCGGGTTCGAGTCGACGGCTGACTTCAACATCTTCCGGAACTGCTCGATGTCTCCAATGCTCTGCTCGGCGCCCTGGATGTTCGACAAAGAGGTCAGATAGCCTTTCGGATCAATGCTCGTCGCGCCTCCGGCCGTCGCGATGCCGCTGCTTTGTGACTGCTGCTCCAAGCGGGCCCTGAGCACCTTGTCGCGGGCGGCGCCAATCTTCGCAAAGTCGGTCACGGTGCCGTCCTTGTTCCCCTCGGAGGGCGCCCCGCCGTCATCGGCAACTGTGGTCCCGAACTGTCCCTGGTCTCTTGATGCAGCAAGGACGCTGTCGGGCACAGCGTAAAAGCGCTGCATTCGCTCTTGCCGGGCACGCTTGGTGCGGCCGGTGAGGTCTTTCGGGTCTGGGAGGCTCGCCCATTCTTCGTCCGTCACCGTTTCCAGCGCCCTCTTAAGCCCGGCAAACTGCTGTTGTATCTTTGGGTTCTGGCGCTCGTATTCGTCGCGTTCGGCGTTCTCTCGTATGTCCCTGTGCGATTATCGGTCGGTACTCTGCTCATCTATGCGGACGATAAACTACATGCTTGACGCTGGGGGTATTGGTGGTATGGGATGGGGAGTGCGAACCCGTGAGGAATCAGGAGACATGATGGGCAACATGACAATGGCGGAAAGTGGGTTACTAACCTTTGTTTCTGGCGGCGTTTCGCCATCTTGTCGTCGACTTCTTTCCATATGCGATCAGCCTCTTCGTCGTCCTTTTCGTAGATGCCGCCAGCGAATAGCCCAACCTCGTTGTCGGGGTCCTGGTACCGCTCTTCATCGTCTTTGTCGTCATCTTTCGCCTCGGTCAGGCCGAGCTGAGCGGACCGCTTTGCGACAGCAGCCTTGATTTGATCCTCGCTGGGTCCTTCGCGGGCAGGACCGAGATCTGATCGGGTCGTGAAGCCTGTAGCACCACGGCCGAGGCCGGCTACATAATTTTCGGGTGCCGGCTGGCTGAGGAAGTCGCGCCTGCTAGCCATGATGTTTTTACCGATTCTTATGTTGAGTGATGTTTCTCGGCTGAGAGGAATGGCTTCAAAGACGCGGCTTAAAGGCGCCAAGTAAAAGCCGACCAGGGTTCAAAGGCCTGACCCAGCCCGCCAGACTCGGGCGATCTAGGGTTAGGGTATAATGCTGCTTTGTCTCGGTGCTCTCCTTGCTGTCGAGCTCTCACGACATTGTGAGAACGTAAGGTTGTTTTCTTGCTCGAGTCGCTGTTGGGATTTATAGTTGGCACCAGAGAACTGAACACTGTACATATATGCCAGTATCCTCGAGGTTCGTGTTTAATCTCAGAGATGTTTATTTCGGTTCAACATATCATGAACATGAGTGAGTATATGAAGTACGCTTCCTTTTTCCCCGGACACTCATCTTTACATTATCCTAACTGTGCAAATCAACAAGTACCCACTAGTTCGGGCTCGTATCGTCCATGAAGGGGCCCCTTTCGTCTGCCTCTCATCCCACAACCATGGCAGCGAGAAGAGCAAGTGAGAAAACCACAGAAAAATAAGTATTCTCCCGCGAGCCGAACCCTTCCCGAATCCCAATCTACCAGATAAAAGCAAACCCCCTCCTCCCCCGACCAAAGACAAGATCACTGCAGTAGCAGCGTCTCGTCATCCAGAACGCCAAATAAACCCTCAATCTCCTTGGCAACCACCTTTAACTCCTCCGCCACCTGCCCAGTTACCAGCGCATAAGCATAAAGAAGCGCGTAGTCATGCTCTTGCACATTCAGATGCCCCAGACGCCCAAGACCGACATAGCTCGTCGTGGCGCCGTTGCTACTCCCACCCTCGCCGATATCATGCTGATGGTCCTTCCGAAACTGGAAGATCTTGCCCAGCAGCCGATCCCGGCTCCGCGTCACGCTGGGGATGGCGTCCGTGAGCGGATACTCGAGCATCAGCGACGAGGCCAGGACCTGGAAGACGTGACAGATGCGGTCGCACAGCATGGCCCGCTCGTCGGCCGTGTATAGCAGCAGGGCGCGCTCGCCCTCGGTCAGGTTGCCCTTGCGCTGTGTGACGAGCGACATGGCGTAGAAGGCGTCGAGCAGGCGGTGCGCGCAGCCCATGAGCAGTCGGTTTTGTTCCGAGGGGAACGGGCCGCGGAGCTCAAACTCGCGGGCGGCGCTGGAGCGGAGGGTGTCGAGGCGTGCGGCATACTTTTGGAGCGCTGCTTGCTCGCCGGTGCGGAGATAGGAGCGGGTGCAGTCGCTGCGGAGGAGGATGGCGAGCGGCCCACGTTTCCAGATGAGGCCCATCTGGAGGTACAGCATGCTGAGGCCCTCTTTGAACTTCTTGCGTGCGGAGATGGGCCAAATCAGCCGGCATACGATCAACCCCCAAATGATTCCAACCGTCACGGCTGTGAATCGGTGAAGCAGAATCTCCTTCATAATGGGGTCAATCCCACCCTCATCGTCGTCATCGTCGTCGACCTTTTGAGAGATGCTGTACGCGTAGAGCGTCGACACGTTGTAGGCCAACAACGTAATCCTGCCCATCGGAGCGTTCCCCCGCGCGATAATGACATAGAAGCCCCAAAACGCCACGAGCGACCCGAGCGGAACGAGGGCGAGGGCACTTTGCTGTGATATCTCCCAATTGAGGCCTGCGGTCGTAATACCGATGACGGTTCCCAAAAACCTTGCCCAGCCGGTCGTGTTGGCGGCCCCTACCGTCATAGAACAGACAATCATGAACGATAAAAGGCCCCATTCGCCTCGCCAGTGTCGATATGTTTCCCTGGTCTGTGGGATGAATGCGAGTGAGGCCCAGAGGGTCGCTCCGACACCGACTTTCAAGCCGTACCGAACTACTCTACGTTAGCGTTTGGTTAGTAGGAAGGGATGGCGGGTCGTCGCTTACGGTCGTCCCTAGCAATCCGCCTCACTGTCCTGAGAGCCCTCTGGGATAATGTCGCGATGACTTTGCTTTTCTTAGTCTCCGGGGCAGCTTCCCAACTGTACGTGTCTCTTCGCTTGAGTAACGGCTCGGCTATGCCCCTGGGCATCGCACTTTTCTTGATCGGCTTGATGAAGGGCTCGCGCTCTTCGTTGTCGTAGGGCAGGGTCAAGGCTTTCTGGCCGGGCTGGCGGCCGTTCCTCCACCACTTGAGCCAATGCCAACTACGTCTGCTGCGCTCGTCGGCAAGCTTTAAGTCATCCAAGACGTCCAAGTACTTCTGCATCTCCTCGCCAAACGTTTGCAAGCTGAAACTAAAGTGACCACAAGCGGCCGCGACCTCTTCAAAATCGGCTTGGATGCCCTCGGACCGAGTACGGTCTAGTTCAAGGGTCTTGTACAGTTCTTGCAGGGCATGTGCCCTGGCTTCGTTGAAGAGTGACAAAGCATCAGCGAGGCTCTGACGAAAATGATCGTTGATGGTAATTTTATAGTCGGGTGCAGCTCCAAATGGCGGATCTTGAAGCACCTCGGACAAGGTATAGGCCAACGACTTCATTGAGGGCCCAAGCAACTCAATAAAAAGCGCAAATATCTCCGACGCGTGTCGAAAGGGGGGCAGGCTTGCGGCGGTGGCGTCTGACTGACGTCTCTGGGCAAAATAACCACCCTCGTCCTCATGGCTCTCATCGGATGCCTCGTCGATGGCGGATAGTATGGGTAACCTTTCCCTGCCAGCTCTCATCGTGCTGGCTATCGTACGATGGAGACCCGGCGAAAAGAGGGGGGAGGTAACAGGGCCTTCAGGAGACGTCACACGCGACAACGGCGCCATGGGCTCCTTGAGTAGAGCGAATTGAGAATTTGCGGCACTTCGCAAACCGCCAATGGACTGGGCCAGGGTCTCCATCGATCTCACCACCGCCCTATCGAGCTGGTAGACTTTCTCGCGCCCCAAAAAGTAACGCTCAAACTTGGCCTCGCGGAGGTTGTTGGTCATTTGGGGATAGACGGACGAGTACGCAGATGAGGCCGCAGCAAATTCAGGCGAGAGCACGTCGTCTTCGGAACCACTGAGAAAACCACGGGTGATGAGCGACAGCATGCCGCCTAGCGAGACCGATGCCTTGGTCATTGACTGGCGCAAGGCGGACACAGCGGATGCCCTCCACACCGCGACGTTAACGACCGTAGTGATTGTTATGCCCATCAGGAGCATCTTGAGAATCTGGACAATCTTCTGGTTCGAGAAGACGCCCGAGAGGACGGCTGTTTCCTTGGTAACAACACCGATAATGGCGAGCGAAGCAAGGGTGCTGCCGACATTGACGAGCGGGTTGTTCATCTTTTGCTTGACCCACCCGATGAAGCCGAAGCCGCCCCCTATGAAGACGCCCAAAACCAGGCCATGCGCAAGGGGGACCATTCCCATGACACCGCCAAAAAGTACCGACGTGCACATAGATAGGATGGAGACCAGTTCCGCGTACGCGACGGCCACGATTGCGATCAAGACCGCCTCGATCATGGATCCCATCGACCTCGCAGGGTGGAAGTAGACGGTCAACGTAGCCACGACATGTTTCCCGTCTGGCCTGCCCAAGAAGTCGGACAAGGGCGACCAGAACGTCGCTAAGCTGCCCAGCGTGTATGCGAGTGTGCATTTTATTATCCCATGGCCGACAGGAGAGTTCAACCAGCGGAGGAAACGGGCGCCTCCTTCGCGGACGTTATGCGCCGCCACATGTGTTCGGTCCGAGATAGATTGCCGTGAGAAGTGAGGTTCCGTCTCCGACGCCTCGGAGACATCGGCTTGCCTCGACGGGAACAGACTGGAAGGGCGGAGGGTGAAGGTGCGGTGTACCCGCTCGCCGGTCGAGGGGATAATGACAGAGCCATTGCGCAGTTTCTGTGGGTTTGCCCGTCAGACTTGCGGCCATTGAGGGCAGCTTCTTCGAACACCGCAGCGTGGAGAATAAATGGCAAAGGTGTGGGCGCGTTGGGAGTTCAGACAGGTCCAACTCACGCTTCGTTTGGAAGGCCGTTGAGGGGGCCATTGGCCGGGTGAGGGCGTTGGAGAAGAACTCATCTCCGCGTGGATGTCGATCTCATCTTCTGTGGCGCGAAGAAAGATCGAGATTCAAGGTTTTGTTGTTTGATGAATCAATCAATCAATTAATGTCAATGCGGAGAAGCCGAGGACTCCGTGACCTCAAGGGCTGCTCGGAGTTCGTTCTTTCTTGGTTGGTTCAGTCGCCTCCCTCGCCCAAAACAGCATCCGAGAACGTCGGACGGTACCTAATCGTAGGCCAGTTCGTCAGGTACCGCTTCCATCCTTCGTCGCCAGAGAGAGCTGGTCGCCCGGATCCACTGGGCATATTATTCGCCAGGGTTTGACCCCTGCAGAACGTTGCAAACAGCGGCTGGCGCCGGGGACCCGCCCAGGACGTCACCCCAGCTCGCGGCAGCCAACCTCGCACCTCAAAGAACCACCCATGGGCAAAAGAAGTCGGACTCCAAGTGAAGACGCCGACCAAATGTCGACTGTAGAAACGAAACGAAAGCCATCCAAAAGCCCAAATAAGCTACATTAACTCAATTTACTTTTTTTTTTTACTTAATTCCTTTTATTTGATTGATTTTTCCCATTTCTTTCACTTATTTCTTTTTGCTTAGTTTCTTGTCTTCCTTTTGAGTTCGGCTTTTTTTGGCGAGAGGGTGAGAACCAAGATCGTGGGGGCCGAGATCACCGTCAAAGGGCGGGGTTGTTTCCGCGAGCCTGGATTTCTGTAACCCGATAGAGACCTGATGGGGGGTGGACCTGCAAGCTGACTGCTTTAAATACCTAGTAATTGAGGCACAATATATCGCTGGATTCCATTTTACTCCCCTGGTACCGATAATAAGGTACATACCTAACTCTAAGGTCGATATTCGCCGATGCGCAGGTTCTGGTCCATGATGCAGTCTGCTTTACCAACTTCGAGGTTCGCCCCTCTTAAGCAGCATTCTGCCCCTGGCCCGTCCCAAATGCGGAAATTGGAGGGAATCGTCTTTGACGTTGACGGTACATTATGGTGAGTCTCATAGCACCAGTCCTTAGTGTTGTCCCCGACCTGAATAAGCTTGAGTTGTTGGGCTTCAAATTCGGGTGAGACATGAGAGAGTATGGCAACCCAACGGCTATAGCTCTGCTGTGTAACTGAGACAGCCTATCTCATCTTCACCGATGTGTCGTTCATTAACCTCCCATGCTAACCTACCCAGTGAGCCCCAAACCTACATGTTTTCCGAGATGCGCAACGCCCTGGGCATCGCCAAATCCCAAGACATCCTCGAGCACGTCTACAGCCTCCCCTCCCCGGATCAACAGCACCGCGCAATGGAGCTCATCCGCGACATCGAGCGGCGCGCCATGCTGCAGCAGGTCGCACAGCCGGGGCTGACGGAACTGATGGCCTACCTCGACGAGCGGGGCGTCCGCAAGGGGATCTGCACGCGCAACTTCGACACGCCCGTGAACAACCTGCTGAACAAGTTCCTCGCGGGCAGCGTCTTCGCGCCCATCGTGACGCGGGAGTTCCGGCCGCCCAAGCCCGACCCGGCCGGGATCCTCCACATCGCACGGAGCTGGGGCCTGTTGCGCAGCAGCACGGGGGAAGCCGGGGTGCCTGCGAACGCCGAAGAGGAGGAAGAGCGCCGGTCGGCGGAGGAGAGCAGCCGTCAGGAGGGAGAGACCGACGGCGTGGACTTGTTGCAGACGCGGGTCGGGGAGGCGGTTGCGGATGCGAGCGGGTTGATCATGGTAGGCGACAGCATTGACGACATGACGGCGGGCCGCAGGGCCGGGGCCACGACCGTTTTACTAGTGAACGACGTCAACCGCCATCTGGCGGACCATGAGCATACGGATTTGGTGATATCGCGATTGGACGAGTTGATCGACGTCCTCGAACATGGATCGCTCTGACGAAGCGGAAGCTGCGAGCAACGCATGCGTACTTATGTATCACAACCAGAGCCTTGGTCCAAATTCGTCTAGCGTAACTAGAATATATGGCGTAAGATGGCTACAAAGGCCTTGGTTTGGCTAGCTGGAACAAGAGAAACCAACGCAACGGCCTGCATAACCCTCGCTGACCTGCAGCCTCTCTCGCTCGATTGTCACACCATGCCGACCGCCTCACCCCCTCCCCGAGCGGAAACGTAACCACCATTGTTTGGCCAGAAAGACCACATCGAGAGAGCAGAGAGAAACGAAAATAAAGAGATGGGTAAGCTGACGCCGGTAAATGCTGGAATGTTTAACGTGAAGCGACCCCCTAGCTAGAGAGGACCGTAGGGAACCGCAGTGTCAGCGCCGAGGAACAAAACCTGGGTCTCTCCTCACAGGCCCCTCTCGGACACATCCCTAGAGCCCTTAATCCTGATCCCATTCCCGGATGTACAGACGGTCTACCTGGGCGGCCAAGTTGGCGGGGTCGGCCGCTTGACGCTGGTCGTTTCGGTACGCTACAATCTCAGTCAGGTCGTGTAACATTGACCCCTGGCCTAGAAACTTACATGAAGTTGGTGTCTGCTGTGGCGAGTCACTTGAGCGTAGGAGATCTTGGGTCGCCGGTGAGAGTTGGGGTGCCAGGTGGGACTTGCGGTTGTCTCGGTCCATCAAGCCGCAGGCCCATTCTCTCAGGTCAACGGGCGTCCTCTTGGCTGCTTGTACGAATAGGTCTCGATCCTGAGGCGGAATGGTTAGCAACCCTCAGATTGACGGGCGACGGGCATTGAGAACATACAAAAAGATCCTGTGGTGTTGGCCGCCTATCAGGTTCCTTGTAGAGACACCTCTGGATCATGTCCTCGAGGATCTGCGGGAAAGCATCGCTCTTGGGCAGTTGGGGTGCCGGCTCATGCACAATTTGCTGGAGCAGATCGAGAATACCAGCTGGCGCACTCTCCGCATCCGATAACTGCTCGCTCGCTGCGAACGGGAACTTGCCGATTGCCAGTTCCATAATGCTAAGACCGAAGCTCCACACGTCCGACTTCACCGTGTACCTCTCACCCTGAATTCTCTCAGGGGCCATGTAGGTGGATGTGCCAACGAACGTGTCGGCAACCGAGTTGACAAGCTCTCCGGACACGCCGAAGTCGCAGAGTTTGATATAACCTCGAGAGTTGACGAGAATATTCGACGGCTTGATGTCGCGGTGCATGATGTGGTGTTTCGAGTAAAGGTAGGTGAGCCCACCGAGAGTTGCCTCGGCGATTTTACCCAGAACATCCACACGGACGGGTCCGAAGACTCGCGAGATACGGTCGAGGGATCTGTTTTATACCAGTCAGTTTGTGCTAAGTGACCTTGCGCCCGGAGACGCGACTCACCCGACATCCATATACTCCATGCACATGATCACATCGTTGTTCTCGTTGAGGAATGCGCCGTAGAAGGTGACGATGTAGTCCGAATGGCACCCGTGCATGATTTGCAACTCGCGAACGATGCGTTTCCGCATTTCCTTTTTCGCCTCGACGTGGATAATCTAGCTTCCAGTTAGCCCAGCCGGCGACATATCCAACCAGGAAGCCGACGAGACCAACCTTTCGCGCCATAACTGTGTTCGTGGGGATATGCTTGACTTTGCTGACTGTCCCGCCATTACCAGCGCCGAGATCCTTGATGATCTCAAGATCGTCGGGTTTTAGATCCAAGTTGAACTCGATCCCGATTTCTAGTTGCGCGGCGTTATCATCGCCCTTGCCATTCGCGGGGCGGGCGGCGGTCTCAGCTGTCGGCGGAGGTTTCGGGGCAGGTGCCTTTAGAGCGAGACCCTTGACGTTCTTGCGCTTCATCGAGCGCGGTGCGAAGGCGTCAGCCATGATGGGTAGTTGTATAGCGACGAATCCGCAGTCGGAGGAGGGGTTAAGCCGCCGGGTGCCGAGATGGAGATTTTGCTATGCCTTTTCTATGAGGCTGCTCAATACGCTTGTACCGCCGGTCGCATTCCTCGATGAAGTGCGATAGTTCGACGAGGGCGGATAGCGCGGGGGGGCTTGGGCACTCGGGCGTCTTGAGCGGGTTGAGAAAAGCCGCCAGGGGGCGGGGAGTGTTTGAAGGGACAACGCCAAGAAGGGAGCCCCTTTTGTATGCCCCCGAGCAAAGTTCGTTGATATTCCACCGGGAGAGTCGAAGTGCTACAGACCGCTGTAGGTATTGTACTGCGTATATATGGTGGTTTCCGTTTTTGCCTCTTTTATATCTTAGACGGTGGATCGGGCGCGCAGGGCAGCGGCGGTCGGTCTCGGCAAGTAGCGACTCGTGGTCCCTCACAGATCGGACGACGGGAGATCGGAGGTAACCACGCGGCACAGAGCCTTCTCTCGCAGAAGTGAATAAAAACCTATGCAGGGGTTGGTAACGTGCTCGAGAACAACTACGAAGTACAGAGGTAGCGGAAAGCAGGGCTTTGAACTTTTTGGGAGGACGGGTGGGAAGGTTCCTGGCTGGGTTCCCCTCGATGGCCAGTCAATGTGGGGTCAACGAGTGAAGGGGTTTGTCGATGGTGGCGGCAACTGGATTCCGCCCGTTGGTCCATGCTTTTCCCAGCGGCCAACGTTGGCTGCCCCTCGTGGGTCGCTGGACCAGGGGGCTCTGATAACCAACGAAAGCGGAGGCAATCAACGCGACGGACACCGTATTCTTCAGGAGCATCCAACCGAGAAATGACAAGCCACGAACTGTGTAAAAATACAACGGGGAATTCATATCATGAGGACTGAGGGTTGAATGTATGTCTATCGACAGAGTTACAAGTAGGGGAGATGCTGGGAACCGTGAAGTGCAGGGCATATACGGGCCTACATGATGAGCTCTCACTACCTACCTAATGATGTTGCCCGCAGTCCCTGCAAAAGCACCCTCGGCTTCTCAGAAGTATCATGAAGATGAAAAAAAGGCTTGGAAAATGCGTGGTCACATGTGTATTGTTTTCGTTTCCTCAATGGTGCAAACCCGGCGTCACCAAGGTGCCAAGATCTCCAGATGTCGATCCGTCAGAATGGATGGTTGAAGCACGGATCGCTTAGCGAGCACTGCAATGGGCAAGGGGCGAGGCTGAACGCGACGTGCACTTGAAGCTCGCCGCTCGGCGCCCCAAAATTTCCGACCTTGGACTCTTCAGCCTTCCGCCATTCTCTTTAAATTCATCAACTCTTTGACCAAATTTCCCCGCTTCGCGCTCGGCTTGATTCCTTTTCCATCAACAAGCCAGCGCCAACTTCAAGAATCGACCTTCTTTCCCATCGAACAAGCCGGATCCGAGTTCGACGCGACTGCCACCGCAAAAATGAGCACCTCCATGCGCGACCTGATTGACGGGGAGGCCGAGCTTAATGATGAAGAAGATGATGAGTCATTTGACGAGGAAGGCGGCGAGCCCCGGACGAGGCAACGGGATAATATGCTAGATGATTCGAGCGAAGAGGACGAAGACGACGAGGATGAGGAGGAAGCTAGAAGGGTATGGCTTTGTGCGCTTCCTTTGTGTTGACCAAGTCATTCTGATTGTGTTTGCGTACAGATCCGAGAAGGTTTTATTGTCGACGAAGATGAAGAAGAGGAGGCAGACAATTCGGAAGAGCGCGAGCGCCGAAAGAAGAAGAAGCGTCGCCGCGTCGAGCGCGAGGAAGAGGAGCAGCTCGACGAGGAAGACCTTGACCTTATTGGCGAAGCCAACCCAGAGTGGGAACGGAAATCCCAGGCTCAGGTACGTCGAGACTTGCGTGCTCCTGCGGACTGCTTTTGGTAGACTCACCATCGCGTAGACAAAGTTCAAGCGTCTTAAACGCGGTCACCGCGATGAGGAACGTGGCAACGAGCGCCCCGATCTCGCAGGGATATTTTCCGACGATGACGAAGAGATGGCCGACGAGCGAGCCTACGGTCGCCCGAGCCACCGCGCGCACGTCGACGAGTTCGATGACTTTATCGAGGATGACTATCCAGAGGACGATGAGGAACGAATTCAACGCCAGGAGGACATGGAAGTTGCTCGCCCGAGGGAAAAGGGCCTCGCCGTTGATGCAACTGGTCTCGACAAGGACGCCCTCGACGACATGGAGGCCATTTTCGGTAATGGCGACGACTACGGCTGGGCTCTAGACTTGGAGGAAGATGAAGATGACCGGGAGCGCGAGGAACAGACCATCGAGCTGAAGGACGTGTTCGAACCTTCGCAGCTCAAGGAGAAGCTTCTTACCGACGAGGACAACCAGATCCGGGTCGTTGACGAGCCTGAGCGGTTCCAGCTCGACCGCAAACCCTTCAAAGAACAACAGACATCGGCCGAGTACTTCAAAGAGGAGGCACGTTGGATTACGAACCTTATGTGGCCCAAGAAGCAATTACCTGGCGACCTTCATGGGCCCTTTAACAAGGCCATTGGAAAAGTCCTCGAGTTCTTCATCATCGACGGCGTCGAGGTTCCCTACGTCTTCCAACACCGAAGAGACTACCTTATCCATGCCAAGAAAGTCAGGAATCAGGACAGCCGCGACCACCCAGATGCTCCCGAGTATACCGTCGATGCCGAGAAACTGTTGACCCAAGACGATCTGTGGCGCATTTTGGAACTCGATATCAAATTCCGGTCCCTGGTTGAGAAGAGGAACGCTCTCGAGCGGTCCGTTGACAACCTGAAGGAAGCGAATGTCCAGGACGATGTGCTCGAAGAGATGATCCACCAGGCTGCGACTCTGGAAGAGCTTCAAGACCTGCAAGATTATCTCAATTTCCAGTACTCGGCCCAGCTCAAGGACATTGCTGCCATGGGTAACGGTGCCTCGAAGGAGACAAAACGACCAGGCGCCAAAACAGCTCTGTTCGAGCGTATTCGGCGATCACAGGCCTACAAATTCGTCGGGGCGCTCGGGATATCGCCGGATAGCTTGGCGCAAAACGCTCTCCGTGAAGGCAAAAAGGTGTCGTCAGACGACGATGCTAGACTGCCCGTGGACCTTGCCGATCAGTTAGCCGACGACGACTTCCCGACTGGTGAGCAAGTGATCAACGCTGCCCGCCAGATGTACGCCGAGGAACTCTTTGTCAGCCCTCGGATGCGCAAGCATTTCCGTATCCAGTACTACCTAATGGGCTCTGTGAGCTGCCGTCGGACAGAGAAGGGCCTTCGGAAAATCGACGAGGCGCACCCTTACTATGAGATCAAGTACCTTGTCAACCACACCATCAGGGACTTGGCCGTCCGGCCTGAGATCTTCCTCAAAATGATGAAGGCGGAAGATGATGGACTTGTGGAGGTCAACCTCACGCTAGAGAACGACCGCGAGTTTCGGCGACAGCTCTACAACGAATTCGCGTCGGATAATTTCAGCGACCTGGCCGATGCGTGGAACTCGGAGCGGCAAAAGGTGCTGGATATTGCTTTCTTGAAACTCGAGAAAGTGATCGCCAAGGGCGTGAAGGATTCGCTTCGAACGGCCTGCCAAGAAGAGCTCCTTAAGACCTGTCGCGAAGAGTACTTCAAACGACTCGACCAGGCACCTCTCAAGCCGAAGGGGATGGTCCTCGGCACCACACCGCGTGTGCTCACCCTGTCGAATGGCATGGGCGACCCCAACCGCGACCCCATCTCGTGGACATGGGTTGAAGAAGATGGCAGAGTTCTCGAACACGGCAAGTTTGTCAACCTGGCGAGGGATGAGAGCCAGAGAGATCTTTTCGCCGAATTGATTCGGCGAAGAAACCCCGATGTCGTGGGTGTATCTGGGTTCTCGGCCGACACCCACCGATTAATTAAGGATGTCGAGGGGGTTATCAGCGAGAAAGGGCTTATGGGCCCCGAATATGATGACCCAGACACCAACGAGTACCGTAGCGACTTGCTCGAAGTCGTCATCGTCAACGATGAGGTGGCGCGGCTGTACAAGGACAGCCCCCGTGCCGTTTCCGAACACCCCACCCTGAACCCTCTCACCCGGTATTGCATCGCGCTGGCTCGATACATGCAGAACCCTATGAAGGAATACGCAGCATTGGGCAAGGACATCTCATCGTTGCTGATTCACCCATACCAACAGTACCTCCCGCAAGAGAAGCTGTACAAGCACCTTGAGACGGCCATGGTGGATATTGTCAACCTTTGCGGCGTGGATATCAACGAGGCTATGGGAGATCCCTACTCCGCCAACCTTTTGCCCTACGTTGCCGGTCTTGGGCCTCGCAAGGCACAGCTCCTCATCAAGGGGATCAATGCGAACGGCGGCGTGGTTACTTCCCGTGATGAACTGGTTGGTGACCCGGAGCGACATAAGATTCCGGTTCTCGGCCCTCGAGTGTGGAACAACTGCGCCAGTTTTCTGTACATTGAGCATGACAGCACCAACCCCGACTCGGACCCCCTTGACAACACACGTATCCATCCCGAGGATTACGATTTGGCCCGCAAGGTGGCTGCGGATGCGCTGGGGCTGGACGAAGAGGACGTCAAGGCCGAGACGGACGAGAACGGGCCTGGCGCCATCGTCCGCAAGCTGTTCAAGGACGACGAGCAGGAGAAGGTCAACGAACTCATCCTAGAGGAGTACGCGGTGCAGCTGGAACGTGAATACCAGCAGCGCAAGCGGGCTACGCTGGAAGCGATCCGAGCCGAGCTGATGGGTCCTTTCGAAGAACTTCGAAAGAACTTTACCGTGCCGGGTGTGGATCAGATCTTCACCATGTTCACAGGCGAGACTAGAGACTCGCTCTGCGACGAGATGATCGTCCCGGTGAATGTCCGTGTCGTCAAGGATGACTTTGCCATCGTCAAACTGGACTGCGGGATTGAGGGCCGTGTTGAGTCCCACGAGGTCTCATACCGCCACTCAATTAAGGATATGTTGCAAGTCGGCCAGACCGCGCAGGCCAAGGTGATCGAAGTCAACCGGGGGGACTTTGTCTGCAAACTTTCCATGAGGGAAGAGGAACTACGGCGGCCATACCGGAGACACTACGACTACGGCCGCGGGCAGTGGGACTTCAAACAGGAAGACGAAGACAGGGAGGAACTGAGGGAGAAAGACAAGACCACGGGCCGCACGCAAAGGGTCATCAAGCACCCCCTATTCAGACCGTTCAACAGCACACAAGCCGAGGAGTACCTGGGTGGCATGCCGGCTGGGGAGGTGGTCATCCGGCCGTCTTCCAAGGGCAACGATCACCTCGCGATAACGTGGAAGGTTGCCGACGGTGTTTACCAGCATATTGACGTGCTGGAACTGCAGAAGGACAACGAGTTCTCTGTTGGCAAGGTCCTCCGGGTTGGCAGCAAGTACACGTACACGGACTTGGACGAGTTGATCGTGGACCACGTCAAGGCGATGGCTAAGAAGGTGGAGGAGCTCATGCAGCACGAGAAGTTCCAGAAGGGGTCTCGTGCCGATCTCGGTAAGTTTTGGCCCCCCCCCTCACCAGGGTTGATGCAGGATCTAACCGTGCTTTCAGAGAAATGGCTGACCACCTACATCGACGCCAACCCGAATCGGTCCACGTATGCATTTTGCATAGACACAAGGCACCCGGGGTACTTCTTCCTTTGCTTCAAGGCATCCCGCAACTCGAAAGTGATCGGGTGGATGATCCGAGTCATCCCGCACGCGTACGAGTTGATGAAGAGCCAGTATCCGGACATGCGGGCGCTATGCAACGGCTTCAAGCTGCGGTACCAGAGCGAGATGCTAAAGATGCAGGCCGGCGGGGGAGCGAGGGGTCATTAATTGGGGTCGTGGAGCATCATTTCTTGGGAGTACTATTTCCGGACGGGAGCGGGCCTGCCTCGGATTAACCAGCGGTAATCAAGGACAGGGCATAAATAACACTTTGTGGGATATCTGAGTCGGCAAGGAAGAGAGTGATTGACAACGGAGTGGTTTCGGAGGGGCAAAATTCTTTGTACCAATTCAATCAACGATTTATCGCATCCATGGATGGAGCCGCATAAACGAACTTGTCCGCGGAGCTGCAGCGCTCCTTGGGGACCATGTGTTTGCATGCCCAGCCAGGGCTTTCTAGAAGGCTGACGTACACGATTCGTACCATTTCACTGGGATTGCCCTGCTGCCTGGTCTCTGGTGTTGCAAGAATTACGCCTCGTCTGCTTGAGGGAATAATACCTTGCCGCTTTGTGTTTCCGCCTTGCGTGTTTTTGGTACATCAGCCTCGAGTATTACATTGCATCCTGGATACATTGTCCAGGCATACTTGGTACCAAAGGATGCACCCCCGTGCCTCCAGACAAGTACAAAACACCCGTTGTAGGGCTGACAAAGATCCAACGTTGCTTGCTCCCCTGCGTGCCCGCTTCACCCCCTCCCTTGCTACCGCTTACCCGAAGAGGCATAGTCGGAGGCGGGCCATTAAAAAAAGAGCAGGATTGCCGACGGGAAGGGGCTGGGAAGTCCCCCCACTGGCAGTTGTCATCCCTGACTGGCCGCATCCCGGGTTTGCCGTTGAACCCGATCTGAACACCATTTGAAGAACCGCGCGCACCTTCTTGCGCGCCTCCTGCAAAGGTTCATCTGATCTTTAGTGCGTTCTTACACGAGTGGACACGACAACTAAAACTCGATCATACGCCCCGCAGTCCGATGCAGATTGAGTTTTGAGACGTCGCGACACTACCCACTAACCAACGCGAGTCAACGGTTCTGCTGGATGCGCTGGAATCCACAGGCGCATACAGTTCTTGGGCACCATGGCTGGCATCGAACAGTTGGAAATCCACAGCAAGGTACGCAATGCATCGCAACGACAGCGCCGGGTGACCACCCCGACCGGACCGTCTGACTCTTCCCAACCCTTGCTCGTCCTTCATATACATTTCGCTGTGTCCCGGCAATCGCTAACGAAGTGGCTTTTGCCCCTCATTATAGGCTTACATTGTGCGATGGGTCAAGGTTGACGTCGGTCACACCATATCATGGAGTGTACAGCCGCACAAGAAGTCGATGTAACTTGACCTCTCCCTCCGGTCCCAGAGACCACCACGTCTTGAGCCAGGCGCTGACGTTGCTTGCCCAGTAACTTCGCCATCGTCAAACACCCCGGGACCGGCGCCACGAACCTTACCTCCCACCTTGACGACCTCGGTGGCCTCGAACAGCATACAGACGGCGTCGCAGAGACGAAACCGGGTCTTTTCGCTAAAAGGGACGTCAGCACCGCGCAGGACCAGCTCGCGAAGAAAGGCTTTATACCCATAAAATGGCATGGAAAATGCGAAGCAGACAAGGTCTCGGTTGGGACCTACGACGTGACGCAGGGCGGCATGTTTGGCCTGGTCTTCGACAACACCTTTTCCAAGCAGACGTCCAAGACAGCCACCTTTGTCCTCCTGACTTACCCGACGGGCGCCCCGCCCCAGACCGCCCGTCATCTCCCCAATCTACAGGCCGGCCCAGCTGCCAGTACCAGCAGATCGAGTCTAGGGAAATCGACCAACAGCCCGCGACTGGGTGCCGTGACCTCGGAATCCGCCGACAGTCTACCTAATCACGTTGCGCAGCGTGGGCGCGCATTGTCAACCCTGTCAACCGCCGCTGGGAGCGACAGCGGGGTGTCGAGTTCCTATCATGTCGGCGTTTTGCTGAAGCGGAGGCGTAAGAAGGGACAGGGCTATGCTAGACGCTTCTTCTCGCTCGATTACACGACTTGCACGCTCTCCTACTACCACAACCGCAATTCTTCAGCTCTCAGGGGCGCCATCCCTTTGAGTCTAGCCGCGGTTGCCGCAGATGAGAGGCGGCGCGAGATCACCATCGACTCCGGGGCAGAGGTTTGGCATTTGAGGGCATCAAATGCGAAGGAATTTACGGACTGGGCCCGGGCACTGGAACGGGCAAGCAAGATCGCGAGGGGGTTAGAGAGCGCTGTGGACGACCCGGCACCTGAGGCACGGGGCGATGCGCCGGCTTCGCAGCCCGGTGTGGCTTCCCGCAATACACAGCAGGAGGAGGACAGGGACTGGGAGCATGTCGAGTCCCTGGTCAGCAGGATCGTAGGTACCAGAGACGCCCTTCGGCGGTTGGTCAAAGACATGGGCGCCGAGAAGCGGCCGGCCAGTAACCCTGGGGCATACCTCTCGCCGACCACTCCGACGGTGCCGGAAGACTCGGATGGCTACTTCCCCTCCCAGCCTGACAAGCGTTCGTTCTGGAAGCGCAAGGCGAGCGGTTCCTCGTCGCCGCTGACGCCACAGTCCATCCAGACTGCTGTTAGCGGTTCCCTTGCGGTCCCCGCACCCGCCGTTGCCACGCCAGTTATGAACGGCGCCAAGTCCCCAGCCGCACCGCAGGAGGACCGAGATACATACGACAACTGCGCGGCGCTGCTCAAAGATTTGGACTCGGTGGTTGTTGAGTTTTCAGCTCTGCTGAACACCAGCAAGCGAAGGCGGATCCCAGCGCAGCCACCGACCGCGCCGAGACTGAGCCTCGAATCCACAGCATCGACCGTCGAGGAGTTCTTTGATGCCGAAGTCGGTGACATGGACAAGTCTCAGGTAATGTTGATCAACCGCCATAGCGAAGAGGACACGGCAGCCTCCGACGCCGAGGAGGTTTCGATCCACGAGTCATCATCAGCGTCGTCGGTTGAGGACGAGGAAGGCCAGTACACTGGGGACGGTGTTGGGAGTCTGTTCCCGACCAAGCCAAAGTCACTATCACCACTCCCCATCACCGACGCCGTCTCACGCCGCAAGACCATCCCCCCGGCCAAGCTCGCGCCGCCAAGCCTGATCGCTTTCGTCCGCAAAAACGTAGGCAAGGATCTTAGCACCATCTCCATGCCCGTGTCGGCGAACGAGCCCATCTCCTTGTTGCAACGCATGGCGGAGCAGCTCGAGTACGCGCAGCTCCTCGACGCAGCCGCCCAGCAGAGCCAGCCGCAGCAACGCCTGCTCCGCGTCGCCGCCTTCGCCATATCCCAATTCAGCAACGGCCGCGCCAAGGAACGGGCCATCCGGAAGCCGTTCAACCCCCTGCTCGGCGAGACCTTCGAGCTCGTCCGGTCCGAAGCCGAAGTCCCCGGCGGGTTCCGCCTGCTGGTCGAGAAGGTCTCGCACCGCCCCGTGCGGCTAGCCATGCAGGCCGACGGCGCACACTGGTCGTTTGCGCAGTCGCCGGCGCCAACACAGAAATTCTGGGGCAAGAGCGCCGAGCTGACGACGGACGGCCGCGTGCGGGTCAGCCTGAGGCTGCCCGACGGCAGCGACGAGTACTACAGCTGGAACACGGCGACCGTGTTCCTGCGCAACGTTGTCATGGGCGAGAAGTACGTCGAGCCCGTCGGCACCATGCACGTGTGCAACGACAGCACGGGGGCCAAGGCCGCCGTCGAGTTCCGCTCCAAGGGCGTCTTCGGCGGCCGCGGCGAGGAGGTCCAGGTCGACGTGCTGGGGCCCGACGGCGCCCAGTCGGGCGTGTCCATGAACGGCACCTGGACCGGCGCCCTCAAGGCCGTGCCCGGCGGGCAGGAGGTCTGGCGCGCGGGGAGCCTGGTCGACAACCCGGTGACCACGTACGGGCTGACCACCTTCGCCGCGGCCCTCAACGAGATCACGCCGCTGGAGAAGGGCAAGCTGCCGCCGACGGACTGCCGGCTGCGGCCGGACCAGCGGCTGGCGGAGCAGGGCCAGCTGGACGAGGCGGAGGACTGGAAGGTCAGGCTCGAGGAGGCGCAGCGCCAGCGGCGGCGCGTCATGGAAGAGAACGGCGAGGAGTATAGGCCCAGGTGGTTTGTGCAGGCCGACTCGGCCCAGGACGGCGAGGAGGTCTGGCGCCTGAAGGGCGGGAAGGACGGGTACTGGGAGGAGAGGGCAAAGGGGACTTGGTCGGGGACGGTGGATCTCTTTGCTTCTTGAACGGGGCAGGCGAAGCAGCTCCCCCTGTGTTTACTTTTACGGATATTAGAGGTGCATCAGTGCAGATAGCGTGCCGTTACGGAGATTCTGTTTGTGTTTACTTGCCGTTTCTGGTGAGCGGCTTCAGGGGTAAGGGGTAAGCGTAACATGCTGTGGGTAGGTAAGGTACTGTGTAATGCCTGGCTCGGCTCTCTGCACGGGAGCTGGAGAACGAACAGCCACATGGTCAGCTGCGTATAACTAGCCGTCCACCCCTCGGAGAGACACGGCATGGCTAGACCCGGGAACTCGTGATAGCTCTTTGCGGGGCAAGGGCTCGTTCGAAGTGGATCTGCCCGTTGGTAAGCCGAGTGCGGGGCAGCTACCTAGTTGCCGATGCTGGAGCTCCGCGTGCCCTTTATTCGGACCATGACGACAACCCCGGGTCTTCCCCTCGATAGTTCATCCGTTTTCTTGTTTGATGACAAACTCACGGAGACATTCTCGCGATTAGCTCCGGAACAACATTGCCAAGGCGAGTTCCGTTGTTTGGCTCCCTGGCTTAACCCTTCTTTTTTTTGAGTCCCCAGGCTCACTCTCTCGGCTCTGGCGGATATTATTGTCTCTGTTTGAGGCAATATACTGAAAGCTTATTTATCTCCTTGCGCTGAGAGTTTGAGATAGCCTCTCAGAGCAGGCGTAGGTAACTAATTAGCTCCCCACGCTCTTTCTCTCGTCACACCCCGTTCACAACCAATACCACCTACAACCACCCACAACCACTCAGCACCACTCAACACCACTCACAACACCACACAATCACCCATAATCCATCATGGCTTCCACCACCACCGAACCCCCGAAACAGCGGGGCATCCGCATCGCCATCGACCGCGGCGGCACCTTCACAGACTGCGTCGGCAACTACAACGGCGAGGACGTAGTGATCAAACTGCTATCAGAAGACCCAGCCAACTACAACGACGCGCCGCTGGAAGGCATCCGACGCATCATGTCGCACTTTCTCGGCGGCAGCAATGGCAGCAACGGCAGCAACGGCAACAATGGCGAGATCCCGCGCGGCCAGCCGCTCGACACCAGCCGCATCGACTCGATCCGCATGGGCACGACGGTCGCGACCAACGCGCTGCTCGAGCGCAAGGGCGAGGCCATCGCCCTGGTCGTCACGCGCGGCTTCGCCGACTGCCTCGTCATCGGCAACCAGTCGCGCCCCCGCATCTTCGACCTGGCCATCCGCAAGCCCGACGTGCTGTACTCGGCCGTCGTCGAGGTCGACGAGCGCGTCACCCTCGAGGACTACGCCGAGGACCCCGCGCGCGCCGTCACGAGGGCGGATGCGAAAGTCGGCAGTGCCGAGGCGGAGGGCGCAGAGTTGGTCATGGGCTTGTCCGGGGAGGCGGTCAGGGTGCTGCGCCGGCCCGGTCGGGACGCGGTGCGCGAGCAGCTGCAGAAGGTGTTTGACGGCGGGATCCGCAGCATTGCCGTGTGTCTGATGCATGCGTATACGTTCCCGGGCCATGAGGCGCTGGTGGGGGAGGTGGCGAGGGAGATTGGGTTCGAGCATATCTCGCTCAGTCATGAGCTCATGCCCATGATCAAGTTGGTTCCGAGGGCAACGTCGGTGTGTGCGGATGCCTACCTCACGCCGGCGATCAAGAGGTACATCTCGGGCTTTCAGCAGGGGTTTGAGGGGGGGTTGGGCACGAAGAGCGTGACGCAGGAGAAGGGGAGCAAGGGGGCGCGGTGCGAGTTCATGCAGAGTGATGGAGGGCTGGTGGATGTGGACAGGTTCACCGGTCTGAGGGCGATTCTTTCCGGGCCAGCGGGTGGTGTGGTTGGGTACGCTATCACTTCGTATGATGAGAAGACGAAGATCCCCGTGATCGGTTTCGATATGGGCGGCACTAGTACAGATGTCTCGCGGTATGGCGAGGGCCGGTATGATCACACATTTGAGACCACGACGGCCGGAGTTACGATCCAGTCACCCCAGCTAGACATCAACACCGTTGCTGCCGGCGGTGGGTCCATGCTCTTCTTCCGGAACGGCTTGTTTGTGGTTGGACCCGAATCTGCTGGCGCCCATCCCGGCCCGGCATGCTACCGGAAAGGGGGTCCCGCTACCGTCACAGACGCGAACCTGTTTTTGGGAAGGCTGCTGCCGGAGTTCTTCCCCAAGATCTTTGGCAAGAACGAGGATGAGGGACTGGATCTAGAAGCTAGCAGAAAGGTGCTTCAGGAGCTAGCCGACCAAATTCACAGAGAGACCGGCAAGGAGATGGACGTTGATGAGGTTGCCTACGGCTTCCTGACCGTTGCTAACGAGGCCATGACACGGCCCATCAGGAGCATCACCGAGGCCAAAGGACACGATACGTCGAAGCACCGCCTGGCTACTTTTGGTGGTGCCGGCGGTCAGCACGCCGTTGCCATTGCTGGTTCCCTCGGCATCAAGCAGATCCTCATCCACCGCTATTCTTCGGTTCTATCTGCATATGGTATGGCATTGGCCGACGTCGTTGACGAAAGGCAAGAGCCCGATTCCGCCGTCTGGACTGATCAAGGGGACGTGGTGGACCAACTAAAACAGAAGATGGAGGGTCTCAAAGACAAGTCTCGTCAGGCATTGAGGGGCCAGGGATTTGAGGACGGAGAGATTGTCTTTGAGGAATATCTCAACATGAGGTACCGTGGCACCGAGTCTGCCCTCATGATCATCAAGCCCACTGCTGTTGAGCGCGAGTGGGACTTTGGCACCGCCTTTGTCGAGCACCATCGTTATGAGTTTGGCTTCACCCTAGATGATAGGGATATCATCATCGATGACGTCCGAGTCCGTGGAATCGGTAAGAGCTTCCGGTACGACGAGAAGACTGTTGATGAGCAACTCAAGGCGGTCACCCGGAAGGAGGTGTCAACTGAAGAGAAGCACTCCGAGGCCATGGTGTACTTTGAGGGCGGCCGTGAAAACTCGCCCATCTACAAACTCGGTGACCTCTCCGTGGGTGAGGTCGTCAACGGGCCTGCTATGCTAGCGGACGGCACCCAGACCATTGTGGTCACCCCCAATGCCACAGCTCTCGTTCTTGAGACACATGTCATAATCGACATCCCCGAGACCGAAAAAGACAAGTCCTCGCAGGCGGCAGAGGAACGCGAGGTGGACCCCATCATGCTCAGCATCTTTGGCCACCGGTTTATGGCCATTGCCGAGCAGATGGGAAGGGCTCTGCAGAAGACCAGTGTCAGCACCAACGTAAAGGAGCGACTCGATTTCTCCTGTGCCATCTTTGACGAACATGGCGGTCTGGTTGCCAACGCTCCTCACCTACCTGTCCACCTGGGCTCCATGTCGACCTGTGTCCGGCGTCAGGCCGAGATCTGGAAGGGCAAGCTCAACAAGGGGGATGTGATCATGTCGAACCATCCATCTTACGGTGGCACACATCTTCCCGATGTCACCCTAGTCATGCCCGCCTTCAACGAGGCCGGGGATAAGATTCTATTCTACGCTGCGTCACGGGCACATCATGCCGACATTGGAGGCATCACCGCCGGAAGCATGCCGCCTCATTCTAGAGAGCTCCACCAGGAAGGGGCATCCATCAAGAGTGAGAAGCTGGTCAGCGAGGGCAAGTTCGACGAGGAGCGCGTGATCGAGCTCTTTTACAATGAGCCCGCCCAACAGCCAGGCTGCAGCGGTACACGCTGTCTCGCAGACAACATCAACGACCTCCGCGCTCAAGTGTCGGCTAACCAGAAGGGCATCTCTCTCATCGAGGGCCTCATTGCCGAGTACGGCGAGCAGACGGTCCAGTTCTACATGGTGGCCATCCAGAACAACGCCGAACAACAGGTCCGCAGCCTCCTACGGACCGTCCACAAGCGCTTCCAGGGCAAAGATCTCTCGTCGGAGGACTTCATGGACGATGGAAGCCCGATCCGGCTCCACATCACCATCGACGCAGAAAAGGGTGAAGCCGTCTTCGACTTTGCGGGCACGGGGCCCGAGGTGTACGCCAACATCAACGCGCCCGAGGCCATCTCGTACTCGGCCATCATCTACGCGCTGCGGTGCATGATCTCGGAGGACATACCGCTCAACCAGGGCTGCCTGAAGCCCATCACGGTGCGGATCCCGCCCAAGTCGCTCCTCTCCCCCTCCGACAACGCGGCCGTCGTCGGCGGCAACGTGCTCACGTCCCAGCGCGTGACCGACGTCATCCTCAGGGCCTTCGAGGCCTGCGCCGCCAGCCAGGGGTGCTGCAACAACCTGACGTTCGGCTTCGGCGGCAACGTCACGGGCCAGGACGCCGTGCGCGGCTTCGGCTACTACGAAACCATCGCGGGCGGCAGCGGGGCCGGGCCCAGCTGGGAGGGCACCGACGGCGTGCACGTGCACATGACCAACACGCGCATCACCGACGCCGAGGTGTTTGAGCGGCGGTACCCGGTCCTGCTGCGCGAGTTCTCGGTGCGCCGCGGGTCCGGGGGGCGCGGCCGGCACCGCGGCGGCCACGGCGTCGTCCGCGACATCGAGTTCCGCATCCCCCTGCAGGTCTCCATCCTCAGCGAGCGCCGCGTCTACCGCCCCTATGGTATGGCTGGTGGCGAGCCCGCCCAGTGCGGCCTGAACCTGTGGGTGCGCAGGGTGAAGAAGGCGAGCTGGGAGAGCAGTCTGCGGAAGCTGCAGCTACAGGGAGGTGGTGGCGGCCCTGATGCTGAGGATGATGATGATGATGATGCTCAAGGGGGAGGTGACACCGAGTACGAGGAGCGGCGCATCAACCTCGGGGCCAAGAACAGCGCGCCCATGAAGGCGGGTGATCGTATCATCGTGCACACGCCGGGCGGCGGCGGCTGGGGCAAGGTCGGCGAGCCGAAGGCGCTCGGTCAGAAGTCGGATCCGACGCAGAACTGGAAGAAGGGATCGCATGCCGCAAGGGAGGAAGCGGCGCTGCAGGTATGAAGGGTTATTGTGAAGCATATGTCATGGGGGATAGGTCACTTTGTCATCTAGCAATCTAATTACGATGAGTTTCTCTTATGCTGCTGGTTTGAGAAGATGGTAGTGGTATCTTTGATAAACTCCTCAGCAAAGTCTGCGCCGATATCTGTCTCTACAAGCTCGAGGTACAAAATCGAAGCACTACGGTGGTGCCGCTCAAACCCGCTTTCCAAGCTCGCCGGGTACCAGGAGAGGATCGGGTTATGGGCGCTATGAGGGCCCCATGGAAAGAAGGGGATAACCACCGACAGGCGAGGCCTGGCGGGTAAGCACTGCCTCCTCAGCTGTCTTTCCTAAAGATGTAAACGGAGGCGGCCCCGCCCGGCGCCGCCTTAGCACGATAAAACGCGTTGCCAGCTGGATACTAGTCCGGGACATCCGTGGTGCCAACGTAGCCCAGACGGCACAGTTCATGACGAGGAGGCTCTCGTCCCCAATCCTCTAGCGAGGCCTGGGTGCCATAATGCCACCCCCCTTTTCCCGCCCACGTACGGCAGGGGGAAAGTCCCCGGAATCGACATCCGTCGCCGCGAGCACCGTGACGAGGGGCCCGCATCGCCCCAGACTCTCACCGCCACGTAGCCTGCCTCGGTCTTGATCCCGCTCGTCAGTGGCGTGAACAACCAACCCGCGGCAGGAAAGGGACGATCGCCAACGAAGACGACGCCGACTGATAACGCCACGCGGGCCCAAAAATTACCGTGGCGCCTCGACTAACCCGTCGAACCATTCAAAAACCGCAAATCATGTTCTGGCCGATCGTCTTCCTAATCCGCATCGGCCAGCTGCATAATAAGCCTAGCGGCCATATCGAGGAACGGAAACGGACTCGCGACTTCCTTGTCCTCGAGGAGTTTACCCTCGGGCGTTTCGTACCCGTCAACCTTGAAGTCAACGAGAAAGACGCCGGGTTCCATTTCGTAGATCTGAATCTCCATGCGCATAGCGACTACGTGGACGTCTTGGCCCTCGCGGGTAACTTGAGAGTTGGCACCGGCCTCACTGAGCCCTGAAGCAACCGAGCGCTTTTGAAGTTCTGGGCGGTTCGGTTAGTGAAAGCCTCAAAAAAGACAACGGTGTAACACTATGCGGAAGTTCAACATACTATCGGTTGCCCAGCGAATCTTAATATGCCACGGGTCGGCCGGGAGCTTGTACAGCTCCCTCGGGTCGGCACCTGACGACGAGCTCTGCTTGCGCGAGTGTCGACCGCCATTGTAATCGCCACCCTCGTCGTCTTGGTGGGCCGCATCATAGTCCTCGTCCACCATCCACGAGGCCCCGAGCTTGTTCAGCGCCTTATAGATGCACAACAGAGCCTCCCAGGGGGCGTTCCTGGAGCGAATGCCAAACTGCCACCTCACGGGTTTGTTCTTCTTTGGCGGATTCACAGGGGTAAGCCCTTGCGGGCGGCTCGTGTCGTCTAGAGGAACAAAACTGCGAGCGTGGGGCTTTAGACGGCGAAGTGTCTCCTCCTGCTCAGCCTGACTCCGCGGGTGAGAGCCGGGATCTGGCGCGGCAAACGGGGTGTCTGTGACATCGATGCCCTCGGCCCGCGCCCTCTCGCGGTCCATAAACACTTTGTGGTACACCGTCAAGCTACTCGGAAGGATGCCCACTTTGCTCACGTATGGAGGTCTTGCGGACGTCCCCGTGCTCGTGGAAGTAACGGACCGGGCTGACGACATGGTCGGATCCAATAACGGACTTGGAGTCGCATCTTCAACGCCGAGACCAGAGAGTTGGTTGCTCTGCATCATCTTGTTCTCCCGCACAATCATGTAGGCATCCTTGATGGCAGACGGCTCGTCGGCCTCGAGTGCCTCTTCGACGTCCCGCCTCCCGTACCCCATAGTCTTGCTAATCTTGTCCGTGACTTCGTTGTGCAGCTTCTCTTGCTCCTTTGGTGGCGCGTTGGGGGCAATGTCGCTCACCTTGATGGCTTTGTTCGGGTCGACGCCCGTGTTGAGGAACTCTTCGACGGGAGGGTGGAGGTATGGGGGCAAATCTTTGAGAAACCACGGGTCCTGGCGGATGTCCTCGATAGTGGCACGCTGGACTGGGTTCACAACAAGCATCTTCTTGATGAGGTTCGCCGCGCCGGGGCTCATCCAGGTCGGTACCATGTAGCTGCCCCGGGCAATCTTGGCAAATAGGGTGGGGATGTGCTCGTGGTCGAACGGGAGGCGGCCGACGAGCAGAACGTAGAGGATGACGCCACAACTCCAGACGTCCACCTCGGGCCCGGCATACAGCTTGCCGCCGATGACTTCGGGTGCGGCGTAGTTCGGCGACCCGCAGCTGGTCTTGAGGAAGTTGCCGTCGGTCATGATGTTGCTCAGGCCAAAGTCGGCAATCTTCACATTGAGGTTGTCGTCGAGCAAGAGGTTCTCGGGTTTGAGGTCGCGGTGGACAATCTTGTGGCGGTGGCAGTACTCGACGGCGCATAGCATCTGCTGGAAAAAGCGGCGGGCCTCATCCTCCTGCATCTTGCCGTGCGCGACGATGTAGTCAAACAACTCGCCACCGGCATACTCGAGCACCATAATAATCTCGGTCGGAGTCTTGATAACGGTGAACCTGGCAGGAGTCGCAACGCAGCAAGGGTCAGCCGAAGAGTTGAGATACAGAGAGGAGTCATGGGGGGACAGGACAGAGAGACGGAAGGTAGCTCACAGCTTGATGATGTGTGGGTGGCGGAGCAATTGAAGGTATTCGATTTCGCGCTCGACACGGCCCTGCATATCCCGGCTGATGAGGTTCTTCCGCGAAATGATCTTGAGGGCGACCTGCTGGCCGGTGCCGCGGTGCACGGCTAGCTTGACCTTGCCGAAGCTCCCCTCGCCGAGTGTCTTGACAATGTTGTAGGCGCCGATGCGCTGCTCGGTGCGCGACTTGTCGCGGAGCGGGGCGGATGTTGAGGACATGATGGCGGCGTCGATGGAGGAGCCCGGGACCGCCTGGTCGTGGTGATGTTGGCGATGGTGTTGTTGGTGTTGAGAAATGGCTTGTTCCTGGTGGCCCTCGCCTGGTCGCCTGTTGCGCCGGATCTGGGATGGGGACAACGAGATTGACAACTCCTCGTCGTCGTAGGCTTGAGCCATGGCTTCCGGGAATCGCAAGCTAGCTCTTGTCTAAAATGCCACCTCGGGTTGTGGGTGTGGAGTCGCTAGAGAGCCAGGGCGGGTTGTCGAGGTTGGGAGCCAGGAAGGCAGGTGTCCACTCGGTCCAAAGGCACCGCGAACAGGAATCTCGCTCGCCGCTGAGTGGGTGAGAAGAGCCTCCCGAGGGGCTGCGCTGGGCTGGGGATCCCCCGCGCTGTCCTGCCCCGCTCTACCGCATGGTTGCCTCTGTGGGGCCCTGCTCACCGAACCGACCCCCGCCCTGGGATTGATATGTTTCAGGGTCGACCTCATAAAAACAACCTTAGGAATGCATCGAGAATATCGAGACATTTCACGATGGAACTTCGGTCGAGAATATCCACGGACATGCACTTTATGATTTCGATGATATCAGGCGCACACTCAATGCAACACACATACATGTGCATGGTACGAAGCAGTCGGGCAAGATTAGATTTTAAACATAATTCCGAGATACCTACGCCAATAGGTTTTGCGCCTATTTATTAACCGCTTCTTTCTCTTCAACATGTCAGGATGCAGACGTCTGAAAAAAAGAACCACAACCAAAGCCTGAGCCGCGAACCAGGCAACATTACACCGCCGGGAAAACCGACGAGAGCGGAACTTGCCAGTACCACGAAGCCACGGCCATGGCGCCGACGCTCATGCCAAAGGCCATCAAAAAGTTGACATCATTGTTGTCCAACAAGTCCCACCCATTCTCAACCACCCTCGACGGCTTCCCGTCGCCAAAGCTGGGCCTGCGGTCCTTCTTGCGGGCCTCACCCTCCTTTGCCCCTGACGCCGACGCCGGGACCGTATCCTCCACCGCGGACGCTCCCTCGCCATGTAGCAAGGCGGCCTTGACGCCAACAGCCGCGTCGTGTTCGCGCTCGGAATGGTGGGAGCCGGCGTCGCTGGACACGAGCGCCCGCACGCCGCCCTCGCCTTCCACGATCTTGCCGCTGCGGACATCCTTGACGCTCGTCTGGAACAGCCCGCCCAGGATGCTGTCCACGACGCTGCCCAGGAGACCCCAGACCGTGAGGCCCAGAATCAGCGTCCGCCGCTGCTCGCTCGCCCACGGCGCTCCACCGCCCAGCTTTCCCGAGGTCTCGTCGGTGCAGAAAGGCAAGAACAGCATCGCGGCCGTGACAACGATGACGCTGCCGAGCAACCCGGCAGCAAGGCCCGTCAGAGTGACGCCGCCGTTGGTGCCGCGGGGGACCTTCCGGAGAGTGAGGCTGGTGATCAGTCGTGGTTGGCCGGTAGCCAGGATGCCCAGCTCGGAGCTGAGCGTGTCGGCCGCGACGCAGGCGTAGTTGGCGATGATGCCGACGACGAGGAGGTCGCCGCCCCAGGCGAAGCAGAGGCTGCCGGCATCGTTGCCGCCTGGCGAGGCGAGGAGGGTCTGCTCACGCGACCGTAGCTGGTAGGCGTGTAGCAACGAAAGAAGAGATGCGGTGAGCGAGTTGGCGAGCACCTGCACGTGATTCCGAGGACCCTCCGCGCCGGATCCGCCGCGGGACTTGAGGGTGAGATTGGCCTTGATGTTTTCCTTGACCTTTACGGGATTAGCAAATGAACGGCGCGTGGACGGGCTAATGGGGTGCGTACGTGAGTTGCTCGCGTCCCGGCCAGAAAGAAGACGACGAGAAGAACAAACGGCAGGTTCCACGGATGGACTGCATGCGCGATGGCCGTCAAGGTCGCGGCCAAGAGTCCACCAGGCGTTAGCGACTTTTTGGAATAGGCCCGGTACACGAGCATCAGCGTCCCGGGAATCGCAATAATGGGTTTCATTTTGTCTGAGCGCCGATCGGTCGAGAGGTAATTCGGTTCTCGGGAATTGGCAGGCGCGATCTATCGCATCGGGTGTTGGCGAGAAGATGCAGATGGAAAACTCGCGGACGAGGACTCGAGATGGACGGCTTGCCTCGAGCTTTCGTCAGCTGCCTTCTTGTACGCGTAATAATGCTCAGTATGGTACACAATTTGTGAAACAAATTACCTGGGTACTGAACCAGGACGTCCAGGGCAACATGGCCCGTGCCATCCTGATCGGAAGAGCTGTAACCCTAACCCTCCGACACAACCCCCTTGGTCCCCTGACCCGCTGACATCCTTTCAGCCCCTGAGTAAACAACATTTCAGTGACCTGCTCTATTCGTCGCTGTTTCGTCGGAGGGCCTTGGAAGTAGTTATCCGCCATAGTATAGTATGTGGCTCCCAGTCCAGCAACGTCATTTTCCATGCTCCAGCTTCCAACCTGCAGGCATTCAGGGGGCCGTGGACCGTCGCCATCGAATCGTGTTAGGTATCGAGGACTGTCGGCCGATGTTGGTTGCCGTTTGTCGAGAAGAACGCGGTAAGGAACGATGATTCTCCCGCCCTATAAACTGATGACCCCCAGTGCTGTCCCATTCGTCTTGCCTGACACCTAGCCAAGGGTCAAGGCTTTATCCTGTCCCACATCCTCAGTTTGGCCGTCGCCCATCTTGGTTTTGAGTGGCTCCATCAACATATGTCGTGACCATTCATGTTCTCTCTCCTTGTCATCTCATCCGGCATCGGGTGTCCTTCCATTCTTTTCATTCATCCCACCCCCCCTCCCACCACTCTTCCCACGCGGCCTTAACTGAATGCCAGGCCCACACGCCGTGTTGAACCTCGACCTGTTGTTGGGTGATGTTGTCCGTGATGTAAAAATTGGCTGTCGACCCACTTCGAAACGGGAGGCAATGTGATGTGGAAGTCGGCGTTGGAGGCGAATGAACCACACCACCATCACGAAAGAAGGTATGCGGGCCTGCCTTCTCATACCTTTGCCTGGATGTGCAGTGCCGGGGTGCTAGAGCCACCAGTGTCGTCGAGTAAGCCGCACATGTGAGAAGTAAAGGAGGCAAGAAGTCGTGGACCCCCAGTCCAAAATGGTTCCCCTGTCCCTCCTTTAATACCAACGGCGACAGTCATCCCCCCATCCCACCCGAGACCCGAGACCCGAGACTCATCTACCGTTCCGGGTTGGACGTCAACCAACAACCTTCATCCCTGTCGCCTCGTGCACATGGAACGGTGAATCTCAACGTTCGTGGGAGATCTCGATGTGTCGACGGCCGGCGGCATGCGGGTACGGGTAAGGGGGACAGGGTGCAATATATCGCACCGGTTGCCGATGGCATGCGAGGTAACCAACCGGTGGTGGTCACACGCATTCGACGTTACAACCCCTTTGTGTTTTGAGAAGGAAGGGAGATCCAAACATATTCTCGGGCGGGAGTCTGGAATTATGTTAGATATGTTCGTGCTCGCGTAGGGATAGTATCCGAAGGGACGGGGGGGCGGACATGACCACGGGAACTAAGCCAAGTAGGTGACGTACACCGACGATACCTGACAAGAGGCGTGCCCGGCATACTGATTTCATGTTCTTTTCGCACACCCCAGCAAGTAGGAACGAACTCGGGGCCTCGAATCTGTTTTCGGTTTCAACCGGTGTCTCGGTGCCGACAACCTGGCGTGTGTCGGTGGTTTGTCCGAAAACGCGGATCCGGACGCAGGGAGGTGCGAAGGTGAGGTGCTGAACTTGAAGATTGGTGATGGGTCGTTGATTCACCCAGGGGTTGTCTCTTATTGAACACAGTAGGCCAGTAGCCGGAAGATGTGCGGCTAACAGCGTTGGCGTGTAATTGCTACGTGACATCTGGGTCATTTTGAACAATGTCGAAGCGATGCTACAATCCATTCCCCCCATAAACTCTATCTCAACCCTTTCCTCGTCGTTTAGGGCTCAAGAATCCGGAAAGCTGGGATATGGCCTGACAACGCAACTATGTCTCGAGATTCCCTTACAGTCCGAGTCACAATATCCCTGAATATGTGTAACCGAGGCGCCTGCAGAATCTCAACGGTCAGGGCTTTTCCACCGTCTAGGAGAGCATGAGCCGGAGTTTGCTAGTTGTCAGCTGATAGGGAGAAGAACTGGACGTTCCCCATGTCATCACCGGTCGGACCAGCGCCTGCTTGGCCTTCCTCTCAGAGATTATCACAACTTTCAAGGGACGAACCCCAAGCTCGTAGAACCGCCGAGGGGAGTATCATCATGTGCGGGTCCGTGGCATTCTTTCGAGTTCTAGGCGTCTTGACACGGCCCCAAACTTAGCCGGAAGTTGAGGAACGGTTCGTGCAGGTAAGTTATTGTTTACCCATGCTGTACCGCTGAACACATTTTGATACGCTGGAGGTCTGCACTTCGGTACCGAACCGCAACAGAGAACGAGGTGCAGCGGAAGCCAACAGCCAACAGCCAACAGCCATCTCCGGCCGAGGAACTTGACACCCAAGAAATATCTGGACTCGGGCGGGCGAGCAAAGGGATGGTGAGTCCGAGCAATATTAACCCTCTGTTTAGCCGGTCGTTGGCGCGTTTTCGTGACCACAAACCGACATCGATAGACCATGACACCATTGAGTTGGAACCTGCTCGTCTCGCCTCGGCTAACACAAACAGAGAGTGGGTTCTGACTAGCGCGGCAGCATAACTAAAGCCAAAGCTCAATATCCAAAGAGAGTTACGATATAGCTCATTCTTCTGTATGTCCGTCCAGACACCCGAGTACCCGAACCGCAATCCGGGCCGCCCACTCAATCCGCACCCACCCATCGAGCCTCTCTGGGTATTCCTCTTCGTAAAATGCACGGTTCGGTCTCTTTGCGACGGCACGCTCACCGAACAGGCAAGGGGGCTTGAGAAGCCCCCCAAACAAACCGGAACGTAGGCCCGGGGCGTGATCTGTTCATGGTTTGGATCTAAGTGGGGTGGGGGTCCGATGGACGCGGCAAGTCGGCACAGCGGGATCTCGCCGAGAACCATCGCCACGCAGGCCGCGACCAGGGCGTGAGGGCCCAGCCTCGGAAGCACGGCGTCGAGCTGGCGGCCACGGACTGCAGTGGCCCATGGTGGTCCCCAACCAGCCACCGCCTGGAGCAAGCGATGGGATTCGTTAGCCATGGTCAAAAGTACACATGATGGGACGCTCAAGGATCGACTCGTCGGGTGCTCGCGTTGGGGATCCGGAAGGACGCCGATGCCTTGGACGTCCGGGATGTTCCCCAACGCAACCTCCCGCGACACAGCAGAAGAGATCAGCGACCGCCAGTGGCTGTAAGTTGTATAAGATGCATTACATGCCCGCTCAAAGGCGGCCTTCCAGGCGCGGCAGCAGACACGGGACGCTTGTCGAGTCGAACGATCCTGAGAGGCACTAAGACGGCTTCGGCCATGGCTGATGCCCGCGCTCGCAGCCGGTTGCATCCCGAAGAACGCTGTGTCACGTTTGGGTCCAATAGGGTATTTGGCAGCATCTTCACGACCGAAGTCAATCGCCAAAATGCGGCAGCATTGACGCGGGGCCGCGCTCCACCAGAGCCTCAAAGGCTTGTTCATTTCTGCTGACTCGCTACAAATCGCGTTGACAGATATTATCGTTTTCGTTGCTCGGGTACTGCCCAACCCGAGGGACTGTTAGTTCCGCTGATTGTCGAGTCATCTGTGGGGGCCGCAGTCAAATAGTCCTCAGTTTTGTTGGTGGCAGCTCGTAACGAGAGTCGTGACAGGTGGTTCAAGGCAACCAGATCAACAACCCACTCGACGGGTGATGCCGCGATTTGGCTAGAATACTTTCCTTCCTAGCTTGTATGACTTCAACCGATCTCTTGCTTTAGGGCGGCCATCTTGGGGAAGGCAGATATCTCATCAACATCGGGTGTATTGGAGCCACAATAGGCCGACAGCGGCGGCGGGAGACTCAGTTGTGACGGTCGATCAGCGCAACATAATGTTGGGATTCTCGCCACCGAGTGAGGGCCTCGGGGCGTCGAGGGTGTCTCGGCGAAACAGCTCGTGTCTTGAGAGAACATATCGGCTTCGTGGCGCGCAGAGTGCGCCCCTCGGTGGGGTATACACCAGTGAAGAGGCAACGAGCGACGGGCTTGGATACCGAATTTCGAGTGAGATGGCGGTAACTACCTCGAGGAGATGTTGGCTCGTCCACTGCTAAGCTTAAGTGACAGGTTTCAGAGGACTTCCTCTGGCTGTCCCGCCTTGTAGGTGTGTTAGTACGTAGCACAGCATTCACACCTCAGGTCACCAATGCCGAGGTACACCCATGCCCTTCTCTAGTCTCTTGAATCGGGAGTAGCGATGGCATGAAAGCCCCCCGATGATCCGCAGTTGTTGGGCGCCGTGTTGTGGTCGCTTTCAGACCGGCCCCGTCTGGGGCTGGGGGTCGCGCAGAATCGACGCTTAAACATCATTTGGCTGTAAATTAGCAGCTGGTAATGTCCCTCCACACCCGGCAGCTTCCATTCCCAGATAAACCCAGCGAACCCGCATCGAGATGCCGCGCGTGAGGTAGGCGATCTGACAAGGTTCCAGTATCGATCGATAAGAGGAGAAGCATAGGGGCGGTGAGGCCACGGTTACGAAAACAAGGAACTCTAGGAAGAGAGCGGTGGCGGCATGTCGCGGTAAGTGTAATGGAGGGTGTGCTTCTGCGAGTAGCCGAGCAGCTGTGTTCATACTGAGGCTGTGTCACGAGGAGCACTATGCGCCCTTCTGACGTGTCGCGACACGATTTTCTTAGAATCCCACGGTGGTTGCGCGAAGAAAATCAGGATGCCACAGCAGGGGGAAGGGTCAAGCAGGCAGAAGGGCCGTGCTTTGCTTGCCCTGCCGGCTTGGGAATATCCACTCCTTCCATCAGACGTTTGGTTTGCGCTTGCCTAATCTGGTTAACTGCTCCGCCACTTCTCGCATGGGTGTTCTCGGGTCTTTTTTAGGGGCGATCGCAGAAGCCACCGGCACCTTCCCGAGCCCACATCAGTTGGATGTCGTGGGGTCGAGGCCACGGACGATCTGGCCTTACTAGGGGGGGGGGCAATAAGATCGGCGTTCGGCAGAAAGCTTGACTTCATGTTGAACTCGCAAGGATCGGGGAACCAATGGC